CTTTGGTTGATCCCAGCGACTTTCAGATGAAGAATAAGTTCTTCTGTCACCGCGATGATTCCAGCACCACGCCCACTTGTTTCTTCTTGCTCGGCAAAGTGACAAACAGCTCTCTCCTTAGTGGCGATGTTTCTCGCAACATATCTGTTTGTTTCTCCAATCGCTCCTTTCCCCACGCTATGGCAGTCGTCGGCGACGTGCTTGCAGAAAAAGCTGTATTCCTTCCATCTTTTCACCAGGGAGTCAGCATCACCACTGCAAAACGACCTCTGAAAGAGACGAGTACGAGTCCTGCAACCATATGAGGTCTCACATCTTCCTCCCAACACTCTGCAGATTATAATTTGCCAGATCCTGGTAAGTCTTTCACAACCACACTTTCGTATGCAATCTCACCACCATCGAAGCTCTTCTACCATGGGATTCAAAAGGTGTATCTGCTATTTCCATTTCCTCCATGATGAAAAACTGATAAAGATATCCAACAGTTCCTGTCTACAATGGAACTTGCCCTTTTCGGCTTGGACAATACAAAGAACTTTTGCAAATTGTAGGCGACGAAATCTCGCCTAATTCCGCCGTCACCGTCATTTTCACTCTCAGTACATACCCATATAACAAACTCAAAAGTCACATCAAACATCAAGCTGTCAATATGTCGCTTACTTTCAACATTCAAAGTATCATCTGGCTTGCATTCCCATCATCGGAAGCAACAATTGATCCATCTCTTCCACCTGCCGAACCATTTGGAGTCACTTCAGATTATCTTCTTGATGACTCCCCCCCAGTTCAACAGCCAGCAATCAATGCAAACAATAATGAAGATCTTATTTAAATGATATATATCTTAACTACAACCCAATGACTACCAGTTTCGTACCAAGCCTCCCTCACTGTTCTGTACCACCTACAAGACACATCCTGCAAGCGATATGCCGCGCCGGTCGCTGCAAGAATCTTCAATGACTGAAAGACTGACATCCAAAAGCCCCAGGAGGGAACCCGTGTGCACAACATCAACAATGTCGCAGAACGAGTTTGCAGGCGGTCCATATGTCTCACCGATCTTTGCAGAGGTCGATGTGAAATGGTACCATGGTCGTTCAGAGATGACGAAGGTACATCGAATCCTTTGACATATCTCGCCGCACATACTCTTCCACCCCACAGCATCAGCGGAAAGCATTCCAAAAATGCGGTGACCAGTTGGTGTACCGATTGCTGGAAATCGATAGATTTTGCGGACGTATGGCTCTAAGCAATCCAAGTAAGCACTTCTTCCTGCTGAGAGTCTTCCAACACTTGACGAACGTCTTTATCCAAGCAGCAGCCAATGCCATCCAACATCTGTATACAGTCCGCCCCTAAAGACGGTGTTTAGCGGGCGGCTGTGCGCCGCGTTGAGGCATAGAAGATCCATAGCGACATAGATGAATACGACAGCGCCATCTGTCCATTTCGCAGACAATTCGTGTCGCATCATTTTAGCCAGCGTAAACAGGATTTGCGGCAGACGATACGTTCCCTGTGCGACATGGTGGAGTCGACAGCGCATCAGCGGAACAAGGACAGCTAGCTAGCACGGGTAAGTTAGTATTCTTTCCTTCGCCATTCTGAACATTAACATACTTGCGCATAGTCGATGTACCCCCCTAGAGTGGATGGCGATACAACCATTCAACGTCAAAATGGACGCCTACGATCTCAACAACAGTAGTGCTGACATCGTCAACGCCAATTTCGGGAATATGTTGAATGGCTGCGGTGCATTCCCACAAACAGAAAGATATCGCACACGTGCAGAGGCTCAGCCTAACTAAAGTGTCTGGCGTGCAATGCAAATATCAATCGTTCCAACCGACGACGCCGCTACGACAGAATTTTATCTTATTGTACTCTAACCAAAAACATCAAAGACAAATTCAAATTCAAATTCAAAAAAAAAAAAAAAAAAAAAGAAACATACGCCGCGAGCACAACGACCACTAGCCAGGAAGCTTGGAAGATGAGCAAGAAGCAACAACCAGAAAGAGGCGCCACCAGAAGCGGGCAGACTTTGCATGCATGTAGAGGCCCAGCCTAACTAAAGCGTCTGGCACGTCATACGAAGAACCAACTGCCCTGGTGGTAGAGAGTAAAGAACTGCTGCCAGCTAGGGTCACAGTCACAGGAAGACAACTTCAACATGATCACATGACACTTCATCACAACACTTGCCAACGTCTACTCGACTTTAGCGGCAACCTCTACGCGATGAAGAAACACGACATCAAAGCATCCGTTCAACACCTACTTGCATTTGTCGCTTCCGACAAGAAAGCTCTGTCCTTGTTAAAAAAAGCTACCAACGACGATAGCCGCCTTTCTTTCGTCGCATACATCCTGCCCACTGTCCAAAAGTCGTCTTCATACCCCAAACAGGAGCTGATAAAGCAGGATTGGTTGCGAGAGATCAGTAGGGAATGCAACATCAGAAAACCCACTGTTCCTTCATGCGTCTTCGAAGCCTGCAAAATGCAGAAGAAGAAAACGAATGGTCACAAATTGACGAAGAGGCATTTGAGTCAAAGTCTCGGGTTCACAGCCCATGCCCGCAAGATCAATGCCGCGAGATTCGCCAGTGTCGTCGAAACGTGTGTCAGAAGGTACAGTGCTACCGACGCTTATCCACCTCTGAAGCACTGGGTGTACGAGACAGAGGCGATTCAAAAGCGATGGGAGGAACATCTCTCGTCAGGTGACCGACACGACCCCCGCAACCCTTACCTTCCACTGATGAAAGTCGATCTGGCTCTCCTCGACCACGATATACCCATCGACGATAGCCGCCTTTTTCGGGATTCAGATGGAGAGGAAGTTTGCTATGTCTTCCGCGAATTTTGCCCAAGCAAACCAGTACTCGCGTCGGTGAACGACATCGTCGAAGAATCTATTGATATCCGTCGAAATTGCCGAGTAAGCTTTAGCATGTCAATCTCAAGGCAAGCTTTCCTGACGAACGATATCAGATGGACGATCCTGGTGATCTCGTCCAAATTGGTTTCTCTGCGGGTTCTCGCAACGCTCCCAAGATCCACTGGGTCAGAAACATAACACGCTGCAATCTCCCAGATCAGGTCGTCGCCGACTTGAACTATCGTTCCAGCTCTGCTTTCGCATTGTTCTGGAACTTATGCAAGGACGTTCTTCCCAAACCAATCATCAATGACTTCAATGCTTTCTTCGAAAAAGACGGCATCCTCCGAATGAACCCTGCGGAGGGAGCAGCAAAGGATTTCGCCAAGGACGAACACCATGCTGTCACAGGCGACTATACCATTCAAATTGGTGATGAAAGCTTTCTTTTCAAGAACGTTGAGCTCGCCCCTCCCTGTGGAGTGTTTGGTCGAAACTATGCAAGGTCCACACTTACTTTTGCAAGATACATTCTGATCTTCACCATTTCTTAGAGCCATGCACTTCGAAAACCAGCCTCACAAATACGCAATAGCCTGGACGGTCAGAAGAGACCATCCTCCCGATGCAGGAGGCCATTTCTACATTGGCACTTACAAGATTCGCATCCAGGCTGCAGCCAACACTCTCGTCATTTGGAAACCAACCGACATCCATGGAATGAGCTTGCAAGATCTAGATCCAAACGATGAAAATCCCGCCTTCATTCAAACGGGCCTCGCCATTGTAACTCCCAAGCGGCTTCGCAAACTATGGAGAGCTTACAAAACGAAGGCTATTACGTACGACGACATCATACTTCCCTTGACTGCTAACAGCAACCACGAGGATTGACTTACTTTGTACATACAAAGATAACACCCTATATACATTGTCCTTCGAAATCTCTGTCGTAGCTATCTATCAAACACGAACTTGAAGCATGATTATCACCCACTAAAAAATAAAAAAAAGGGTCGGCAACCGTGTGGGCTCGCCCGCTGCTAAAGCATCTCGTATTTGGCTACGCGAGTGCCACATGCGATTTGCCTACATCGTTTCCAATCTACATAGAATGCTACGCGAAGGCACTCGGACAGATCAAGGACAGACCAGAACCTTCGCTCAAACTCTACTTCCAATCTCAGACACATCTCTTGACTTTTTTGACTCCGAAGGAAGATCATGGATTCGTCCGGAAAACTCAGGTAACATTTTGAGATCCGACAACACAGTATTCCCATAAGTAGACACTTTTCAAGATCCGATAGAATTTTCTAGCAATCGCAATTGGAGCTATTCAAATTCAATCCAGTAGAGAGTCGTTCGCGTTTGACAGAACCCTCCTTAGAGTCAGGGAAGTCAGTGGAGCTTGAAAATCTTCTGTGTTCAATCACGGTGAAGTCTTTCCAGATGTTATGGTAACTATTACAAACCACCTATATCTCTACCCTAGTAATATCTCCGTAATTGCTGGTGTCGAGACTAGGGGTTTTGTGAATTTAAGGAATTCCAAAGCACCTGCATGTGCAGATGTAATACATGTAATGTCCCTGGGGATTGTAAAATCCTGTTGTTCGCATACTTGTCCTGGGAAAATGCAGAATTTCTGGAGCATCAATTGTGAGGCTGAATATCCAAAATAGAATATCCCACTCACATGTACAAATGTAATGAATGTTCCAGGGATGCGCTGAATATCCAAAAAAAAAAAACAACACTGGTGTCTGGACAAATGTTGCAGAAAAATGCAGAATTCCTGAAGAATCAATTGTGCAGAATATCCAAATAAAACACTGCAGAATATTCAAAACCCCAGTGTCTGGATAAATGCTTGGGAAAATGTGGAATTACCAAAGCATCAATTGTGCTAAATAGCTATAAAAAAAATAACAGTGTGAAATAGCTGAAAAAAAACAACCTTGGTGTCTGGACAAATGTCACAGGGAAATGAGGAATTCCAGAGGCATCAATTGTGCAGAATATCCAAAGAAAGCACTGAAGAATATCTGAAAAAACAACCCTGGTGTCCAGATAAATGCTCAAGCAAATACGGAATTCTGGAAATTGTGCCCTCCATTTCACCAACTTCTTACTTAATTGATGGCTAAGAACCAGTTTTCTGGCAACAGTATGCTTGACATCTGGCATTAACTATCCTAACAACAACCCCTGTCCTGGCTTGGCTGAGAGAGGGGTGGATTGATGACAAATCCTGCCTTTATGACATTGTCATCCTCATCACAGCTCACAGTGAGTGCATTGGAGGGTAATTGGGGGCTTGACTGAAGGTTTGAAAAATGATTCAATGCAAGCACAGAGATGTGACACAGGAACAGTATGAAACAGCTTTAAGATACTTGCAATATTAATCACAACAGTTACACAAAAATATTCCATTCAACATACTGAACAACATATCAAGACATTGGTACAACATATAATAATACAAATCAAGAACTAGTTTCTCCTAAATCAGCATTGGGGGCTTTCTTCTTATGAAATGAATGTGCTATTCTAGACATAGTTTTTGATGTTTTCTTTACAAAATTACACCAGGAAGACACTAATCAGATAAATATGAGTGTTAGTCTAGAAGAATAATTGATCTCAGTGCACACCTTTTTTGTCAAAATTCATTGTTAAAGTCTTCTCAGTTTCTTGGACATTAGCCATGGTGGCATTTGCATGGTGGGATGTTGCTCCAATAACTCTGCTCTCAACTTCCTGAGCTTGGATGACAGGCCTCTCTGCCTCTTTATACTTTCCCAGACTTCCAAGGGTGGCTGCTAAATTTTCTGTAGCTAGAATGGTATCAGGGTGTTGTGGCCCAAGAATTTTCTTCCTTGCATCCAGAACTTGTACGTCCAGTTTCTCTGCCTCTGTGTATTTTTCCAGGTAGTAATATGTTGATGCTAGATTTGACATGGCTTCGATTGTGCCTGGGTGTTCCACTCCAAGACTTCTCTTCCTTGCATCCAGAACATGGACCTCCAGTATCTCTGCCTCTGTGTATTTTTCCAGGTAGTAATATGTTACTGCTAGATTTGCCATGGCAAATATTGTGTCTGGGTGTTCCACTCCAAGAATTCTCTTGCTTGCATCCAGAACTTGGATTTCCAGTGTCTCTGCCTCTGTGTATTTTCCCAGGTTTCCATATGATTACTGCTAGATTTGCCATGGCAAAGATTGTGTCTGGGTGTTCCACTCCGAGAATTCTCTTGCTTGCATCCAGAACTTGGATTTCCAGTGTCTCTGCCTCTGTGTATTTTCCCAGGTTTCCATATGTTACTGCTAAATTTGCCATGGCTCTGATTGTGTCTGGGTGTTCCACTCCAAGAATTCTCTTGCTTGCATCCAGAACTTGGATTTCCAGTGTCTCTGCCTCTGTGTATTTTCCCAGGTTTCTATATGAAGATGCTAGATTTGCCATGGCAAAGATTGTGTCTGGGTGTTCCACTCCAAGAATTCTCTTGCTTGCATCCAGAACTTGGATTTCCAGTGTCTCTGCCTCTGTGTATTTTCCCAGGTTTCCATATGTTACTGCTAGATTTGCCATGGCAATGATTGTGTCTGGGTGTTCCACTCCAAGAATTCTCTTGCTTGCATCCAGAACTTGGATTTCCAGTGTCTCTGCCTCTGTGTATTTTCCCAGGTTTCCATATGTTACTGCTAAATTTGCCATGGCTCTGATTGTGTCTGGGTGTTCCACTCCAAGAATTCTCTTGCTTGCATCCAGAACTTGGATTTCCAGTGTCTCTGCCTCTGTGTATTTTCCCAGGTTTCCATATGTTACATGCTAGATTTGCCATGGCAAAGATTGTGTCTGGGTGTTCCACTCCAAGAATTCTCTTGCTTGCATCCAGAACTTGGATTTCCAGTGTCTCTGCCTCTGTGTATTTTCCCAGGTTTCCATATGATACTGCTAGATTTGCCATGGCAAAGATTGTGTCTGGGTGTTCCACTCCAAGAATTCTCTTGCTTGCATCCAGAACTTGGATTTCCAGTGTCTCTGCCTCTGTGTATTTTCCCAGGTTTCCATATGAAGATGCTAAATTTGCCATGGCAAAGATTGTGTCTGGGTGTTCCACTCCAAGAATTCTCTTGCTTGCATCCAGAACTTGGATTTCCAGTGTCTCTGCCTCTGTGTATTTTCCCAGCTTTCTATATGAAGATGCTAGATTTGCCATGGCAAAGATTGTGTCTGGGTGTTCCACTCCAAGAATTCTCTTGCTTGCATCCAGAACTTGGATTTCCAGTGTCTCTGCATCTGTGTATTTTTCCAGCTTTCCATATAAAAATGCTAGATTTGACATCGCATTGATTGTCTTTGGGTGTTCCACTCCAAGAATTCTCTTGCTTGCATCCAGAACTTGGATCTGTAGGGTCTCTGCCTCTGTGTATTTTCCCAGGTTCTGATATGTTATTGCTATATTTGCCATGGCTGTGATTGAGTCTGGGTGTTCCACTCCAAGAATTCTCTTCCTTGCATCCAGAACTTGGATGTCCAGTGTCTCTGCCTCTGTGTATTTTCCCAGGCTGTGATATGTTGCTGCTAGCTCCACCATGGCTCTGCTTGTCTCTGGGTGTTCCACTCCAAGAATTCTCTTGCTTGCATCCAGAACTTGGATTTCCAGTGTCTCTGCCTCTGTGTATTTTCCCAGGTTTCTATATGAAGATGCTAGATTTGCCATGGCAAAGATTGTGTCTGGGTGTTCCACTCCAAGAATTCTCTTGCTTGCATCCAGAACTTGGATCTGTAGGGTCTCTGCCTCTGTGTATTTTCCCAGGTTCTGATATGTTATTGCTATATTTGCCATGGCTGTGATTGAGTCTGGGTGTTCCACTCCAAGAATTCTCTTCCTTGCATCCAGAACTTGGATCTCCAGTGTCTCTGCCTCTGTGTATTTTCCCAGGCTCTATATGTAGATGCTAGATTTGCCATGGCACTAATTGTGTCTGGGTGTTCCACTCCAAGAATTCTCTTGCTTGCATCCAGAACTTGGATTTCCAGTGTCTCTGCCTCTGTGTATTTTCCCAGGTTTCTATATGAAGATGCTAGATTTGCCATGGCAAAGATTGTGTCTGGGTGTTCCACTCCAAGAATTCTCTTGCTTGCATCCAGAACTTGGATCTCCAGTGTCTCTGCCTCTGTGTATTTTCCCAGGTTCTGATATGTTATTGCTATATTTGCCATGGCAATGATTGAGTCTGGGTGTTCCACTCCAAGAATTCTCTTCCTTGCATCCAGAACTTGGATCTCCAGTGTCTCTGCCTCTGTGTATTTTCCCAGGCTGTGATATGTAGCTGCTAGATTTGCCATGGCTCGATTGTGTCTGGGTGTTCCACTCCAAGAATTCTCTTGCTTGCATCCAGAACTTGGATGTCCAGTGTCTCTGCCTCTGTGTATTTTCCCAGGCTGTATATGAAGATGCTAGCTCTGCCATGGCTATGCTTGTGTCTGGGTGTTCCACTCCAAGAATTCTCTTGCTTGCATCCAGAACTTGGATCTGCAGCTTCTTAGCCTCTGTGTATTTTCCCAGGCTGTGATATGTTGCTGCTAGATATGCCTTGGCAAAGAATGTGTCTCGGTGTTCCACTCCAAGAATTATCTTCCTTGCATCCAGAACTTGGATCTCCAAGATTTCTGCTTCTTTTGAATATCCTTGTTCCCTTAACAGCCTCCCAAATTTTGCATAAGCATCATCCATGTAACTGATAAGATTCTGATTGCCTTCAGATTTTGGATACCCCATGTTTTCTCTCACATGTATTACCAAGTTCCTCCGAAATACATATGGCTGGTCTGTATTCCATCTTAGTGAACATGACAATATGATGTACACCATTAAGCAACATTTTTTCCTTTCACTTACAGTCAATCTGTCCCTGCCCCAGGTATGAACCAGTGGATGCATTGCATACACAGTATCAGATAGTCCCCTCTTGATTAATGAGAAAGACAGCAATGTTCGAATGCCCTCTCTAAAATTGAAATTATCCCAAGTGCCTGTCTCAGAAAGAGGTAGTAGTCTTCGGTCCAGCAGTGAACTTGCAAGAGGTAAATCTGGGATATGAGTTTCATCATTTTCTTGAAGGGCAGCATATGAAAAGATTTCCTCAGATATTTCCTCATGATGGAAGAAAGGAAGTAATTCTAGAAGTAGCATTGCACTATTGGCTGCATTGGCCTTATAAGAATCATCAGATTTAGCCCATTCTTGAATTTCTTTGTATGATAGCTCCCAAGTTTCATAGACAGTTTTGTTATACTTAGATGCTCCAGTAAATGCAGAATGAGAGAATAGTGTTTTTCGATGCTCTGAATACTTTGTTAGATAGTCTCCAATAGTGGTGGCCCCAGAAGCAATATAAGCACCAGCTTGGTCAATAGCAAGAGGAAAGCAGAAGAGCTTTGTAACAATATTAGAGGCTTGAATTTGATGATCTGATGTAGATGATTCCAAGCAACTAGCTTTCAGAAGTAGCACAATAGCATCCCTCTCTTCCATTTCAGTCACTTCAAGAGAATTCTGACATGAAGTCAGAGTCATCATGGCAGAGTTACGACTAGTTATCAGAATGTTTCCCCATACTCCAGGTGGGAAATACCCCTCCAGTGCAGCAGGTGACAGAACATCAGCATTATCAAAAATCAGGATGTAATTCTCTTTCAGAGAGCCAATCCACCAGAGAGCAGAATCAGATGAGCCATCCAATCCACAAGACTGACCAATACCCTTCAATGCCTGCATGATGGTACCTGAGGAGGATCCATCAACCCAGAAAACATGAGAGAAGCTGGGAACAGTTCAATTTTTCAGGTAGGGACAGACTGGTGTTCAATAGGTACTCACCTGTCAGACATTTCCTCAACAAACTTTAAGCAAATCTGAGTCTTTCCAATACCCCCAATTCCATATAACAAGAAAAGCTTTCTCTTCCGAACTGTGTCGTTTGCATTGGTGAAGAAATGCTGCTTGAGTTTCGCAATGACTTCCGCACGCCCAGTGAACCGAGTGCTTGGGTTTGGCGGAAGGGGCATGACCCCCGTCATCTTATTGCCGTGGATATTGACCTGCAACAGATCCAACGCCGTCAACTTGCTTGACAGATACTTTTAGCGAACATTACACTCACAGTCTTAGCTTCAATGAATGTGCCGTTGTTGGCGACGAAGTGGTGAGCGCCCGCAAAGAAGTTTGCTCCGCTCATGTTGAGATATCGAAGATGGACGTTCAGGATGAGGGAGGGAAAGAAAGGACAGCGCCCAAACCCAGACCCCCAATCACGCCACGAGGTGAAGGCGTGCCTGTGTCTATTTTTATAAACAGTTGTACAGCTATCGAGGTATCGATAGACCAAATTTCAAAACGCTCCGCTTAGTGGTTTTGTTTACTTGTGGAGCCTCAGGGTATGCGCAAACAACCTTACCAGGAAGGTATGACTATATACGCAACAAGCGGGAAGGGGCGGGGAGGCAATGCCTGCCAACTAGCTGTGGGAAGTTGTTTGGCCAGCTCCAAAACTAAACAAAATCATTGAGCGGAGCGTTGTGGAAACTAGTCTATCGATACCTCGATAGCTGTAAACGTGCCCGGGCTTTTCCGACTGTTGACTCCAGTCTTCTCCAAGCCCTCGCCTTCGTCTTTCTCATTCCTCGGTAGTTTGCTGTCTTTGGTGAGTGGGCTCAACTTTCTAGTGTTGGTTTTGTATGGCACCTGCAGGGCTCACGACGAGAGAATAAAGTCCGTTGTTGGCGCCGAACGCGCCTGTTGGACTGATGTATATGCGGTGCTTACGAGTGGACTCTACGAACGTGGGCCTGGCTGACCTTATTTCTCTAGTACTCATGGCAGATAGAAAACGGCGCGCAATCTACACGTCTTTTTTCTCTCGTCTTAACAATACAGTCTCTCAAAGTGAGTGGCCGGATCATCGTCGAGTTCGCCCCTCTCTGAACATCCAATTTGATAGCTGCAAATTCGGAGCTGGAGTTGCTGCGCGGTGGCTTAGCGGGTCGGTTCAAGTGCCAATATTGATATTCGACTCGTCAAGTCCTCACAATTGGCCGTGCTTACATCGGTTTGCCTGTTGGAGAGAATTCAAAGTAAGCTCGTAGTCTTTTCTATTCCAAACCGCCGGTAGCTAAGGTTTATTTACCCAGCTGGTTATCCCATCACTCACCCACATTCGCCCACTCCTTCTCAATGAAGCCAACGACCAACGACAGCCGACTTTCGCATTTCCTTCAAACTTAACAACATACCCATTCCACAGCCCTCCACCAACTACGCTTTTGGTCCTTCCCACCGTCCTCCTGACTGATGTCGATCATCGGAAGTGCCTTTCAGACGACACGGACGCACGGCTTCTTCGTTTTGATGAATCATGGCGGGTCGAGGTCGCCGCCATCAACGATAGCGCGGACCAGACTTTCTCCGGCTGAGAGGGACAAAGCTAGTGAAAGTCGAGTTGCAGCGGCCGAACATATTCTGGTACCCCACTCGCTTCAACCCTTTCCCTGCCAATCGGCTTCCACAACATTCGAGGTTTTGCCTGACGGCTCTTAACGGTCCCCGCAAGTTGCCGGCTTCCAAAGGGGGTCTTGCCATCGACGTTGGTTGAAAGATTGGATGATGAACTCTTCAGCTAACACCGCATCAGCAACGGCCCTCTGTGACGTTGAACTCAAACCGTTTGCACTGGCTCTCCATCGTCAACACCGCTCTCAAATTCTTGTGGAGGAATGGCGAGGACGAACGAGCGGAAGTTGGACAAGTCCAATGTGACAGGGCAGGTGTATTCCGTGGAGTAAGATCGCAATTCCGGCTGTAAATGGATTTGAAACGCGAGGTATGTGATCGATGAGCGGAGTGTCTGCGGAGTTTGTTGGGTCGGGCGTGGTGGCGCAGTGCTGTGCCATAGGCTGGAAGACCGCCGTGAAGTATGCAACGCCGGAGTTGGTGGAGAGGTGGTGGATAGATGGACGAAAAGAGCGAGAGAACGACCACAACGACACTTACAGCACACATCTAGTGGCACTCCGCTAGGCGTTTCCGAAACTTTCTCGCTCCTGATAAGCTTAAAGGACCCCGCTATCATCCTGCCTGACACACTGCTGTCGAGCCGCGGTTTCAAAGACACCAGTACTCTCGATCAGCCGCCCAACTGCACGAACTCCATCCTCCCGCTACTCCAACAACAACGACTTGTATCTCCAAACTACCCTGTACGGCTTACAGCATACCAGAACTGCACGACTGTTGGTGTCTCCCTCTCTAGATCCCTCGTGGTGGTGTGTTTTGGCCGCTTGATGCGCTCCACATGAAGATCAAGTGCAGAACTGCATCCCACCCCATCCAGCCCACTTCCTCCCCTCAAAACAACCTCTCGACAGCCTGGATGTGCACGCCACCCTCTTTGCCGTGACATGGCTTTCTCACCTCCCTTCAGATTTTGAAACCTACCAGGTATGAGCAGCCTCACGTAGCATATCGTCACCAGGATCCTGACACCACGATACGCAGCTCAGATGCATACGGCATACTGATGGCCATCTTCCCATTCCCCTCACCGCATACCAAGGCATCGTGAATGCGACGAGTCGACGTTTACGAAGATCCGCTGCCGCAAGGGACCAGTTTTCAATGCTCGAAGGTCCGAAAGACTAACGGGTGCAGATGATCGTGTTGAATTTGTGCGCGTTGAGCCAGTGTTCGGTGATCAAGGCAGTTTGGGGGGTCGTGTGGAGAGGGAGGTCGCAGGCGCGGTGGAGGATGAGCAGCCGATGTTGACGAGGAAGGGTCGTTGGGATTCTGACGGCATGCCTCGTATCAAGATCCTCTCAGCGTCTCCTATCAGAGTTGCGGAGGCTCAGCGCGCGTCCCTTTTGTGTACGCCCTAGTAATGAAAAATCGGCGCCATAGAATCTGAAGACTATCACAGCATCAACAGTCAGGTCTTCGAGCTATCGGGAAGCGACAAACGACGAAAACACAAGAAACTTGAGGGCTTTGGGGTCTAGAAAGTCATCTACTTTCTTTCACGACTTTTCAGTCATGCTTCTCTGGAGACGAAACAGCGTCATTTTAAATTTTTCCCTGGCGTGGTGAAGGAAACACGTGTTTACTTTTGTTTGGATCGCAGGTCAATGGTGGACCTTCCCAGCGTCAGTACCTAAGTACCTCATCGCACAGCGAAGCGACAAAAGCAAGCGCCTACACCCTTAATTCCGATTTTCGAGTGCAGAACATGTATCTACATGTACGAGTTTGATCACTCTACTTTGTGGTCGCCGCCTAAAGTTGCCCCCGTCCTCTGCCGATCGAGCTGTGGAGTCGCACAAACCTTTATGAAAAGCGGTCATAAACGATGTGCCGAGGCGAAAAATTGTTGAAAGCCGCGAATCATGCGAATACTTTGATTCATTCCTCTCGTCTCTAGAACCCTTCCTCTCAAGTCGCTCTTTACCATGCGTTCCTTACTCGCCTTTTTCGCCTTAGCTGTCTCGGCCGGTGTTTCTGCTCTTGTTTCTCCAGCGGGTGAACCTGCGTGCATAGCAGAGTACTGTGCTGGGAACTTCCCCAATGCCGTTCAGCCCCCTGCTCCCACCCCATCTGTTCCCTCCCCCCTAGATGCCTTGACGAACGCTGAAAGGCTAGTTCGTGGTATGCCCTTGAAGGCTCCGGTACGCAGGAGGAGTGGTGCGTATCCGCTCTTTCTTCATGACAAGTCAGTACGACTCACCGTCCTCTTCCTAGATTTCGTCCGCCGCTCGACGCCTTCCTCTGTCCCCGTCATTCAAGTCGTAAAGACCGTAACCAAACGCGGAGTTATCGAGGTCAAAAACAGCACGGGAGACTGTCTTGGTTATATTTCCAAGAATTCTCTCAGCAAAGCCCAGCTCCAATATGAGTCGGCCATCGAGAACGCCACCACCGTTACTTTCCCCATCCAAGAATCCTCGATCTCAGCTTCACAAGTCCGGATCACCATGGAGGTAGCCTCTTCCATCTTTCCTGTTTCAAGTGGATGTTGATATGGATTTGCCTTTTTCATAGGACTCGGATGAGATCGGTTTTCCTCTCCTTGGATTGGTGCAGGGTGCTAACGACACAAGCGTTGATATTGGTTCGGAATCTTACAAGTATGTCCTTTGCCGTCGCGTGTCAGTGTTTACACTGACAAAGTATAGTTTCTTTTATCTTACGGGAATTGCCCAGCCAGGATGTACGTCTCCTTTGACACTGGTAGCTTGCACGTGGTATCTCATCTCGATTCGTCACAGCGGTCGCTGGCGCTGTCCCGGCTAACATCTCCAATGCCTACACTAACGTGACGACTTTGGTTAGAGCAGCAGAGTCCGATGTTGTACGCAAAGCCCTTCACATCCCCTCTCCGAATAAATTCGCCGACACTAATTTTTGTTACAGTGGACCATCGACCTCACTACAGGAAACCTCTCCCCTCAATGGATCAACTCCAATGGCTGTAAGCTCGGTGCTCACCCTCACATCTTCCAAGCACTCAATGTTTCCCTCTTAGCCGCCCCGACCACTGTGCTTTTTGCACAATCCAGCGCGCTCTATGCTGGCGGTAACTCGTCCACCTTTTCAGCGCAGTTTCCTTCACCGATCACGGAATACGTATGTACCCATAGTCGTTTTGGGGAAAGCTTTGACTTATCGTTTTGCAGACCCTCCAGTTCGTCGAGACGAAGTAGATTACCAAAAATTCCCGGCATGGACCGTTGCACAGACATTATAGACACACTTGCATTGATTAGCCTTGAATACGCATGGACGTTTGGTGATGATGCCAATGATATGAGCTCAACGTAGTATGTATAAGCTGGCATACAGTGGGACTAACTAGACATTGACAATGGGAGTGGCAGAGAACATATGATCTGACATCAGCTACCAATTTCTGTAATCTAGAACCGCAGCGAGGTGACTGTAACCCTCTACTTGTTGAAACGTTGAGGTCCTCGACCCAAGACGATCGAGGTTCTGAAACTTGGAAACTAGCTTTATTCATTGCGAAACGACTCGAAGTGGGGATTGCCAATCTCTCACTGAACTATTTTCCGACGTTTTTTTCGGCCACCTGACAGCCAACATCCGAATACAGCAAACCAGCAGAATGTGTTCTACCCCTTGAATCCAGATCCACCATGGCGTGATGGTGTCGAGACAATGGAACCACGCCATTTCAACCACACCCCAGAAAGCTGAAATGGACGCCAAGCCGACGTCGTAACCCTCCTTCAACGGCGTGCCCACTTTCGTGTTGCACGCGTCAGTGGCGAAGCACCAATCGTAGGCTGCACTCCACCAGAAGCGGGAGTCGCGTAAGTTGGTGTAGTGCGCGTAGAATGTCTGGAGGAGTAGGATCACCAGGATGAAGAGGCATGCGATGCGGATGGAGATCCTGGCTGTGAGATGGTTCTGGCGAAACGAGCTGGTGGTGGGATCTGAGCTCGAAGGAGCTTGAGTAGGTTCCAAAGGACGATTAGGGGGATTGGTATTGACATCTTGCTGGACGGAGTTATTGTCGTTGGTCACAGCCGTGAGAGTCTGGAGTGTAGGATTTCCTCCAGGCTGCAAGTGCGATATGCGGGCACTGAGATCATTTACTTGCTTCTTTAAGGCGGTGATGTCCTCTTGCCAGGGAGGGTCGATAGCTGGGTATGTAGAATGGTTTGGCACGCCGGATTTCGTAACAGTGGCTATGATGGGGTAGATTAGAACAAAGAAGATGAGACAACAAGATTGGAGGGCATACGGCTTGTGCTCAAAATTTGGGCGTCGTCCTTGCCAGAAGGAAAGATCGAAATGGGCTGGATTTGTTGTTCGAGAATGACAGGCCCGTCAATACCTTCTCCGGACGCATGGGTGGGACTTGGGAACGGAGAAGCCCTGAAAATCTCTCCCATCTGTCTCTATTGTGACGCGTCATAGAATTGGCACTCACTTTGTAGGAATGGCAGGAGTATCTGTCGATATGGCGGACGGGTAGATAACAGGCGAAGTCTTTCAAGTTTAGAAGTGGGCGTTTGTTTCGAGATGAACGCAGTCATTTCCTCTTATATAGTTTCCTGATGAAAGGGAGTGGCACTTGAGTGGCACAACGGAATGTAAGGTTGCCAACGCACGATAATAAGATGGGTACTTACTAGTTAGACATCGTGGGCATGGGGAGAGCGCTGTCATGACGAGTTCCAGGGATGGGCGGCGGAAACAAAAGCGAAGTCACATCGGTACTCTGCATCCTCATCGTTTTCTGTGAGTGGGGCCTGAATGTAAGGGGCAGACAGGTCAATTGACACACAACAGACCTAGTCATATCGACACTGATCTTGAAGAAACCGTTGGAATGGAGGTGGACTCTGGTGTAAGTAAGTACTACCAGTTTCGACTTGGAAAGAATTGATTTATAAACTCCGACTACATACTTACATACCGCCATGGAGCCTCAGCCACATATCCATTGGGGTCAGATCAAAACTCAAGAGTACGAACTGGCAGAACATCTGTCGACTGCGCACCTAGCATCGAAAGAGGTAGTGGATGTGGACTCCTGGCTGGTTCAGTCTATTTTCCAGCAATACAAGCGAAAAAAACAGTCTCGAAGTCATCGTATACGTCATGTGCATCCTGACCCTACCTTCAAGTTGGACCTTGACAAGGCCAAAGCCATTCAAGTTATTTTTGAGGAGAAGAAATCCATGTTGGTGCGATGCAGTGTGGCAGATGCAGTCAAGTTTGGCCAGGAAATGGCAACAGCGATCAACGTAGTGTCCCCAGATTTGGTGAAGACTCATGAACGCCAGAAGACGATTGAGTGGTAAGTGCTGAAACATGGAGCATACTACTTGACCTAATCTCTCTTTGCCAAGGTGTTCCATCGCGTATGGAAATCTCATCTGCAATCCAGGCTGGGGTGTTCAACTAAAGATAAAGACGTTCAAGGATGATGATACACATGGTTTTTCCATCAGGGCTACCAGGGATCTGGTTGCAGAGGAGATGCTCTACCCTCTCATAGGTTTATTGGCTTCTGATTCAACGGCGGAACACTCGCATCTGTCGGAACTCCGTCCTCACCTGAGTCAAGTGCAAGAACAAGCAGAAACAGAAAAGCCACGTGTGCTCATAGGACCGCTACGATTCATAAACCATGCGTGCAATTCGTTCAATGCCAAGGTGAGTCATTTGTTTTTGTTGAGCATTCGGCACCCATTTACGACATTATACAGTTTATTCCAATCAATTCAACACTGTCTTTTGTGGTTTGCACCACGAAAGCCATCAAATCAGGTCAAGAGGTTTTTGTCAACTATGGAGAAAAGTATTTCGAAGATCTAGGCCAATGCCCATGTAGGGACTGCAAGGGGGAGAGTTCTGAGGATGTCCGTTCTGAGGATGCCACTTCACCGCTGGCAACAAAAAGTGAATTGGTAAAGGCAGCTTTTAAAAAGAGGCGTGCAGCAAAGAAGGTAAAGGCAACCACAGCCAGGAAGGAAAAAAAAGATGTTGACGGGAGGGTTTAGTCTGTAGTATACCGAGTCTATTTCAGTTCCAGCATTGATGGCATGCCTTGTTCAAAGTTTGCTGCCCAACGTAAAATTCTATCACCCAGTTATTTTCTTTTATTGACCAGGAAGCTAGACATGTGAAGAGGGCATAAAAAGGCTAAACTGCAGTGACAGGAAGAAGAGAAACGGACGGGGACGTCGACAGGATGTCAAAACGCCTAAGTAGGCCTATTTAAGTAGTGGATAACTTCCCATAAGGTCTAGAAGCCTAGATTATTCTCTAAATGTTTGATGGGCAGAGTTCAAAAATATATTCAGCCGTTTTTCTAAACCACAAGCCAAAGTAATACAGATCTATACAAGTGCAATCAATTCTTCTTTGGTGACGCGGATCTCATTTAGGATCTCTTTACTGAACCTCATTCCGTGCCCACAGGTGCCCACTGCGCCTCCAGCCTCAGTTGATATTGAATTCAGTGAGGAGAGCTGACCAATAATATGAAGACACCCTGCACTTACGTGCAATTGGATGCCTCAGTGTGTGGTTTGAAGCGTACGTCTTCAACATGATAAAAAAATGTCCTACAAACCCGGTTCGTATGAAAAATGACTTGATTGTCTTTCACTCTTGATTCCCTATTGTTTCTCGAGAAATACAAGAAAGATGTAGTGGATAGTTCTTCAGAAACCGGCTACATATGTTGGTGGATCTTGATGCCTTGTCTGATTTGGACGGGATGCTCAGGGATTGATCGTCGGACGATGAAAAAAGGGTTTATGCAAGTGATTTAGAACTAGAAGAGGGGGGGGAGGCCTCGTCTAGATTAAAATCTAGAAGAGGGTGTTCAATGACAAGCGGAGTTCAACTTTGACAGATTGTGACCCATTTGGCAAACGGCATGGCGGCATGTCAGTTTAGAAAAATAATCTAGGTTTCTAAACCTTATGGGAAGTTATCCAGTGCCAAATTTTTTTTTTTTTTTTTTTTGGTTTCTAGAGATTTACGTGCAACAAGTAGCCTAGTACTAAGACGCACGGAGAGCGTAAGGCTCCCCTTAGGTGTAGTTGGGTCTGGTGGGCCTCCACTTGTGTGGGTATTAACGTCCGTTGTGTAGCTGTCATGTAAAGATAATGTATAGTGTTTTGGTAGAGGGCCGAATGAACGGGGGTCTTGGACTGTTGCGTGCATATGACGCTAGGGCATGGGCGGGCGCTATTGCGCTCGCGGGGTTGTGTACACGGGTGTGGATGGCATGGGCGTGCTATGGTTCAGCGTCTGACTCGTCGTCTTCTGAGTCAATATCGGGAGGCTCTGGTTCGTCGTGGAAGGAGGGGAGGTCCTTGGGGGTGTATTTTTCCCCGGTGAACGTGAAGGCACCTGAGTCTCGAATGAACTCGGCTAGGGCAGCTATACCCTTGGGCGTTCCCAGCAGCTCTGGGAGCGCTAGGTCTCGGTTATGCTTGCGCAGCTTCTTCCGCTGTTCCTCGTAGTGGTTGCACTCTCTGATGATGTGCTCTCGAGTTTGTAGTGCCAAAATTGTTGGCACTTTTGAGGGTTCTTATCTACACGCTGATTACGCATTTTTATGAGCATTTCATCCCAGACTTTGCTAGGACGACAATTATTATCTGCAACGAGTTCACTACCAAAAACGCTCTTTCGAGAATGGGTCTGAGATAGGTATTTGGCGTGGGAAGTCCTTGGCTCTGACTTCTCCCCACATCGCCAACGACGGAGGACGCTTCTCGTAATGGCAGACCGTTCTCGACGCGACAAAAGTAACAAGCTTGACAGGCTAGCAGAATACAAGCGCGCAAGGGAGGGAGAAAAGCGTGTTTTGAAGGTATGCCACGCGTCGTCATTTACACGCTAGCTGAAAGACTAGAACGCGCCCAGGAAGAGGATGATAAGATATACGATGAGGTTTCCGAAGACCAGTACAAGCGCATTGTGAAGGGGCGATTGATGGAGGATGACTTTGTTGTTGATGATGGGGTGGGGGGGTACATGGACAATGGGATGGATGATTGGGCGGGTGGTGATCAGGACGCCGAGGAATCGGACGAAGAATACGACAAACCGAAGAAAGGTTCGTTTCTTACGCCTATGGCTATATTAATTGCCCTCTGAAATGCTACTCTAGCGAAGAAAAAGGGAAAGGAAGTGGCAGGTAAAAGCAAGGCGAAGCCCAAAGCACCACCCCCGGTAGCTGCTCCCACAATCAGCGCCTACCGACCTGTCCGTTCCGCTGAGCAAGAAGATGTATTCATGAGCTCAATTCTCGGAAACATGGACACTGCTCCAGTTACACCCATCGCCTCCAAAAAAAAGTCGCGTAAACGGAACTACAATCCTGATATGTCTCCTGATTTCGACTCGTACCGTGGCGGGGCCGAACCGCCCTCTGACCCTCCGTTTGAGGACATGCAACATCCCCCCAGCGATGATTACATGAGTCCGAAGAAGAAACCTCGGATTAGTGATGCTGGTGGAATGACGCCTGCCATTGAGCGTTTTGCCGACATGGATGTCCACAGTAGTTCCGACGGCTTTGACGATACTTCCTTTGACGATTTGGATATGGACGCTTTCATGGACGTCGATGACGACGATTTGGATACGAAACCAGACATCAAGCCTCCACCCAATAAGAAACCCACAAAACCGCTTCCACCACCAGCACCCAAGAAAGAAGAACCCGACGCCAAACCGTCCTGGCTCTCAGTCCACGACTCTCTTGCAGTCGTCAGTGAAGACACATTGGGCCCTCTTAGTTCCAGCACATCCGCAAACAGTGCCACGACCGTATCCGCTCTTGAAGAAGATGGCTCTCTCCGTTTCTTTTGGCTGGATTACCTTGAAAATGACGGAAAGCTATATTTCGTGGGCAAGCTCAAGGACAAGGTGACGGGCAAATGGGTATCGTGCTGCGTAACTGTTGAAGGGATACAACGGAATCTTTTTGTACTGCAACGGGAGAAACAAGTTGAGCAAGACGATGAGGGCAAGATGCACGACACGGATATAGTTCCTACCGAATCTGATGTCTATGACGACTTCGATATGATTAGGAGGGAGCTGGGAATAAAGTCCTGGCGAGCAAAATGGGTGAAGAGGAAGTATGCTTTTGGAAAAACGGAGGTTCCGCGTGGAGAGAGCACCTGGATGAAAGTTGTTTATGGATTCAATGGTGAGCTTCTCGTTTCACGTTTTCGTTCCGGACACTGACTGCTTGTCAGAACCACAGGTGCCCATGGAAGCCTGCAGTCCGAACATTTTGAGAATATTTGGAACCAATACAAGCGCGTTTGAACTTTTTGTGCTCAAACGTAAGATCATGGGGCCATGCTGGCTCCAAATCAAAAAGCCCCAAATTGATAACAAGGGGGTAAGCATTTCGCAACCATTGGTCTTGATCTTGCCAACACACCCCTAGGTTTCATGGTGCAAACTCGAAGCAACGGTTTCTAACCCCAAGGACGTCAATCCGTTCGCAGAAACTGATTCAGATGCACCAAGGGAACTGCCCCCTCTGACTGTCATGAGTCTTAGCGTCCGCAGCATTGTCAATCATCAAGAAAATAAACGAGAAATCGTTTGCACCACCTCGAGAATCTGGCATAATAGTAAGTCAAGGGTGATCGTCTGGCAGTGCTAGCACTAATCCTTGTGGTGTAGTGCAGATTGATGACCCAACCCCTCCGGAAAGACTTCCGTGCGTCGTCCAGACTTACGTTCGCCCACTCGACCGCTTTCCTCCAAACTTCGAAAATCAGGCCAGGGCAAACGGCAAAGGCGTCATCTCACCCATGAAGAATGAACGCATGCTCCTCAATAGCTTGCTGGGTTCGCATTCCATGTTGACCTCACACTCCTATTCCGTCTGATTAGAGGATTTGCAGTGTCCATCTATAAGGCGGACCCAGATGTTATTGTCGGCCACGATTTCCTTGGTGTTTCCCTCGACGTCCTGCTGCATCGAATGCGCGATCTGAAGGCCGACCACTGGTCTCGTCTCGGACGATTCAGAAGGTCCAAGTGGCCTAATATTGGGAGACAAGGTTCGAATATCAAGTTTTTGAACGGCCGAATGCTCTGCGACCTTGCTAGTGATGGTGCAAAGGTCTGTCGCCAACTTCGCGGAGTGTCTCTGCCGGACATTGACTCTCTCCTTAGAGCATGATTGTATCCACGACCTGGTCCTTAACCGAGATGTGCAAGACACATCTGAATAGTGAACGGCAAGACATCGACCCAGACGACACTGCCAGCTACCTAGATGGGAGTTTGAGTTCTCCGGATCGAATGCTTACCTTTGTTCGTCACTGTGAACTTGACGCACACTATCAAATGGCGATAGCCGCGAAGGTGCAGATTCTGCCCCTGACAAGACAGTTGACGAATCTCGCTGGCAACTCATGGTACGTCGTGGCGCACTTTGGAGTGTCTTAGATCATTGAATGCCTTGCAGGAATAAAACGTTGAATGGCGGACGTGCAGAGCGCAATGAGTACATTTTGTTGCACGAGTTCCATCGCTTGAAGTATATCTGCCCCGACAAGACTTACGGGAAGCAGTCAGCTGCTGTGGTCAAGCAAGAAGCAGAGGAAACTCCCGAAGGCGGCAAAACGAGTACGAAGGGTAAACGCGACAAGTACAAGGGTGGACTCGTCTTTGAACCAAAGAGGGGCTTATGGGACAAGTTTATCCTCGTCATGGACTTTAACTCTTTGTATCCCAGCATCATCCAAGAGTATAATATCGACTTCACGACTGTGGAGCGGGTTGACGACGATGAGGTTCGTCATGTTTTGATTGCTGTTATCATGAAGCTCATGCTTTGTTTTGTGACAGAATGGCGATGAGCGGATACCTGACCCTCCTCCTCCCAATACACCTCAGGGCGTCTTGCCACGTCTGATTGCCACTCTTGTTAGCCGGCGGCGGCAAGTTAAAGGACTCATGAAAGACCGAGACGTTACGCCAGCCAAGCTCCTTCAGGTGCGTACATTCCTGCTAGATTTCTGAGTATGCCATTTCCTCAAACGTTACTCAGTACGACATCAAACAAACCGCCCTCAAGTTGACGGCTAACAGCATGTACGGGTGTTTGGGCTTCGAATACTCGCGCTTTTATGCCCGACCACTTGCCGCTCTGACCACCTACAAGGGCCGTGAAATCTTGACGAACACGCGAGAAACGGCTGAGGGTCTCAACCTCGATGTAAGGGCCTGACGTGAATTATTTACGTTTTCGCTGACCGCACTTCAAGGTTGTCTACGGAGACACGGATTCTGTCTTTGTAAACTCCAACGTCACCGAGTTATCTGAAGCGCTCAAGATATCCGCCCTGTTCAAGAAAGCTATCAACGATCGATATAGGCTCCTGGAAATTGACCTTGATGCAGTCTTCGAACGGCTCCTGCTGTTGCAGAAAAAGAAGTACGCCGCTATCAAAGTTGAAGACGGCGGAAGGACCACAACAGAAGTCAAGGGTCTTGATATGAAGCGCAGGGAGTACTGTGCGCTATCGAAGAACGTCTCCCAGTAAGTTGCCATATCCCACTTTCTTCGGACTGGTGACATAATCATCGCAGATATGTTCTCGAGCAGATTCTGTCGGGTGAACCTACTGAAGTGGTTGTGGAGAGTATCCACGAATACCTGACGAGCATCTCAGAACAAGTGCGGAATGGGACGACGAAGCTGGAAGATTTCATTGTATTCAAGGTAAACAAGTTGTCTCGATCATCACAGAGAGAGTTTCTTATCACAGCCACCCATCAGCGTCTCGGAAAAAACCCCAAAGACTACCCTGACGCGAAGAGCCAGCCACATGTCCAAGTGGCGTTAAGGATGCAACAAAGGGGTGGCTCCGCTCGTGCGGGGGATGTCATCCCATACGTGTTCTGCCTCGCTGAAGGCGAGGAGACAGCCAAGACCGCTCAAGCCGATCGGGCCAAGCACCCTGACGAAGTTCGGAGAGCGGGGTCGGAGCTCAGAGTCGGTGGGCATCTACTATCCTCCTCTATCCCAGCTGTGTGTTGAAGAGAGTTAGATTACGAACATTACCTTTCGCAGCAACTTCTTCCGCCCATCGAACGTCTGTGCGACCCTATCGAAGGGACCGATCGAGCCCGGTTGGCTGAATGTCTTGGTGCGTACCCTGTTTACTTTCCTTCTTTGCATATAGACACTGAGTTTGATGCCTCCCATCCCACAGGTTTGGACCCCCAGCGCTACAAAACCTCAAATGGACCAGAAGAAAGGGAATTCTCCATGCTGGACTCGCTGATCTCCGATAAAGAACGATTCCAGGACGCCTCTCCGTTTGTCGTTCGGTGTAGGCAATGCAGCGCCCAGATGCCGTTTACGCCTATTCCTGAAAGAAGTGTAAGTATCTACCCCCGTTTCCTCTCTTATCGCTCCTCACCCCAGAATGTACAGACGTCTATTCTCCACCCGAGCGGAGCCGCCTGCCTGGGGTGCCAAAAACCACTCAAACTGGGCAGCATGCAGCTGCAGCTGGAAGTGCAAATCAGGGAGTTTATTGGGCGGTATTACGAAGGCTGGTTGGTATGTGACGACTCGACGTGCGGGAACCGCACACGTATGATGGGCGTGTACGGGAGGAAATGCTTGAAATTGGAGTGTAAAGGGCGCGTTTCATTTGAGGTTCGTTTATCCTCTTTCTGCGCGCTCCGGTTGATCTCATCTTACTCACATGCGCACTTCTTCTCTTCCCCACACCAACAACCACCCCGGTTTCGAACAACCAAACAAACATAGTATTCGGATGCGGAATTATACACCCAACTTCGGTACTTTGCCTATCTCTTCGATGGGGAGAAGGCCATCAATTCCGCTGTCGGTCCGAATAAAGGTTTGTGGGAGTATCTTCTTGACGAGGTTATCAAACTGAGATTGGCTTTCCGCTTTGACAGAGCTCGTCGCGGCTGTTGTGAGGGCGCCGGCGAACGCTGCGTTGTTGAGGTCGTTGACGGCTTGTGTTGATAAGTACCTTGATCAGTGTGGGAGACGGTGGGTGGATTTGTCGACGATTTTTGGGAAGATGAAGGTTAAGACGGTGGCTTGAGTGGATGCGGACTGCGTTGATCTTTTTTCCTGTTCTTTTCTTTCGCTGCTCGTTGTTTTATCAAGTTGTTAGCATTAGATATCTCGGTATCTTCACCATGAATGTATTTATACCATTTGATTTCTCAGGTCATCTCGTCGCAATGGTGTTGGACTCGACTCCAAGAATTTTAGGTCGAAGAATAGGACAAGATCACATAATTATGGACGATAATATATAGTTAACATAGAAAAAGTTGAGCCCAGAAATTCAATGTCGAAACGATAATCGGGGGAGTACATAGGTTGGCTACAAAATAACAAGGGCGAACGAAGAGATCAAATCAAATTTAATTCAACATCCCGGAGGCGGCGCCGCACATGCATCCCTGATTTTCTTTGCATACACCGCGTCTCTGAGCGCAAGGAACTGTTGAAAAACTAAATAGGCAACCGGCACTAATAAAAATCCGAGTATCACAAACCTTTTGTTCTTCGCTTACGGTACGGATATTTAATTTCCGATTCGATTTTTGCATGTGCACCAAGAGCGTCTGAAGTTTACATCAGGATCAGTTTTTAGGACTCGGAGACTCGGCGAAGGAGGGAGGAGGGGCACGTACTCTGATGGACCGGCTACTCAAGCCCCGATACCCCGACACGCGTGTTAACGTTGCAGGTACCGCACCTAGGAGCTCGAATTGCTGGTGGAGGTACATAACGTACTGTTCTAGGCATTCGAGGTAGTGTCGCTTTTTTTCGTGTGATGATATCGTGTCTCTAAATAAATAAAACCGGGGTCAGAAAAATTGCTTTAAAAATATAAGTAAGTAACTTACGGATCGGTGGGTATGAACCCCACGCTCTTCGCCGTCGCACGTCGCCGGGCTTTTCTTGCGCTATCGTGGCGAGGTTTCCCGTCGACTTGTACTGGACTGTTATTGAACAGCTCTTCGGACGTCGCGCCCGTCGGATCTGGACTTAGGAATTCTGCGTCTTTGAGCGCTAGTTCGGAGAGGAGCTCAGAGGGCGTAGGGAATATATTTTGTTCCGGTTCAGAGATATAAAATTCTGGATTGAGCATGGTTCCTTGGGGTTCGCAGATGGCTCTGCATGCTGGGTTTGTCGTGATGTTGGTTGTACTGGAAGTCGGCAAGGGCGCGAAGGAATCTGTGTTTGGGTATCGATAGTCGACGGTGGAGGTGGAGGAACTAGAATTCGGTGGGTGGGTGTGATAGAGGACAGAGTGCATCGCTTCGAAGTTATATTCATCGAACAAGAGTGGAATTTGAGATGCGCTCGGAACGGGTGCGTGGAGTGGGAGGCCCGTGGCGGAGGGATGGAAGGATTCCCATGGGTACGCGGGCGGAGGCGGAGGTGGTGGCGGAGGAGGTTGTGGTTGTGCGATTCCGTAGCTCATGGAATACTGGATTGGAAATAGTTAAATACGATGAATGCTGAAAATAAAGAGAACTTACGTTGTTGTAGGTCTCGGGAATGGGTATAGAAAGTGAGCAGCGGGGAAACTGTAAAGCGTCGTTCATGGTGGATCGTAGTTGAAGGTGCAAAATGGGATGTGAGGAGGTCAATTTATTAAATAAATCAGGCAAAAGTCAAGGCGATCTTGGAGTGTCCGGATTTGGCGAGCGTGTTTCTATTTCAGATCCGGGGCGCGTCAAATGATCGATCGGCGACGACAGCGTGTGAAAGCTTAAATTTTGACAATCCAATGAGATCTCGGCGAATTGAACAACGGCCCTGCACGCAAACGCCCAGTTTGAACAAAACCCTTCACAACTCGAGCTCGTAAAGTTCGACGTCGGATATTGCTCACAGCTAGACGTTCGCGGTACAGGCCGTAACAGCACCTTGACTTAACCCGCACGTCACCTGAATTCCTCCTCCACTCTTTTCCCCACGGTTCCAGCGCGAGACGGCTGTTGAGAAGGAGCCATCGATAAGAAGACCCACGACAGTTGCCTTTTCTTTCACTCTGAGCAGATCCAGCGCAGATTTCAAGTGTGTCGAAATCTCATTCACTAAAGCCTCTACATCAACGCGATTTTGCGCGCGAGGGTGGAAAGCATCGAGCGAATGTTCGTTCGTGAAACGACGGCCATCATTTGTGTTACGGAAGGGCGCGTATTGGAAAGAGAGAAAAAAGGAGAGTCAGTACATAGAGCGAAAAAGTGTCAAAAAACGCAGGGTCGGTGAGGGTGGGTGGATGATGTCACGGTGCCAATTCTCCTTCCAATCTCCTTCTATTCCATCGACGCAGATTTTGGACGGTTGACGCGTTCCAAAACAGAATTTTCACGTCCAAGTGACAACTCCACTTTAGCTTTTTTTGCGCCGACGTCGGGGTGGGACGGGGAAGTAAAACGGGAAACGGGGGTATGGCGGCGGACCCGCCGGTGTTCGTGCGTGCGCAGATTCAAGATTGCGCATTTCCAAACTCTTTAGATTGGGAGTAGATCTGGGACAATCTGACACTGGCAGCGCGGATCGAGGAGGTCACACCTGTCGACGACATTCGTACGTACACGCAACGGATTTAGCTGAACTTGGCGCCTATGTCACGGTGTTTTGTCTCTCCCCCGTCGCCTTTCTATCCTCGCCACTTACGACCCCCGTTTCGTGTAATCTCTTTCGACATAATACAGGCTGTCACCAGGTATCACAAAACCACCCTCGATGGCTTGCACCGAATTTCGAAATAACTTTGGGGCTGCCCATCGAGCGACGGCGACGATTGTTGGGTCACGGTTCCTGGCTGGTCACCACTGCGGCATTGACAATTCTTCTGCTTCGGTCTTCTCAGGTCTTCTCCCAAATTTATTCGCTTCTTCGAACTCGCTTGCGCTTCCGGGTTTTTCGTAAAGTCTCGTTCGAGTAACACCGAGCTTGCACCGAGCCATCATCAGAAATATATAAACAGGGCCGACTATTCGAGTAAATGCACCCACCCCACCAAGATGTCTACGAATTACCGCCTCATTTCTAACTCGTACTGCTCCCCCACTCCTCAAAATCAGTTCGGCGCGTTCTCAGAGTCGCATCCATCGCCTTTAAGCGAATGTTCCTCCTCTTCATCCTCTTCTTCCTCATACGCCTACCAACAACCACTGTCACCAAGCGACTCCGACTCCTCCCTGTCGTACCCAACCTCCCACGTCCAAAAAAATACCAGCCCATATACATACGTAGAACTGCCCGACTTCCCAACGCATCCGTCTGAAGCGTCCCCGTTCACTTATGAAAAATTCAATCCCAGTTTCAACGCGCAGTTCAATGGCGCGCCCAGCTCGGATACCTTTCAGTGTCGCTCCGACTTCAACACCAGCGGCTCAGACTCCTTTTGCGATAGCACGGACTCCTTTGGCAGCAGCTCGGACTTCAACGCAGACAACTCCCAGTTGGACTCCTTCAACAGTCCGACGGATTTCACCTCCGGCACCAGCAGCCCAGACTCCTCGCCCTCACCCACCGGCACCAGAAATCGCGCTGGGACCACTCCCAGCCCCTCGGCGCGCTTTCACGTCGCCCACCCATACGCGCGGCTCGTTGCGAAAAAGGACGACAAACGCCGAAAAATCTGGAATCACGCACTTGAAAAATCGGTTTTTACGCCGTTTGAGATGTTTGTTTTTTTCTTTTTTTTTGTTACACTTTGTAACTAAGAAAATTGATACAGATCGACGCTTGGTGCACAACAACGCCGGGGGACTTACATCGGCAGTTTGGAGGCGCATATCGATACGCTGCATGCCCAGCTATTGGAGTACGTTCAAATGTTTCCCTTCCCGAGTCCATTCTAATTTTTTCGTTTCGTACAAATTAGAATCGGATTTTACCCAGTCCCATTCAACGATCTGGACCCTTTTAAAGGGCTCAATTCCAAAACTGCAAAGGTCAGTCTCCTATATGCGTATGCGGCTTTATTTTACGGCGTATTAATTTGATGCATAGAGCATGGTCGCGGGCCTGCAACACGACGCCTCACTGTCAAAATTGAAACTTCTCGAATTGGAACGCTCTGTACGTTCGTCCTCGTTCACTCTTCCTCACTCGCTTCGTCTAATCAGACTAAATTGCTCGTAGAACCACGATTTGGAATGTATTTTATGCACCCCTTAGGAATATTCATGTCAGATTTTTTTTAGTAGTAGCAGTTCATCAGAAAAAAATCGTGACTATTGACCGATCGACTTCGAATTTCCTTAGCGGGGGTCCGCACTACTTAGCCCCATTTTCGTACTTTAAGCAAGATCTGTTCGTGAGGGCGGAGGAAGAGATCTGCGAGAAGGAGTAATCAATCAAGGGCGCTAAAACTGGTCGTCGTGTGCTATCGGTATCACCATAAATTCGTGCTAGTGCTAGCAAGTAAATAAAAAAGGGAAAGGCGGACAAGTCGATTCACTTCCGTTTCATCAGAATAAAATTGGTTTAGCACGAAATCAGATGACGGGGGACGGGAGAAGCCAATTGCAGCAGTGTGGTGAGCTCAATAAATAAATGGGGTATAACACCAACACCCAACACCTCGCGTCGACGGTCGAAACGTTAACTCGCTCGAGCCAGGTGAAAGGCCATCCTTGGTAGTTCGGATATAAACCAAAATCCTCTTGATCAATCAACGTTGAGCGTTTCAAGAATTATTTAAGACGTAATGCGTGCAACCAACCAACGCCTCATGCCCCCTCCTCCTCACGACGACGCGGCTACGTGTTTATTCATTATCATTTTTTTACTGGGATCGAGTAACGAGTTGATGGCCATGGGCCCGGGGTCGTAACGGGTGGAGCAGTTGTCTGATGCGTTGGAGAGGTCACATTGTCATTTTTGTGGTCGGGGTTTGGGTTACACGTTGAAGGGAAGTTCTTTCACGAGGGTTCCGAGCTGTGCGTGCTGGTGACCTATACTTAGCCAACACCGGAGATCGTAACTCTGACGAGATGGCGAAGTTCAAGTAACCCGTGACGCGGTGGAGAGGTTACATCACTTCTGTGATCACAGTTTGCGTATGCACACCACGATGATTCCGAGACGCTATGGTGCGTACCAATGACCTGCGCCAAACACCGGTGAACAGATCTCCGCTGAAACGTCAGTGCCAAGGACAGTGGTCATGCATGCCATTTTCAGAGACCAATTTGAAAGCCAGCAAGAACAGTAAAGGTCGGAGCAGAAAACCCCGCATCACACGGCGACACAGATCCGGACGGCGCAACTTGCTTCATCACTAGCCTTAGTAGTAGTATCTGAGCGTTCCTCACGAGTGATCATGATCGTCATGAGTCATGCTTCCTTCAAATCAATCGCTCAGGGGTCAAGTCGCAGGCCTAGCGCAAAACGGTTAGTAGGCTATGCGCAAAGGTGGGCGCAAGGAACGCGAAAAGCTGGATGCGAGGAAGCACAAACTCAGCGCAGTGAGAGCGGAAGGTCCAACAGCGATGATGGCAACAGGCACTAACCTGGTACGTATTTCGGCTTTTGGGCTGGCAAGCTGTACTGAAAACGGGCCTGCGCTAGACGTCGAGTGACTGTGCGACGGTGGCCCGGACTCGCTCCATCAGGGATCTAGAGGGCGCGGAAACGTACACACTTTTCATTCTCGTTGTTTGGGTGTCACTGACGCACTGGCTGCCCACCTTGCCATCTTATTCACTACAACAAAAGTTCGCGTAGTTCATCCGCACTTCCGTACACCCTTCATTGACCGATGCGTAGAAATCACGTCCTATTGAGTTCAACGATATGGAGAGTCGCGACTTCCAAACCTCAACCAAGCCTCAAAGGTTCTACACAATCATGGTCAGCTTGAAATGGCAGGTATTATGACACAGGAAGGACAATTACACCTCTAGTCGTCTGATGGACCGTTTTGAGCGCACTGGCCAGTACAACACAATTGTGACGCTAATCGGAATTATGGTTGAGGCAAAGACATGAGAAGGACTGCTGGTAAACAGTGGCAAACATCCAGATTTCTGCTTGTTTGGCGGTCCACTGTCCCTCGTTAATCCCTCGGGCCTCAGCTCAAAAGAGATAAGGCCTCGTAATTTGCAAGTAATTTGGACCGGTCTTCAAAGTTTCTCGGATAGAAATTTGTCGGCTCCCAGTCAAAAAATCGAGTCGCGTGGCGGAAGATGAAACTCAGAAGCACAAAAATCTCAGAGAATAAATCATTTCAATCCGACAAACGACATCCGAGCCCTACCCTCTACGCGATAAATCCCAGAATAATACAACAACAGAACGAAAGAACCCCGGTGCAATAAATATAATCCATGCCATGAGCGAAGCGGCACGAAAGAAACTCCTTCAAAACGCGCGAGGACAGAGCGAGTTATAAGGTCGTGAATGTGATGTGTGCATCTGTAGTAAATATCGTCAGTCGAGAAAGTTAGATATAGAGTGGTAAAACGGACATGATTATGGGGTGCGCTCAGGCAACAACGCAGTAAGCGTTGTTTCCGCTGCCACCGTCGTCGGAGTTGGTGGGGATGTTAGAGGTGTTGGAGATGGTTGTGAAAGAATCCATGTGTAAGATGTTTAGGTTGATTGAGCCTGCAGAACGCTGACGAGCCGTGCAGGATTTTATACCTATCCGGCGTTCAAACTTTCGGCGTCTTGCCAGTCGTGCGTCTAAAAATAGTTTAGCTGCTTATCCCTTCATAATCGTTTTTATTTGAATTCAAAACTCGGTCATGAAGGTGGTCTTATTGTTGAGGGTGTGCGCAGGTGTGCGCTTCGCTCTCACAATAAGAGGTTATGAATGGACTGACTCATTCGCCTCATGTGACTTTCCGAAAAACAATGGGCCTTCTTGTGGGCCTTTTCCGATTTGACCTCAAGTTCGTGAGCATGGGTTGAAAATGGTCTAGATAATTGATAGGCTCTGCAACTTATACTTTGTTGATGACGCCCCCTCTTCAAAAAATTGCTCAAGCCCTCCTGAGTCCTAAAGAGCTTGAAATGGACGTGATCATGACACAGAAAGAACAATTACACCTCTACTCGTTTGCTGGACCGCTTTGAGTGCATTGGCCAGTTGAACCCAAATGTGACGCTAATCGGGATTACAGCTACCTGGATGGTCAATGAGACATAAGAACAACATGAGAAGGTTGGCAAGCATGCAGATTTGATTTGTTTGGCCTTTCGGCCAAAATAGGTAACCTTGTAGCCTGTTTTGAACGAAGACTCAAGGCGAGCGATTTTGTGGAGGGGCATATCGTCAACAACAAACCATGAATTGCAGGACGTATAAATTGTCAAGACTATGTCCAACCCATGCTGATGAATTGAGGTCGAAAAGCCCCATTGTTTTGCAAAAAGGCACGAGGTGAATTTGAGGGAATTCGTCAATTCGTTCATGACCTCTTATTGTGAAGGGTGCCTTGAGGCGAAAACCTCACTCTCAACAATAAGTCCACTTCATGACCGAGTTTTGAATTCAATCAAGAACAATCACGAAGGTTTAAACGGCCAAACTATTTTTAGACGCGCTTGGTCCCTCGCCGAAACTTTGAACGCCGGAGAGGTATAAAATCCTGCACGGCTCATCAGCGTTCTGCAGGCTCAATCGACCTAAACATCATACACATGGATTCTTTCACAACCATCTCCAACACCTCTGACATCCCCACCAACTCCGACGACGGTGGCAGCGGAAACAACGCTTACTGCGTTGTTGCCTAAGCGTACCTCATCCATAATCATGTATGTTTTACGGCGCTCTATCTATTTTCCTTCCATTTCACTCGACTGACGCTATTTATTACAGATGCACACATCACATTCACGACCTCATGACTCGCTTTGGCCTACATGCGTTTTGAAGGAGTTTCTTTTCGTGCCACTTCGCTCAGGGCATGAGATATATTTATTGCAGGGTTCTTTCGTTCTGTTGTTGTATTACTACTTCTGGGATTTCTCGCGTAGAGGGCAGGGCTTGGACCTCGTTTGTTGGATTGAAATGTGATCTATTCTCTGATATTTTTGTGCTTCTGAGTTCAATGTTCCGCTACGCGTTCAACTTCTGATTCGGAGCCACAAAACTTCTATCCAAACAACTTTTGAAGACTGGGCCAATTCTTGTATCGCCCTTGCCCTCTTCCGTTCAATCCATATTTCACGCGTGTCTTGCGGTCCAACCACGTAAGTTAGGTGCTTTGAAAAAACCACGAGCGGTATCCATACTACCAGTGCCATGAACATGCGAAGCGCCAGGTTTCTGGGGAAGAGAGAAGGATGAAGTGAGAGTCAGGAGACCACACCTAAGCGTGGGATGGATGTTGAGCATGGTTAGAGGGTAGATATCCGTTATAGAAACGTTTAAGGAGGAGTACCCACGGAGCGGCAAGAGGCTCTGAGATGGTGTGAGATAAATTTAGGTGTGGGATGGTACCGGTGAGCTTGATGTGAGATCTGACCTAGAGTCCCTGAATGACGTCGTTTGCGAAAACAGCCATAGAAAAAATTTGATCGTCTATGTTTGAACGTCTTTTACTTACATCGGGAGAATGTAACGCCCAAAGATTGTAGGAGACATATTACTTCGAGGTCGGGAGCCCGAAGTAATTTCGTCCACCCTTCATTCACCGACGCGTATAAATTGCGTTCTTCTAGTTCAACAATAGGGCAACTTGCCTGCTGAGGTCCAAGCCTCAAAAGTTCTACACAATAACGATCAGCTTGAGATGGCAGTGATCATGACACAGGAAAAACAATTACACCTCTACTCGTTTGCCGGGCCGTTGTGGGCGCATTGTCCAATTGTGACATTAATCGAAATTACAGCTGCCTGCCAATGAAAGTGATCAGGAGGAGTGCTGGTAAATAGTGGCAAACAGGCAGATTTCCGTTTGTTTGGCCTCTCAGACAAAATAGAGCTTGTTTCGAACGTGTTCGTTACAAGGAGGGCGTATCGTCAAACCGTTAATTGCAGAGCCTTACAGTAGGCGGGAGCGCCGCGGTTCAATTTCGATTTCATAAGCTTTAGGTCTGGGCCCAGACCTAACCCTAGGTAAACAGTGATCGATTGATCGATAGTGATCAACGACGTCTTGGACCGCACGCCCATCTACCCCGCCTCATTGACTGACCAACTTTCCATAGAACCACTTCATACATCTTTTATACATTATATCTTCCTTTATCCTACACATATTTGATGGCTGACATGTAATATCCACCTTTTGCAGCCTGTTTAATGGCTATCAAGGCCAGGGAATACTAATACAAAGAATTTGTTTCTATAACGTCAGACATCTTACTGAAAACCCTCCAGGCAGTAAGAAGCGATAACTCTGGGCGGCCAACAGATAGGTATACCTCCTCGGCAACAGGCACAAAATCTTCAGGATAAAACCGCCGGAATTCCTCTCTGGGCCCTGCTTCATCAGCCAGATATTGTCGAAGGTCAGAAATGACATCCTTTGGTAAGCGGATGAGGCAGTCAATTCCACCATAAAACTGAGGATGAGCAGCGGCGTCATCAGGGACGTGTCCAGATGGCATGTCTTTGCCAGACTGCCACCGGACAGTGCGCTGATTCCAATAGACACGGAACTCGTCAAGGGCACTTTGAACGAGCGGAACAAAAATCCAGTAAAACAAATGCCTAAAACAATGTCAGCGATCAAATGATTGAAGCTGAAGTTCAAGAACGCTCAAACGATTAAACATACCGGTGATAATTGACCTCAGGATTGATCAGACGGTCAGTTTTGCCTTGTAGAATGACTTCTCGCAAATTGTAACCCGCTTTCTCACGAAGCCACCGCCACAATGCCTCGATGATAATGTTGTGAACACTTTTCAGAAGCGCTACGCTGCGATACACGTCAGGATCGATTTGAGGGGCAAAGGCCTCGCTGAAGACAAACAATCCATCACTTGACTTCTTGCTTCGGAACCAATATCACAACGCACCGAAGAGCAACTTGAAACGCAACCTGCCAGCCGATTTCGGACCCCTTATCAAGGTCCAATTGCATTGGCATTCCTGAAGATGTCGAGTCTGAACTCTTTTCTTTCCAATCGAAAAAATCGAACTAACCTCCCAGTTTCTCTAGCAAATCGAGATAGAGGTGGCCTACGGCTCCAGGAGAACGACTGTCAGGAACAACATCTATTTGTGGTAGTTGCCCTGTCCATTTGTCTCGGTATGCATATATCGGAAAGCCTAAACCTCCCATCTGCAATGCCAGGGCACCAATTTTCTCATGACCGTCTCCTGATATTTCGTGATATGGACCAAGGGCGGAGAGTGGCTGTCGGTTTACTTTAAACTTCTTTTTTCCTGGAAATCGTTTCTCTGCACCATCTGGAAAATGTTCCCGCATAATCTTCCTAACGGTGTCTCTTCCAGGGGGCATACAACTTTAAATGACCTGAAAAGAATCTATTCAAGGGGTACTCACCGAGGGACTTTGATGTCTTTGTCTTTGAGCTTCGCCTTGAAGTAATTCGGGCCATTATTCTGTGTCACGTCCTTTTCAACCTCATCAACAACAAGCTGAACGACTTCTTCTGCTCCTAGTCGATTCCTGCGAACGGATGGAATGTTGAATCGGCGTTCAAGTTCGTTCAACTTGGTCTTTCTATATAGCAATGCCTGTCAACAACAATGCCCCTCGATCCACTGCTAGTGGACTTACCCAATGCTAAGGTGGTGATCTACTTGTAGACGTGCCAACTTTTGGTCCTGCGAGAGAGTGTGTCTGGAGTATGTCAACAGCGCGTTTTTGAAGACATCATCTGGTGGGTCTTCAAATTTGAAGCTCAGTATGTTGAACTTGGTGAAATTGAAGACTTTGGCTCACAGATCTTTTTACCGGCACCATTGACACCAGTTTTATTAACCATTATAGTTGCGTATAATCCGGAGAGGCAATGAATTTGAGGGAAGAAACGTATGACACGAACATTAATTTGTGATTTGATCGATGCTTACATTTCTCTTCCCTGAAGTGCAGAACTCGTTTGAGTTTCACCCTCCAATTTTGCCTCGTCACACCCTTTTCTTTTTTTGCCTTCCATCGTTCCACGTTCACACCACTATGTCTACGGAGTGCCAACCACTAGAAGATATAGCGCCACTCCCTTGTGATGGATGTGGACTTACCTTTCCTCTTCGTCAAGCTGAAGGTGATTGTTCGAAGTGCATGAAACTGGCGCTGCACGAACTAGGTTCTCCAGATTACAATGAGCTTCGGGTAAGACCAGCAAAACACTCTTTCATCCTTTCAATGAGTATTAACCCACAAATTTGACCAGAAATGGCAGCAATGCCTCCAGTGTGGCATCACAAGGCGCAACATGTCTTTCGCGCAGCCTGGACAAGCTCAAACCTGTGGGTCTGCTGCCTGCGTGGAGAAAGGGTCTTCTCAGCAAGGTATTACCCTTTGGATTGTCTTCGAATGGTGACAATACTCACATGTCATTGACAGAATCTCAGGTTTCCGGTCCCTTGGGGCCGTCATCTGTTGTAAACCAGCCAGCATCCAGCCAACGTCGTCCTGGTCAGCCTGTATCCCTCAACGAACAGGCCCAAATGCGTGTCGCAGCGCTGCGCGGGAGAATCCAGGGTAGGCAGAATCGAACTGGGGTAGAGTTCGGTACAGGCAATACAACGGGATCACTTCTCCACCACGAACACGGAGGGGGTGAACCGGGGGAGGCAAAGCTCATTGTCGGATGGCAGGTCAGAATCATTGTTTCCTTTTAGCGTTCTCATTCAATAGTAATTACTACTCCAGGCCCGAAGCAACCACAATGGCAAAATTGATGGTGACCTTGGTGGTCAAGTTAAGAAATACGCCATGTCGCGCTTCATGCCAGGTATTGCTTCGGAACTTTTTGCCCTTATCTAAAATCTCCTCACGCCATAATAATTACAGACATTAAGGCTGAGATTGTCGAAACGATTAATATTGAATGGGTAAAATCTAGAAAGCATCCCTTACTGCCGTACGTAAACTTCAATCTGGTTGAGTAGAGACTCAAATCTACTCACTATCTATTCCAGGGAAGAGGTATCCTTTCGATGGAGTGGTAATCGCACTCTTGACCCCCACACAGCAGCGTTGACTGCTCAAGAATTTTATAATCATTACAACACACCATCGGAATCAAATGCCGCTCTCAAGGTCGATCAAATACCCACCTTTTTCAAGAGTAACGTGAAGAAACAGAAGGGACCAATGATTTTCTTTGACATGTATATTGACTGGAAGGCTGTAAGTTGCAATGCCTCCGAAATGCCTCTTTTTTTCGAGAGGTAAGCTGACCTAATTCAATCAGTGGAATACTCGCGTCAACCCAGATGCGGCTAAGAAGAAGAGAGGGCGCAACGATTCAGTAGCGTCAATTCCTTCATCAAAGGCTTCAAAGCAACCCAGGATGTCATCCGGGATGGAATGTAAGTTAATCGTGCTTTTTTCTATCAAATGAATTATCTCACGTTATTATTTAGCAATGGCGTCCTTGTTCAGTCCCAATGCTCGTGCCTCGGCTTCCCGGCAAAGCGCACAAAATGCTGACTATGTTACACTTCGCAAATTTGTATGCTTTGCAGATGTTGTAGCTGGATCCTCCGAAATTCTCGATGTTCATAAGACTGTTTCTGGCCTGTTGAAAAGCACGCCTTTTGCGCGAGGAGCAATGAAGTTAGCTTTTGATGTAAGCTTGTTTTTTTTCACCCCCAGTTTCTTCTAACTTGATTATCTGCTAGCTTCATCTCGAAGATGGTTCACAGCTGGTGGCCAAACGCTTCTTCCGTGTAACGTCATCAGACATGGATGATGACCAGCTTGGAGCGGTTGATCCTGATGTGCAGAAAGAGGCAATTGAGAATGAGGCCCACAGGCTAGCCGAAGGCCAATGGTTTTTAAAGGAGTTTTACACTCTCTGTTCCACTCAAGCAAAAGTTAGTGTCGATAAAGGTGCATATTTTTTTTGTCCTGCACGCTCTAAGTATTCTGGGTTTGACTTATAGATTAGCTATTCAATTCTCCTCTGCCTTCGTTGGCGAAGAAACAGATTCATCGGAAAGTTCCTTCGCTTCTGGCTTGCGTGAGGGACCTTCTTCCCTCAATAAGGTCTACTGGTTGGTCGAACCCAAGAGACCATCAACAGTCACTAAATTTAGCGGTACACTGAGCCATCAGATGAACCGTAAGGACCTCCAAAGTCTCACAATTGCTGCGTTCGCACATTTTGTCTATCTGAAGAGCAAGGCGACCAGGGTCTTTGCTGATATTCAAGGTATTAATGTTCCTCTCACATCGTTGTATTTCTGTACCAGTTCTAATGCACGTTTCGTGAAGGAACTACGACCAACGTGAAAGGGAAGGACACAATGGTCCTATTCGATGTTATGACCCACAGTCCAGCAGGGTAAGCCTTTATTCATTCTTCAATGAGACATTGCGATTACTGATTATTACTCAAATCGTGATTCATCAGTGATACCGGTATTGGCGATTTCGGTCCTGATGGAATTGCTTCCTTCCTGGATGACCACCGATGCGGCTCAATTTGTCAGGGCTTGGGACTGCACAGGCAAGTTCCTCAAGCAGCCGGTGACTCTGGCTCAGAGTGTTCATCTTCCTTGTCGGGTGAGGAAGAAGAGGAACTAGAAGATAACGGAAATAAGAGAGCTGGTCCAGTGGACGATGAGGCACAGCCTTTCTAGTCCCTTGCCCTTGTGTTGTGTGTCGACGTCTACTCCCCCATGTTCCCGGGCCTAGTTTTCTTCCCCTTTCTCTCTCTCTTTCCCTTTGCCGTTCTTTCCGTAAAATTTATATCTCCTTTTAAATCATATCCGATAATTTTTTGCCTTTCGCCTAGTACTCACTCTCTACTTTAGCCAACACAAATACTTTTGTCGCACATCTATCTCTTGACAGTTACCTTTGTTGCTTCTCAGACATTACCACTCTCATTAATCGTGAACATCCCCCATACTTTGTTGATCTTGCATGCCCAAATAGTCAAATCTTTTGGGATAGACTTGAACTCGATGGGTGTACTTGTGCAGGCGTGGTGTCTCTAAGTGCATTATCCAAAAGATAAATGGATTATGGTTGTGTTGCGTGGCCTCGATGAGACTGACCTAGGGTTAGGTCTACGGCATGAAATCGAAATTGAACCGCGGCGCTCCCGCCTACCGTAGAGCCTATAAATCATCAAGACTATCTATTTCCAACCCAAGCTCACGAGAAAGGCGGTCCACTGTGTTTCAAAAAGCCACATGAGACAAATTGCCAGTGGTCAATCCACTCATGACCTCTTATTGTGACGGGTGCCTTGAGGCGAAGACCTCACTCTCGACAATAAGATACCTTCATGACCGAGTTTTGAATTCAATCAAAAACAATCACGAAGATTTAGATATAAGTAGGGCTAAACTATTTTTAGACGTGCTTGGTCCCTGGCAAGACGCCGAAACTTTGAACGCCGAAGAGGTATAAAATCCAATAGGACTCGTCAGTGTTCTGCAGGCTCAATCGACCTAAACATCATACACATGGATTCTTTCACAACCATCTCCAACACCTCTAACATCCCCACCAACTCCGACGACGGTGGCAGCGGAAACAACGCTTACTGCGTTGTTGCCTGAGCGCACCCCATAATCCTGTACGTTTTACCATTCCTATTTATTTTTACTCGACTGACGCTATTTCTTACAGATGCACACATCACATTCACGTCCTTATGACTCGCTCTGGCCTACATACGTTTTGAAGGAGTTTTTTTCGTGCCATTTCGTTCACGGCATGGGATATATTTATTACAGGGTTCTTTCGTTTCGTTGTTGTATTACTACTTCTGGAGTTTCTTGCGTGGAGGGAAGGGCTTGGACGTCGTTTGCCGGATTGAAATGTGATTTATTCTCTGATATCTTTGTGCTTCTGAGTTGAATCTTCCGCCACCGACTCAATTTCTGACTCAAAGCCGCCAAATTTTTATCCAAGCAACTTTGAAGACCAGGCCAAATTACGAGACCTTTACTCTCTGGAAAACAAAAGCTGCTATTAGCCAAGGGCTAGTATTGAGACATCTCCGGACCGATTCCCCAAGATAATAATGCCACTCGACTCCCCAAACGTACAGCAAATAACATCATCTACCAAAAGACAATCAACATCAATAACACTAGTATCGCACTCAACTTACCTCTCAGATCATACGAAGTCACAGAATAGACGACTCTCCTCTCGTGCCCCGACGCGACAGATTCATGGTCTTTCGGGCGGGCAAGGCCCCAAATTTGTACCTCTCGTATCGTGCTTGCCCTCTTCCGCTCAACCCATATTGCACGCGTGCCTTGCGGTCCAATTGCGTAGGTGCTCAAAAAACCACGAGCGGCATCCATACTACCGGCGCCATTAACAATATACGAAGCGCCAGGCATCTGGGGAAGAGAGAAGGATGGAGTGGGAGTCAGGGGACCATGCCTAAGCATGGGATGGATGTTGAGCATGGTTAGAGGGTAGATATCCGTTATAGTAACGTCTAAGGAGGGGAGTACCGGCGAAGCGGCAAGAGGCTCTGAGATGGCGTTGGATAAATACAAGTGTGGGATGGTGAGCTTGATGTGGATCTGATAGAGTCCTTGAATAACGTCGTTTGCGAAAACAGTCATAGAGAAAATTTGGTCGTTTGTGCTTGAACAACTTTCTTTGCATCGTGAGAATGAAACGTCCCGAAAATTGTAGGAGACATATTGCTTCATGGTCGGGAGCCCGAAATGATTTGGATCGAGGATAGGCGCGTAGTGATGTAGCTCTACAGAACGGGTTTTGAAGATCAGAATATATGGTCCCATAAATTGAACAGCAATGATGCCATTCCACTAAGCACGCACAGGTGTAAGTAAGATAACAGTGAAATCCCGGGTGGGAACGTACTAAATCTTCCAAATCGCTAGGAGGCGCTGGTAACAACATTCTTTGCTCATTGGCATTGCGTCTTTCGCCCCAGTAGACCAACTCCACGCCCCGAGCGGCAAACAGGGCAACAAGTTGTTGCGTGGTCTCGATTGCACGCACAGTTTGCGGCGATGGCAATGTGATTGTTTGAACCAGCTCAAATGCGCTATCGAGAAACAGACCCGACGTGCTACCCAAAAAGCCAAGTGAAATTTCGTAGACACGTGTCCAATATGGGCTAGCAAGTTCTTGTCAGCAAATACGATGCAGTTATTTAGGAGGATGACCACACTCACGGTACTGAACGAGCAATAGCTACCACAATCTTCTCTTCAGAACTGTCGAGTGAAGCCACGTAAGACGACCACAGACCACCCTGTAGATCCACTCGTGCGCGAAGAACGCCCCCAGATGCGGCTCCTTCGGATTCTGTAGACTTCGTGTCGTACACGTAAATCGCGCCCTCAGAATAGACCACCAGCAACCACCTCTCTAAAAATAGCTGCATCCCCATCATTGTAACACCAAGATGCACTCGGGGTAGCTTAACGAGCTCTGACGTCCGCAAACGCGGCCACAAGTATGCGACGCGGTTTGAATTCCTCACAGACCTCTCCAAAGTCTGCGTTGGCACATCCTGCAGATGTGATGGCTCTTCTAGACCCAGCCCAGGCGGCGTGGGGAGATATGCCTGTTGTTTGTGGAATAGTGATATCCACAGCGACCGTGAATTAGTGACCTTCAACCAGGTGGTGCAGGTCTACGATGACTTCGACTGTCAGATTTAAATAATGTGAACTCATGAATGAAATGGATGGTGCGTACCTGGCGTAACGTCAAAACCTCTGCTACGTCGAGTAGGGCGGCGATCAGCAATAGAACTTCGGTCGGGAGACGTAGGACGGGGGGAATATCGTCAATAACCATCTCCATCGTGAAAAGAGGCCGAAGGCGTCTTGTATGAGCAGGTTTGACCTGGGTTTGACGTTGAGCGCTGTGGGGATCTCCAACAATGTTTGGAACGCAAAAAAGTGCCAAACAACTGGAACCCGGGCCGAAGACCGCACAACTCAAGCACAACCAAAGGCTAATTATAAAGCACAACGGTGACTCTGAGAACTCAAGCACAACTACAGTCGTCGTGTCCGCTGACACACGCACTGCTCTACTATCCATCCAACTCACGCTTGGATCCGAGTTGACTTGCATGCCACGTGCGAACACTTCAAAACGCGCACGGTGCTAAAAATTCGCCTAACATTTGCGACGTCGAAGAGGTCTGAGGGCGGCGATCAGCAATAAACAATTCGAGTTGGAAAGCGCGGAGCGCTTTATAACGGGCATTTCAGACAATGTTTGGATCGCAATACATGAGAACCACGGGAATTTTCGGTGCTGCTGGACCGTATCTGTTTCAATCTATGCCAGCCACCAGTAGGGCTGCGCACCGTCCGTTTGACGGGGACGGCCGTCGATTAACGGCCGTAAATTTGCACTTCGAAAGTCAGAACGGAAGCGGACGGGTCAAAAACGGCCGTAAACGGGTTAGACGGCCGTTTTGCCCACCTTTCGATGTAATTCATTTTTTTCACACTTTTTCGGTACCTGGAAAAAGTAAAAAGAATTATTGAGCACAAATAAGAAAGATTTGCACCTTCAAAAAGCAAATTGCAACCTCAAGGTGTGTAACAGACATTTCGCGGGGTTTCAATTGCGATGAGTATGAGATAACTTTTAGCGTCTTGTGAAAGATGGAGAAAGAGGGAGGATATTTAAATACAGTAAATATTTAAATACAAGAAATCCGTGAAGACGGATAACTTGTTTGTGCCTAGGACTTGCCCGACCTGCTCAATATAGATCTTAAATAGCAGTAACAAATCTAAATGAGATCCGAGGAGACGGGCAAGACCTGAGCGTCTGGATAGCTCGATTGTGTGCGATAAACCGACCAGCTATACAGACGCTGAGAGGGATGGTGGGTGGGTTTGAAAAATTGCTGAGGATACAGGAGACTCTTTTTCACCGCGTCAGAACGATAGTTTGAAGGGACAAGGAGTGCAGTCTCCATGCAATGTCTGTTTGTACTTATGAGTACAAACACGAGGACTCGTTCTGACGCTCTGACGTTATCTTATCCTATAATGGGCTTGCACTCGTTCCTCGTGCTTGCTCATCGCGGAATGAGATAACTTTTAGCGTCTTGTGAAAGATGGAGAAAGAGGGAGGATATTTAAATACAGTAAATATTTAAATACAAGAAATCCGTGAAGACGGATAACTTGTTTGTGCCTAGGACTTGCCCGACCTGCTCAATATAGATCTTAAATAGCAGTAACAAATCTAAATGAGATCCGAGGAGACGGGCAAGACCTGAGCGTCTGGATAGCTCGATTGTGTGCGATAAACCGACCAGCTATACCAGCCAGAGTGTAAGCTCACAACAGGCAGGTTGGTTCAGAGAACTACCCAATCGAGCAGCAATCTGGAGAAATTTCTTGGTGGAGTAAATATAATTACAAGTCGTAGACAGAAATAATACAGGGAAGTGAGTGAAGAGTAGTGAATACTTATACAAATACAATAAGGTAGAGAGTAAGATTCCGATGAGAGGCAGTGAGGAGTGCCAATGGAATTTTGTTAGATAGTAAGGTTCCCATCAGAAGCCGTGAGGAGTGTAGATGGGATTTTGTTGTTGATACGGAAATGTTCAAAGATTACAGCCAACGAGTCAAAATGGGACTTATTGTATGCTTTTGAGGTGCTCATAGGAAGAATCTCCTCCATGCGGCGCCAATATAGTAAGAAAGCGAGGGAAGTCCAACCACCTGTCGCAGCAACAATCTCAGGAGGCACTCCAGCAAGAAGGAGTTCAACAGCCCCCCCTATACGGAAACTATGGCCGAGAACGTGGGCGAGCATGGCGGATGACCATATTTGTGTGCAGAAATTAAGAAATTCGTGCTTGAGGAGGATCTTCGGCTGCTGAGAGGTGGTTGCAATGTACGCGAAAAGAGCGGTTGGTTGATCTGTGGAGTTAATAGCAAGGTGGTTCTTTAAAGCGGCCACGGGGCAGAGAACATCAGGACGTGCGGTGAGGATGACAGAAGCACCAATCTCCTTGGTTGTCTTGGTCCAAGGAATATGGAAGGTTGCAGAAGTAGAGCCATCGCGCAGCGTACGAAAAGTGACCGGTGCAGAACGAAGAACATGATATTTCTCATCAAACGCAGCAGCAGTAGTAACTGCCAGTTCACCTAGCCTGCGACAACCAAAAAACGCGCACAAAGCGAGAGCCCATACCGCTGCATGGAAGGGAGTTGACAAGTTAAGGGCACGGTGCAGAGCTAAGAGATGTTCTATGGAAACAGGGGCACGGAGAGGCCGTTTATGCTTTGTACCCTCCTTGTTTGCTGAAATGCGGGCCATGTGAACCCATTCGTCGTCACCAAACCAAGGTGCATGGTTGATGGCATGCCATGCATGGATGCCTGACAGCCAGGAACGTATGGTATTCCCGGCCTGCTTGCCTTTGTGTTCACCAATAAAGGCGCAAAGGAGAGGGTAAGAGGCGGGCATACGTGCCTCCTCGTCAATGGCCCATGCGTCGCAAAATTGAGTAAAGCGTAGAGTGCCAGCAGCATAAGTGGTTTTAGTGTTGGGCGCATAAACACCACAGATTGCCATCATGGCACTGTCGACCAATCTCGGTGGGAGGGATGCAAGGAGATGTCGTCTGTGACGAACAGCATGAGGTGTATCCCAAGTAAATAAGCGATCAGCAGCTGAGACGTGAGGGCGGAGGGAGCTTGGAGAGATTTGGCATCCTGATTGAGGTTTTCGCGCTGTAATAATCCGGGATGATGAATCTGGAAGTTGTGCAACAAGAGGAGGGATTGTTGATGAGCAGCTTGGCGATGGTGAGGTAGGAAGGACGGTGTGAGAAGGCGTAATAAGGGATGCAGTAGGAAGAGGTCTGACAGGAGAAATGGTGGGACGAGGCTTGAAAGGATGGAAGAAACTTTGATGACATGTGGGGCGCGGAGGAACAGATGTACCACCCACAGTCACCTCGACGACACGTGTCGCCGGTTTGAAAGGATAATCTAGACTAGGCATGCAGGAAACAAGGAGAAAGCTCATCAGGGAGCTTGAACAATGGGAAAAGTTGCTTCCCAACAGGTCCTGGTTCCCCGCGCGAGATAGGATCGGCTGGATTAGCATGAGATTCGACGTAGACAGTTTTGAAAATAACGGAAATAGCCATGAGGTTGATATGCGTACGACGGACTGCAAGGTTAAGATGTATATTACCACTCCGACCTTTATCCAAGGCGCCGATGGTGCCTTGATTGTCAGAGTGTACAAGCAAATGAGCATCATGGAAGCCCTTTGACTCAAGGAAATGAGTGAGGAGCTCAATCGCGACAGTTTCAAGCCAACAGATGTCACGACCCTCAATCTTCCATGTCGGCGAGAGCTGGAAGGCAGCCCATTCATCGCCAATAATAATACTGATGCCCCATGATGTAGATGCGTCAACGTATAAGCCCAGGTCTGAGAGGGGTTCAAGTGGGCGAAGAGATCGATACATTCTTGGCAATGTGAGTTTGACCAACCACCATTTAAGGTCTGTGATCAATGAATGTGGAGGATATTTCGTGAGGAAGTCATCCCCGTGAAAGGTGGATGCGAAGTTGGAGAGGGAAGGAAGATGAGAGCGGCCATCAAGGTGGACGAAGGCGACGTGGCAGAGGGATCCATGGATCTTCTCAACATCACGCAGGTGACAAGGTCGGCCCTCAAAGTCGACAAGAAACTGAAGGACACGCTGGTGGAACTTGTTTCTCTTCCCTTCTGGCAGGCTTACCCGCTTCTTGGGGATATCCCAGAGAAAGCCAATGAAAGTCGTCACAAACGAAAAACACTCATCACCCTTTTCATCATGCCAGGGAATGCCCAGAGACGAGATACGATGGAGCATCTCGGTTCGGTCATAGTCATAACGGAAGTCCCCATCAGAGAATGGGCCAGAGGCGGAAGGGAATCGGAAAGCCTTCAAGTCATCTTCGTATTTCGGTACTGGGAAGACTCCTTCGGCTCTCCAGATATCAACGACAGCATTCGCGATCATGCCAGCATTGCTACTAGCGCAAGCGGCTCCAAACGGATGAGCATGGTTGATGAAAAAATCGTCGGATGTACCTTGAACGACTAGCCAAGGCTTGTGAGAAGGGAGCACAGGGCACGTGCGATGAAATTTCTTGATGTCAAGGGTGCATGCCTGCGTACCAGGCGGCGCATGAGAAATCTGCAGTAGGATAGTAGTTGAGCAAGATGTGCAAGAAGAGATATGATGATATGCAAGAAGAGAGGATGAAATGGGTATGAGGTAGAGAACATGCACATAGATAATACATTTGGAAGGAGAGCAGATGTGGCATAAAGTGGATAGAGTGTTACAGCAGCCGAGTTGAGTGATGATAAGACATCGTGCATAATACACGGAAGAGCAATCATCACGCTCGACGCGTGGAAGATGATTCGTCGTGCTCGACACACGGGAGATGATCATCACGCTCACGCATGGAAGATAAACATCGTGCTGAAAGCACGGAACAGAAAGATGATAGGAAAGATGGTAGGTAACTTGCACAAGGCAAAAATACCCAAAGAGCGACTGGCCAGCAGCCAGCGCTAAGAAAAGAAAACATCTCGAGGCACGAAACGCAAAGGAGATGTAAAAGAGAGAAGAAGAAGATGTGGGGAAGAAATTGAAAGATAGAAACTCACGATATCAGCTACTTTTGAAGCAGTGTCAAACCGCGTAGGGAAATCATCCTTACGGATATAGGAGTTGACAGACGCGTGCCGTTTTGAGGCCTTCGAAAGGTGTTGACAAACACGAAGTTTGTCTGGAACTCCGGGTTCTTGGCGTTGAATGGAAACGATGAGAGAGGAGGACTGAAAAGGGCCGCGGAGAATCTGCTCGGTAGCCTCTTGAGTAAAAGGGCCGGAGAGTCTGCCCGACGCGACTTCCTTAGTGAGATAGTCAGAAACAGTATCAGGATAAGACAAGGTGGATGGATTGCTAGGCATGATTACGGTCTGGGAAAGCGAAGGCATGTGGCCAATAGGGAAGCCGAATCGCAAGTTGAACGGGAGAAGGGGATAGTCATCGAAGAGATGGTGTTTGCGCAATAGAAATTCAAAAGTGTCGGCGTTGTAAGGGTGCAGAATTCTGTTGAATAGCAAAGAGTTGTCGGGAGAGGTGTCATGGAAAGGGGAACGATGGATGATAGAGGATGAAAAGTCTGAGTAGGAAAGTGGGAGAGAGAGGGACGCATGAAGGAAGGCATCAGTTTGAGGGTCGCGAACGGCAAATCCATGAGAAAGCGTGGTGGCGCTTGCTGCCACAGAAGGAGCAGAGGTGGGCGCGTTCGTCCTTGTGAGAGCAGGGGTGTCCGCGGTCGCCTCTGAGGTTCCAACTGATGCAGAGGACTCGATTGTCGGGACTGAGGAGATTGCGGTTGCTGTATTTTGCCCATACCGTTTTGCCGTCGCTTTTGAATTTGACGACCACAGTGCTGTCGGCGTGCTGGGTCGCGTCGTGGCCTCGCTCAGCGCAAATAAGGCAGTCGGGAGTCGAGGAGGAGGACCTGCCGCTGCCGGACGAAAAGGGCTGGGAGGGACGGTTCTGAGAAGAACGGGGGGAAAGCCTTGGTGTGAGTTTCCCAAGTGGACCAGTGATTGAAGGAGTTTTCGTGGGTTCAGGGGCCATCATCCCACGGATGTCAGCCATCATCTCTCGCTGCTTCTCAGAGAGCTTGTAGGCCTGATAGTACCGTGAAGCATCGTATTCCCCGTATTTAGCCCAATGTTCTTGACGAAATTTCAACTCGTCGGATTTCCATGCATCGTAAAGGTCATCTTTAGTATCCTGAGAAGTATAGAAACAAAAATGCTCATTATACCAAGCACTATGAGTCTCGCATGTGCCCTCCTCGTCTCGTTCCTTCTGAAAAAGGTACATGTTTCCTGCAGCTTCCGTCCACTGACTGCAAGACAAGGAAAGTTCCTTGCCAAACCTGGTAGAAAGTTTCTCCACATCTAGAATGACAGTACCCTTGGTTTCACCAGGATTTGGATTAGTCTTCATTGTCGGCAGAGTCGACGCCTCGACATTCAAAATGTTCAAATTCTTGTTTAGGAAAAAAGGGAGAGGAACGGCGATGCAAATTTCGGTGTCGAAAAGGCTCTGCGGGAACGTAGCCTGCCAGGGAACCCCCACAACCCAAGGTACCATTTTTTGTCCGTTCATGCAACGCCGCTTAGCAATCCTAGCCTCTTCAGCGGATAATTTCACGTCATCACCTGGTTTCCTTTTCAACTTTTTCTCTTTGATCTCTTCATCGGCAATCCATTTTGCAAGCTTGGAGTAAATCAGAGTCGGGAAGGAGGCTGCAAAAGAAGGGACCTGGAAGCGGTTCAAATCGGCTTCGTCCAAGGAAATCAAAGAAGCCTCGTCAGATCCGGGTTGGGTGTGAACAGTAGGATCAGAAGCGTGGTTGAAGGTTTTCCGAGACCTTTCAGCATTCTTGTCCTCTATTTCTTTATTCATACGGAGAATCGATATCAAAGGGAGGTTCTTAAGCATTTGAATAATAGTCGGAGAAGTGTGAGTGCGAGGGACACGAGGAGGAGCAGCAAAAGAGTCGGAAGCAGGTGTAGGAGCAGTCTGAGAAAGGGGTGTAGGAGCCGTCTGAGAGCTGTTGACAGAGGGTGCCGTTGAAGTTGCCATCTGAGAAATCTGAGGGCTTTCAGGCATCAAGAAAGTCGGAAGAAATCTTTGAAAAATTGCTGAGGATACAGGAGACTCTTTTTCACCGCGTCAGAACGATAGTTTGAAGGGACAAGGAGTGCAGTCTCCATGCAATGTCTGTTTGTACTTATGAGTACAAACACGAGGACTCGTTCTGACGCTCTGACGTTATCTTATCCTATAATGGGCTTGCACTCGTTCCTCGTGCTTGCTCATCGCGGAAACAGACATTTCGCGGGGTTTCAATTGCGATGAGTCAGCACCATTAGGCTGTTTCTAATTGTTTTCGAGCTGCATTTGAACCACATGTAGCTGAGATAGAGCTTGCAAAAGGTAAATAATAAGACACTTTTGACACAATCAAAAGATAGTACAGCTAATTACGAGGAAATAATAGAATATGTCGATGACCCGTCTGACGGCCGTTACGGCCGTCATGTGACGGATGAAAACGGGTGTTCTGCAGGTCCAAACGGAGACGGACAATTGCCCGTCAGACCCGTCCGTCGACCCGTCTATGACGGGGACGGTGCGCAGCCCTAGCCACCAGACAACCCTCTCCTAACGCTTTGGCATCACAAGGCCCCAAGATAAACGCCACAGCCCATTTATATCCCATTATCCCACCTATACCCCGATTCTGGCTTCGCGACTCGGACGTCCACATGTCTGCCAAAAGAACTTTTGTATCCCAATGCATAAAGTCCTCTGTGATAACCACTGATAAGCCGTTCTTCGGAAGACCCCTGCTCTGAACTGTCTTTACAATGCCTGTCTCCGTTGGTACAACGATTCTTATGTTCAACATATGTTTAACGCTCTTTGGCAGGTGTGGAAGAGAGCATCCGCGAACAATACTACTCTCCAACATGTAAAAAATGGCGCGCATCACCGCGATATATTTGGAAATGAAGATGGCGGATCCCGCATAATGACGGTCACCAAACACGACGGTGGAGGAACGACTCTCACGACACCATGTATCGGATATATCATTGTCACAGAGGGTGTGTGGCCCTGCATTTAAGGGAGAAGTTGGACTGACAATAGCCACATCATCCGTAGGTGAGCTATCCGTGGAAGATGGTGCCAAACCTGGAGACATCTCAGCCTTGGAGCCTGGCGACGTGGTCCGCATCGACAAAGGTACAACTGTCACCTGGTCCTCCCCAACTTCGAGAAAAGGCACGTTGATTGCTGATAAGCTTGTTCATGTTGCTAACAATTTCAACTGGACAGGATTTTACGTTGGCCAACACGAATTTGAGAGTGACCAGAACAATCATCTGGTTTGAACCATGTTTTCTATGTCTGTCTTGCTGTGCTATTTGCTAGCCATGAACTTGATGTACGCCTGAAATATGACTCCTATCGTCATGCCTCTTACAGCGTGCTATCCACTGCCGCGAGAAATGTCTCCATGCCTATCCTGCTTTTCCAACACTTCGTTTACTACCTCAAAGCATTCCTCGGGCTCTCTGAAGATCCTCAGCGGAATCTGTTCGGGAATCCTTGACCGTGCCCATTGAACTCTTGCCTGGAGAGATGGCAGCTTCGATGTAGATGAAGACTTGGATTCAGATCGACTTGGGGTAGCTCGGATCGTGCGGGGAGTTTCAGTCGAGCATAGATCCCCACGTGACCCTTCCTCATTTGACAGCCCAACACCAGCAGGTAGCTGAGAAGGCACAGAATTGACGTGCACAGCCAAATCAAGCGGATATGCAGGGGGTTTCTTATGTCGCGAAGACACAAAACTGACCAAACTCTCCGGTAAAATCCTCTTCAGGCGGCTGAAGTCTGGACGAAAGGCGGTCGTGATGGACTGGGACCTGATCCTGACAGTTATCATAGTAGCGTCCAATGCATATCCGGCATCAACGTCGCGTATGAAAACACCAAGGACCCTGTCAGATCGCTCGCGTGAAATGCTATCCATGAGTGAGTACAAGCAATGGGCGTCAGATGACATTTGTGCTTACTCGGCGTACAGTTTTAAGTCCTGTTCTCCAGAATCACCAATGAGGAGGAACTTGGATTCGGGAAAGGCATCCATTATGCCAATCAGCCCTGCTCGTTTGCGGGTTGCGGGACGGGAAAGAAGCCCAGTAAACAGAGATCTTCCACTGTACGACTTCATATTGATCGAGCCTACGATTTGAGTCAGCAAAACATGGATGCGCAGGATAAGCACCGCTAACCAGGAGGAAGTTGAGATATCTGGAAGAAATCTTTGATAACTGGGAGGAGTTTGTCAGGAGCGTTTGACTGCGTAACAGAATAGTAAGGTTGATCACACTCTCGAACGTGGGGTGAACGTACAACGTAATGAAACCGTATACCTCGGATAAACAGGTTGCCATACCACTCTTTCATCCCTGGAATTACGCAATCCCGTAGATCCTTCACGAACACGTTATGAAATGCTGTCCTCGCTCCGCTCGTAATATTAGACAATTTGACGGTGTCGTCAATATCTGAGATGACACGAATGGGACAGTGGGTGATCGGGATTTGAACTGTGAACGACGTTTGCATGAGAGGCTCGGAATTGGATCTTTCCTGCGGCAATGCAGAGGTAGCTGAGAGAGGTAGGAGCTTGGCAACGATCGTGAGACTGGGCTCCTTGGTGGGGTTGTTCAAAGGAATTCCGTGAGCCCCGAAATGTGGATGTAAGTCTTCCCAGTTGACTTTGAAACGGGCTTGAAAACTTCCAGAATTTCCCGTTATCACGTCTTGAGTTGCAAGGGGACTAATGGAGTATGTGTGTCTACCAGTGATATGCTGGGTAATGGAATGGTGATCTGGGGTCGTCGCGAAGAGGTAAAGGCGAACGGTGCGGTTGGGAAGGACTGGAGACCAAAATGGCTGTAAGCGTGATTCGACATTGGCGTGTAAACGGCGGAGGGCTTCGGCAGGCATGCCACAGTATCTTGTTCTATCTGCATACTCCGGGGTGTATGGAGGGGACAGATCCATTGGAGAAGATAGGGGTGAATCCAATTGGCCTGTGGCTCGCTGATATTCACGTTCTAGAGCTTCGATTTCGCCGTCCATTTTAGCCTCGTTGAGACATAACGAAATATTGATTTCTGAGGTTTCTTCCCTCGAGGTCGATGTGTCGGAGCGTGAGGTAGTATTGCCCGAGATGTCGTCCTTATCCTCAGCTTTTGGTAACGATACAAAGCCTTCCGAACTATTTCAGTCCACTGATATTGATAAAAGATCAGGGCGCTTACCTTTCGCTAGACGAATAAACGCCCGCTGAGAACGAGTGGTGTTTTGGGGGAGCCGATGAGAGATGGCGAATCCATTCACAACAGCTTCCACGTCGAACGGTCTTGGTGAACCTGAAATATGTAAAAATATACCACGTAGGTGCATTGCCAATGTTGAGGCATACCTTCCACTCCTCCTTCAGCGTATCTACGGGCGGCCCAACCAGGGAAAAGGTGTATAATATCTGTTTTTACAGGTGTCACCTGGCTCTTTCCTGAGCCGATCCCCTTTCTCACCCAATCTTTCCAGCTTCTCTTCTGTGGCACAACGGCCGTGGATATGTCTGACCCAAGGGTCTTAACCTGTGAACCGTAAAAGTAGTCTTCAACTTGTGTCGCCGAGGAGGACGCGGGAGAGTCACAACAGAGCGTTTCTTGAGACATGGTTCGAATAGCAGTACGAAAGCGAGATGGGTCTTGTGAAAGTGGCAACGTTCCTGGTCCTCTCCTCGTTCGGAATACAAAGGAAGAAACGGCGCTTGCCCTGCCGTCACCCATCAGTTAGGTCGTTTCGTAAGCGCTTTTGGATACGATTTGGGGTTCTTCCTCCTCTATCCACTAGGAATCGATAAGAAAGAAGCGAACCATGCGTGCATGAGGTCATTTATCACCAAAATTGGCGTTAAAGGCGCTTGAGCCTGGAAAGGGCGCCACTTCAAAATACATGACTGGCAGCTAAAAGCGTTTCGATACACATGGCAAAAACATGAATAAATGAGAGCGTCGAGGAGCAAGGAAAAACTTGCCAACTGCCACCTCACGGGGAAACAAATCCTATTGGGGTCCTCTGTCCCGTTGTCCCGTCAGGCTATGTTTGAACAGCTGACTCTCCCTGATGAGTAGAGGTGGCCATATGTGTCGATCAGCCTGGAGGACAGAGATCACAATTGACATCTGGTCAAAAGACGACACTGTGGCCCGTGGGTGACCCACAACAACTGTGTGAGCCAGATTCTGTCTGCAAGAACAAAGCGACAGGTGAATGAGAAAGCCGCCGGCGTGAAACGTGTTACAATAGTGCTCAGCGAAGTTACTTCGTTGAACTCCAACTTACGACTGGAACTTGAAGATAGGTAACGATATTATAGTTGTCGAGTGCTGAGTGAGGTGTTTGAATGCTGATGTTGTGCTGATGCAAGCTTTGGGTGCCGAGGCCGCCGCTATAGATTGAAAGATCCATCGTCAGATTCAATTGAAGACCAAAAACTACATAACACAGCAGGTATTGTAAACAACATCGAAATGTCCATTGAAAATGTCCATAAAGTCCAAAACTAGTCCAAGGGTTCGTAGTAGTCAAATCGAGAAGTATTGAGGCTGGTGTTCAGAATTGGTTGCAACTTTTAATTGCAAGTCTGACCGCCTGGCCCACCAAAGAAGAAGTATGTCCCCCACGAGCCACCTTGAGCTGCTTGTGTGATGTTGATGTCCCAACACTTATTGGAGCCGATAACAAGTTTCTGTAGGTTGGTCCAGACACCAACTCCACCGGGTTCGTCGCGCGCGGTGTAGTAGATGGTACGCTGGAACGCTGACTGACCGAACCCATAAGACGGAAAGATTGAGCTACCCATCTGCGGCCAGCGATGATCTGCCGAGTCTCGCGTCACCTCTCCACCATACTCGACTACCTCCGCGCTCTTCGACAACTGGCCTGAGCCGAAGATCTTGGTTGGGTAGTATCCCACAGCTTCGTAAGCTCCAGGACCCTTGAGATACAACCACCAGTTCCCGCCGACGAGTTTCCATTGCATCTCGAATCCCCATTGTCCCCCACCGAAGGCGCTGTAATGCGTGAATCCGCGGCCCAAGAACCAGTTCTTGTTGGTCTGAACGAAAGCTGCGCAGTCCAGATTCCAACACTTCTTCGTCTTGTAGTTGTCGGCTGTATAGAAGATGAAGAGAACCGCGTTCTTGGTCTTGAATTTACCAGGATAAACAACCCAGCCTCCCTCAACCGTCTGGAGATTAGCCCCGGATCCACCCACATACCACTGCTGCGAGAGCGAAAAATCGCCAACTGGATTCCAAAGACTAAGCCACGAATTGCCACCGAAGTTTTTAACGGTCTGGCTGGCTACGGCGTAAAGGTGGGGCTGAGCAGCTCCACGTGCAACGAGCTGGCGGCGGGAAGAGCCACCATCCCCACCATTGTCAATGGTAAGAGCAGGCTCGGTGTCATTCCCCTTGCTGAAGAAATCAGCCAGCGTCCTAAAGCTGGTCAACTTCTCGAGGGTTAAACGAGGGAAAGGGATGGTGAGGTCCCGACAATAAATGACGTTCCCGAAGCTATCTTTGAGATCAAGCTTCAAAGGAGACTCCACAAATTGGGTTTGAGGACCATCCGCTGTTTTCGCATTCTCCTCGGAGCATGTGTCAATGGGAGCAGGGGCAATGTGGTCAATACCCTGGAGACGTAGGCCAGGTTGTTTCTTGACGTCTACGCAGTCGCCATATTCGTCGTCATAAATGAAGGAATGGGTAACTTCCCCGATACCATGGTACATGGTGAGGATGTGCGACTTTATCTCTTCGAAAGCTGTGGCGTTCTGAACAGTGGTGTGCGCCCATTTGTCATAAGTCGCATCGGTGACGCCTGCAATGAAATCGTTGAACTTGACAAAGCAACTACCGTCATGGTCTTTCGGGCCGGTGTTGTGAGGGATGGCGAAGGATGGAGTGGCGAGGGTAAGGAACCCAAGAATAGGGAAGAGGTCGTTCAAAATCATAGAGGGCGACGTGCTGAAGGAAAGAAAAGGGCCTGGATTTGACTTGAGAAATCATTGCACATTTATATGTGCAAAGAAGCGCTTCAAATCAATGGAGTGGTCTGCGAAGGCGTTCAAATGCATATACAGAATCTGAGATGTGTGAGAGTCAATGGTGAGCCAATGGCCGAACACCTCTGGTTTCCCGCAAAAGATCGAATTCGGGCAGGAGATGAGGAAGTGAAGCCGCCAAGAGAACGACGGGGTTTCACCCGTTGAGTGACTGGAATTGCCGCAAAAAACTCGGAGCGTCTCGCATGAAGTTTCTGAGAAAGAGAAAAGGGCATTGAAGTTCGGAGAGGACTTGAAAACGCCAGAGCATGGGTGCACCTATGGTCACAAAAAAATCGAGACCGAGTACTGGCTCGAAGCTAAGGCAAAACATAACAGAATTTGAAGTGTATCCTGGCACCTCGCAACAAAAAGCGCCATATTTTCCGCACAACATTGAGTTAAGGTAGGAGAACAGGGAGTGCAGCTGCCAAGGACAAAATGAGGTTTCACCTGTCAAATGACTGGCGAAGGGAATTGAGAGTGTCACTCAGTAATTTTTGGACCAATGAACAAAGAGAATTCGTAGACGCCAAAAACGGCTGCACCCATAGATATCAGTGGATATGGACTTCTGCGGGGAACAAACAGCGAGTCATATGAGTAGCTAGATGTGCATAGAACAGATTTGAATGATTCAGTGGGATGGTCTGCGGGGGCGTTCCAACGCTCACCCACTGCCCAGCAACATGATAAATCGGGTCCGGAATATGGATGGGTCAATTGCCAAGATGGAATGAAACGCATCATGGCTTCCGCACGAGGTTGAATCCAGGCTGGGGAACAGGGAGTGACGTCGCCAAGGGAAAGATGAGCTTTTATCTGGCAGATCACTGTAGGATTTGCCGCGGCGTGTTTGGATCGCGACTCAGAAAATCTTCGAGACTGAGCGAGATACGACTATGCAGGCATGCAGTTCGCAAAAATCTGCAAAATGGCTGCACCAGATGTTCACAAGGCCGTCGAGACTGACGTCAGGAATAGATGCGGAAGATGGGCATGATCCGTCATGACTTGACCCGTGTCCCAGCTAACCCTGCCAAGTTGTGACAGAAACCATTATGTTCGCCGCACAAGTTCGAATGAAGAGTGGAGTCGCCAAGAGGATGAAGAGGTTTCACCACTCGCCTGGAGAGTGTCGTTAGGGGAGTCTTCAATACACTGCCCATGGTAAATATTGGTTATACCCGACTTCGCGAAGTCAGATGCCCCAACGATTTCAAAAAAAGCCAAAGGCCGAAGTTTCAAGTAGGAATGTAGATAGAAATGGAGGGTTCAAGGTCAATTCAAGGTGGCGAAGGAGAACGTTCCGGTGACATTTTGTGTGCCATCATTGTTTGGGATGGTGTGAGTTGGCAAACAGCGCTCGAGCCGTTGAACTGCGAAATATAGTGAAATAATCATTACCGTGTCCCTACTGTATAACTAAGTACTACACTAATCGTTTATGTACCTTATACATGATGCATTCCAGCCAGTGGAAGCCCCTTACAAGTTATGTCGACCCGGTTGCCCTCAAAAGGAGTCCCCTCAAATTATCCTACACAATCCGCCAACACCTCATTCGCCTCCACACACTCACTAGGATCTCGAAAGATCCTCAACGGAATATGTCCCGGAATCTGCATACGCGCACGACAAACCCGCATCTGCAAGTCACTCCTCCTCCTCTGTGCATCGGGAAGTGACGCTTTCCTCGTAGGTTCCATGGATGACGTCGAGGCGAAGGAGGAGTTCGATTGCATGGCAGAGGACTTGATAGATAATGAGAGAGGTGGTGTGGCCTTGTTGATCAACTTCGCATAGACGCGTGTGGAGAGAGGTGACTTCAACGAAGATTCGGTGGGGCTTGGTGATGGTCCGGAGAAGGTGGTTGTGGAGGCTTGAGCTGTTGATGATGGGGGCCATAACTCTCCGCCTTTTCCATTCGCGAAAGCCTCAGGCTCATCGCTGATCGGTGCTGAGCTGAAATACTGTGACCCATTTTCTGGTATTTCCAAAACGCTGAGCAAAGAAGTTTTCTTCTTCTGGGAAGAAGTCGCGGAGCCCGAAGAGGTTGAGCTCAAGCGACTAATCACATGATCAGATAGGGCTCTCTTCATGCCTACGAAGATGGTCTCCTGGTTGGCGCGATCGACAGAATCAACAGGAGAAGTGGTGGTACTGTCAGACCTGGGGACGAGTGGAGCAGACGAAGGTCTGGTCCCAGCTGCATCCATCACATCCCAGCCAGTAGGGTCATTGATTGGCTCTCCCGAATCCACGTCTCTGATGAACACTGCCAGGATAGTGTCAGGACGTTCGCGTGCTATACTGTTCAGGTCATATCAGCAAGTGCATAGCTCAAACTAGACATAAAATAATGTACTCAGCATAGAGCTCCAAGTCTTGCTCTCCAGAGTCTCCAATGAGGAAGAACTTTGACTCGGGGAAGGAATCCAGGATGTCAACGAGCCCAGCGCGTTTGCGAGCGGCGGGAGCCGAAAGAAGTCCACTGAACAAAGACCGGCCAGCATAGGACCTGAGTTTTATCGAACCTAATACAATGTTAGAAAAAGTGAGAAAGCAAGGTTTTGAGATGGTTTACCAGGGGGAAGCCCTGCGACTTTGAGGAAGTCGTTTACAATAGGAAGAATCTCAAAAGGGCCATTCGACTGATAAGACTGATTAGCTTAGTCCAAATGTTAGAATGGGTAGCACTTACTACGTAATGAAAGCGCACACCCCTTGTAAACATACTTTGATACCATTCCCCCATCCCTGGGATAACATTCTCTTGAAGTTCCTTCACAAACACGTTCTTGAATACCGCGCGCGCGCCACTCATGATATCTGACCTCTTCACTGTGTCGTCAATATCAGAGATGACGCGTATGGGGCAGTGAGTAATCGGAATCTTGATCATGCACGAAGCAGGCGATGTTTGGACTACAGGAGGAGCTTGAGGAGAGGGGGTCAAGGTTGGTGGCATGAGTTGAGCAATAACCTTGAAGTTATGCTCTGCCACGGCATCACCGAATGCAATGTGCAACGCTTCAGAATGCTGACACATGGCTTCCCAATCAACTTTGAACCGCGCTTGAAAACTTCCATCTGGGCCGGTAAAAACATCGTGAGTAGCTAGTGCTTTATGTTTTTCAATGCCCAAGGCATCGGTCTCGTCAATAGAATCAGCGCGAGGAGGATTTTGGTGTGGTGATGCGAAGAGGTGAAGGCGGATAGTGCGGTTGGCAACTGCTGAGAACCAAAAAGGTTGTAGGCGAGACTCGAGGTTAGCGTGAAGACGACGAAAAACTTCAGGAGAAATGGTAGATGCCTCCGATATAGGGGCATCCTGCGGAAGGTCCGATATCGAGGACGAGGGAGAAGAGGATGCAGAGTCAGAATTATTATCCCTTATTCGTTGATATTCACGCTCTAAAGCTTCTATTTCATAACCTTCTGTTATTTCTGTAGGACGTGGAGGAAGTTTGACTTGCTTGAGGAGTTCTTCTGTCGAGGCCGTCAAAGGAACAGAGTATAGTGTGTTGGGCGCTGCGTTAGGATCCTCAACAAGTTTCGGCAATGCCGCAAAACCTTCGAAGATATGTCAGTGATGTAGGAGAAGATCTAGATGAGGCGCACTTTTGGCCAGACGAATAAAAGTTCGTTGGGTACGGCTTGCATTTTCCAGAGATCTATGAGAGACGGCATACCCAGAAATGAAAGCTTCGACTTCAAACGGCCTTATGGCTGGAAAGGTGCTCTATCAAAGCCCCCGTGACAGAAATGTCGAGCACGCACCTTCGGTCCCTGTGTCTGCGGCGTACCTTCGGGCGGCCCAACCAGGAAAGAGACTGACAATCTCTGTGCTGGGCAACGAACCCTCACCATTACCTCTTCTTCTCGGAAAAACCTTCTGTCCTGCCCATTCCCGCCAATTTTGACGATCCTCCTGGGGGGCGGGCTGTAATAAGCCCCTTATGGTATATGTGCCCTTGACACCGGGTTCACTGTTAATATAGCCTTTGACGCGGGTTCCCGCCGAGGACGCAAGAGATCTCCAGGAGGACATGCCTTCGGACATGATGGCGGTTATAGAGTGAATGATGCCATTTTGCAACGACGATGCGTTGAATTCGAGAAGCCTGAGAAAGGGACAACGAGATCCGTCACGGTGACGACCAAACTTTTGAGCGCTCTCCGCCCGACTCCGACAACCCCCATAACGCCCAAATGAACGCGCTGAGGCTGGCAACGCGATGCTGGCGACCGAACGCGCTTTTTGCTGCGAGATCGTTTACCAGCACTCAATGTGCCATGTCTGCTCAGAGTGGCCTTAGTTCATCCCTCGAAAATGTTGCGCAAAAGATTATGGAGCTCCTTGATGCTCCTCGCCCAATAAGCAATGGCTTGCAAATGCGACCCGACCGTTTTGTTGCGGTCAGAAGTCTGGTGAGTCATACACATTTTAACCCAGAAACATATTCTAACTGACCGTGAAGCTAGAGCACCCGGATATCGACGGAATGAACTTTCTCACTTTGGAAAAACTCGTGCAGGAAGACGGAGACAACCGCTATGAACTACTCTACGAGCCGTACTCACACTCCCTTGGCATGGGAGAACATGTTGATCAATGGTGGATTCGAAAATCTCGGAGTCTCCTCAAACCTGTACGGCGTCTGTGCTTGATCTCTTTTCCCTGTTAACACGCTCTTTAGAAAGTGGAACACGAAATGAGACGTGTTACGCAGCCTCGAGAGTTCACACTAGCGCTCCACATCACAGGGTTGGAATCGTGGCCGTCCATCAGTGCGTATGAAACCTCTGCATCTCCCATCCTCAACTAACACCGTTACGTAGAACGTACGGGAATATCCAGGATGTCACAACCACACATTTATCTACAGACTCAAATCCCGGATTACATCGCTAGCAGCGGTATGTCCCATCACCTTCCTCATCCTACCTTTCTCACAAGGAATTTTGTGCAGCCGAGCCCAAGGAGGAACAACTTCTCATATACATCAACCTCAAGAAAGCCATGGACGCGGGAATCAAGTTTTACGCTTCTAGTGCGGGGTTGGCCACCCCTGGCGACGAGGCGGGCTTCCTGAGACCGCGATTTTTTCAGTACGTTTACGTTCGTGTCATCCAGCGGAAAACTCTGTTGGGAAAGCCATCACAACCTTGGTTGGTTACGCCGAAACGACCACTCTCGACAACCAGGCTTCGCTTAGGGTTGGCTCCCAGACGTCGGTGAATCATTCCTTCCATCGAAATTCGACAAATTATTGATATCTAGCCTGTGTTAGCTAATCTCCCGTGCTGCATCGAGAGGGCTTCCAAACCACCACGGGGAAATATCCAGTCTCGACTCTGGCCCCAATAGGACACTTGAGCAGGTAGTTGTTGTGGATATATCCTGCGACTCCCCGAGCTTGCAGCAAGTGCATCCAAATCAGCAAATCATCCTGCTACAACCTTCCCTGCAGAATCCTCTAGCTCACTTGTGAAGAGCGGTGTGGAGTCGGTCAATACTCTCCGTCCTCAGACCCGCTATTGCTAAGGAGCGCCAAGGACAAAAGAAGACCGTCGTGGCATGCTCACATGAGTCGCATCAATGGATCAAGTTCTTCGGTTTCATCTCCACTTACTTATATTCTAAACTTCAAAAAATGGCCTTCGCCGACTCATCCTTCCTTTCGTTCCAACTACCAGGACGTCGACCCTTTCATCATCTATCGCAACCCTTATTCATAATCCACGACCCCGTAATCTACCTTCATGCTCCTTTCCAACGCTTTCCTCGTCATTAGCCTAACCCTCAGCGCAAGTCTCGAATCTGGAAGTGCTTACTCTCTTTTCCGCCGAACATCCAGTTTCTTTCCCAGAGACTGGGAACCAGAAATATGCAACCCAGACTTTGAGGGCTCAGCACTCTCAGTGGTCGGCAACCACGGAGAGTGGGGAGCCGAATCTATCGAGCCTGGCTCCCACATTATCGGCACTAGCACACGTGGGGCTGAGATCGCCAACGCGGACTTTCATTTTACGTTGACGCATAATGGAGAGACTCCGAGGAGATATGTCATCCAGTTCGTTGTTCTGTTCGCCTTTCGTTGTGGTAGATTGAGCTTACCGATGCGCAGGGACGTTGATCACGCTGATTTAGTTGTTGGTATCGTGAATAACAAGCTCCAGCTCCAAAATCTGAACATCAGTGACCCGTCAGTCAACCCGTTGCTCTTTCTACCCCTTCAGTGAGATAGATAACATTATGAAAAATGCAGGACTCAGATTTGGAGCGTTCAATGCGAGTTCTGCGACTCCGGCTTCGCAGGAGAAGATGCGTATCTTGCCGCGTATGACTGTACCATCTCCTCGCCCACGACGGAGGAGTGTGTTGAGCTGGGATTGAATAAGACTCAGCCGTTGACGCTGGTTCCGTGTAGTAGGAGGGACGAAAAGCAGCTCTTTCAGTTTTGGACTGCTAATGCGACAGCGCGTGGGGAATGAGGGGTTTGCTGGCTGGATGGACTGGCTATATACATTATTCTATGCTCACGTTATGTAATAAAGGATTGTGTTTGGCCTGATCATCATGAGTACTCGGAGGTTGTGTGTCCATGTTAGACACATTACCAGCCCTCCAACTTGATCAACGTCCAGGTTGGTCCCAGGACTCACATCTGGTTATCGTCCAACGTCACTGAGGGCACCCATCGCCCCCACTCGCTTCGTTTCGAAGACATTTTCTATTCCGAAACCAACTGGCCGAGCGGTTATAACTTGGTAGCCCTGTGACACCCTATGTCCGGCGAAGAAGGGGGCCTCGAAGATATTCAAGAGGTACGCCCGTTCAGCTCTCAACCTAAGGCTCTAACTCATCTCAACTTAGTCCGAAATTTCTGGAGACAATGAGGTGTACCTCTTCCAATGGTTATCGTCGTCGGAGAAGAAGTTGTCGGATGTATCGCTCGTGAGCTAGTTGCATGTTGGAAATCCGCAATGTCCTCATATCGCTCCTTTATAAGGCCGATTTGAAGGTCCAACAACCTGGTTTTGAGAAATCCTTGATCAAAATTGTGTCTGCTCCAGAACCGTATCCTGCACCTGGGCGCGCTCTGAGGAATTTAGTTGGACGATGTCTTGTCAAGTTGTACACCCGCGGAGAAACGAGGACGATGTTCGACACCCTCCAGGCGTTCATGAAGCTCGTAGGAGATATCAAGACGTTGGATAAAGATGCGAGCAAGATGTAAGTCAGTCCCTTACATCAATAATCTTGTTAAACACCCTCATTCTTTGACGCAGTGCGGCATTCTCTTGCATCGGCGACCTCATGGCCGCTTTCGGTTCGCAGGTCAGAGACCATCGCAACCTATGTGAAGTTCTATAGCTGACTCCACGAAAGGTCATGTCATTTATGGCGGAGATCACTATAGTGACACTCAAAACATACAAATCATCCAACGTTAGCTTCTAATTTGTAAACTGCGTTGTTGACACATTGCCTAATTTCCATGTCCAGTCCACCCTTCTTCGGTATCATGCACTCATGGCACTTCAGAAATCCTTGCTCACGGCAAAACGGGCTGTTACCGATGCTTCAGCTAAAGACATCCTCAAACAAATGAAATCCGCCCTCACCGACAAGTCGCTGCCTGTCCAACGTGCTGCTTCTGAGGTGCGGAAATCTTATAATTGGGCTCACCTTACTGATGTTAAAACAGGTCCTTATGGCTATGTATTCCGTTCAAGATGGAAGCCACCCATCGTCGAGTGAAGTCGACGCCATCATCAGTCTATCTGTCAAAAGCCTCGACAATGCGGACCAGATCACTCGCCATGCTCATGCACAGCTGGTTGGACATGTTCTTTCCTCGACCCAGATTGAGAGAGCGGCCCCGGTCCCAGAAGCTCCGCAAAAAGCGAAGAAAGATCAAGAGCTTATAGAAGACGACCCACCAACATCCGCTCATTCTATCACCGAAGCGGCCAAACCTCTGCTGACACCCGTTGAAATGTTATTACATCTCTCAAACCAGCTCAATAAAAACAATTTGACACGGAAGACACGCGTTGGTATATTCGACTTCTACGCGGCTGTTTTTGTTCGGCTTGGTGCATCCTTTGTCGAGTCCAACTTTTCTCTCATCGTCGCCCATCTCATTTCGGAGGTCATCCTTAGCCCGAGGAACTCTAGCCGCTATGACGTTTTGCTCACAAGAAAACTAGTTGGGATTTTGATACGGGACTTGATTGGGGTTCGTATGCTGAGTGAGCAAGGTCAAATCAGCGCGATTCAGGAGTTGGCGAACACCTACCTCAAACGATGGCCTGCGATGATGCCAGGCCAGACGGCTCCATCCTCTTTGGTTCTCGTCGTCGTTCTCAAAGAAGTCGCCGGGCTTCTACAACAGCTGGGAAACGCCCCTCCACCCGTTCAGGTCCGCTTTTCTTATTCGCATTTCCTTCTAACCTCTTTTTAACGCGCACTTTTCAATATAGGATGCTCTTTCTGAGCCGCTGGTCACTCTTCTCTCCCATCCTAGTCACAGTGTTCATGTGAATGCTGCGTGGGCCCTCCGATGCTTTTGCTACTCGACTCCTCTCCGCCTGCCCAAGACGATTTTGATCGTGATGGACAAACTGCAGCGGGATCTGACATCGATGCTAACACCCACAGCCCCTCTCGACGTACCACTTCGAGCACTTGGGCACGGGTACGGTCTTGCAGCTTTGGTTTCAGTGATTCCACAACGACCGCTATACGTCTCTTACGATGTTAGCGCTAAGGTACTAGATATGGCTACTCAGCTATTGAAGCGTGCCGCAGAGCATGATCTCAAAATCGGAGGTGTTGAGGTGGAAATCGCGTGGACGCTTATTGCCTCCCTTATGTCTTTGGGTCCCAATTTCGTTCGCCCTCACCTTCCCCAACTACTCGTCCTTTGGCGCAATGCCCTTCCGAAACCGACGAACAAGGACTCCACCAATAGTGTCGGACGCTCTGTGAATGAGTGGATGTTCCTGCTACACGTTCGAGAGAGCGCTCTTGGTGCAATACTTTGTTTCCTTCAGCATAATTCGTCCACTCTTGTCACTCTAGATGTCGCTCGTCGTATTGCCTCAGTGCTAAGCAATGCCCTCCTTTTCGCCAACGGCTTTATCGCTCAGAATGTTGAAGATCCTTCTGATACTCAACCCCCTGTCGTCCCTAAGAAGGGCTTGACAATGCGAGATCGGGAATCCCTTCTTCGTCGCCGGGTATACCAATGTTTTACTGCACTCGGGTTTTCCAGCATAGCGGAATCAACACAGGCCACTCTCTTACAGTCTGTGGTTTCTCTCTTCGCAAGTCCTGATGGCTATGCTGGCTCTTCGGTGCAAGCCGCCATTGCTTCGTCCACTGGGTCATTCAGCTCTGTTTGGCAAAGTAATGACGGATACGCCTATGGTGTCACATTCAATGAAGTGGTGGATTTTGGAGGGATTGGATCCGAGGACTCATCTCAGGGTACCTCTGATTACCTCAATAGAGACACGGTGGAAGTATCAATCGACACCCTGGTATGACTCATTTCCGATCCATTTTCATCCCTAATGATGCGATTCTCCAGCTTCGAAAACCTATTCTAGGTGCTTGTGAGCACGATCCTTTGTCCCTATGCCAGGCCAAATTTTCGGATTCCGAATACCAACTTTTCGAGCCTCCACCTCCTGCAACCGCGGTAGTGGACACTGCGATCGAGCTGTTCGCGCGGCTTCTTCCTTTGCAGGATCTCACTTCAACAGTCAAGGTCATTACACAGCTCGTCGAATCTGTACGCTCTCCGAAGCTTGAGAAGAATACGGGGCGGAAAGCCGCCGTTTTCGTCAACGCAACGGTGGCCCTTGTCATGGCCTTGAGAACCGCCACGACATCTCATTTCCGTCAAGCTCGTGACACGTTCGGAAGCTCCTATGTTACAACCCTGCTTTCTTCCTTCTTGATGGTTCGGCTACCGTTTCTTCAATAACTTTTGTTTCTGGAACTGACACTTCATTATAGGATGCCTTGATTGATGGAGATCTGGTTTTACGTTCTGCTGGCAGTGAATCTATTGGAAGACTTGCCAGCCTTTCTGGGACCACCTTCCTCACCAGTCAAATCAAGGATCTCGTTGATCAAGTGGTGAATAATCGTAATCCATTTGGACGTGCGGGATGTGCACTTGCATTTGGAGCAATTTACAGCCATGTCGGTGGACTAGCTGCTGGTCCTTTGCTCAAAACGACCGTCAACGTCCTGATGTCGCTGAGCAATGATCCCCATCCTACTGTTCACTTCTGGGCTCTAAACGCTCTTGCAAGGGTGATTAATGCCGCGAGTTTAGCATATGCACCCCATGTTTCCAGCACGCTTGGCATGCTCCTCAAGGTGTATCTCATGGAGTCCCATGAGCGAGAGGGCGGGACCCTTGGTAACGCAAACGTCAGCGGCGATTGCCCCGCATATCCTGTTGCCTGTGAAATCATCGACGCAGTTATCACAGTGCTTGGTCCCGATATTCAGGAGTCTCCTCGTACAAGATCTCTGGTTCTTAATCTTGTTCATGAATTTTCTCTGGAGGATGACGAAGGCATTTCCGTCGAAGCGATCAAGTGCATCCAACATTTCCTCATGTTTGCCCCCGAATATGCGAACATACCAGATTTGGTGAAGCAATTCCGAAGTCATCTGTCGTCTTCTCGCCGGCCTCTCAAAATCGCATCAATCAACGCCCTTTACCAACTTGTACAGAAGGATGCCCTCGCCATGTCAAGGTTGGGTGGCGACCGACTTGTGGAAGACCTCTTTGGCATGCTTGATGATGACCCTTCAGTTCAAGGAGTGCGCAATGTCATCACGAGTTGGCTGCAGCAAACAGCCATTCATAATCCGTCTGCTTGGATTGACTTGTGTCAACGTATAATGTCGCGGACAACGGCCTCTCAGCAAGTCGTTGACGCTGCTCGACAAAATCTTCGTGATGATGAGGGAGAATCATTAGCTGGCAATTCACAAGGCGCTGGTCACGGGCACTTGACATCTAGGTGGCGCACACAACTTTTCTCGTTACAGTGTCTACATGAGATTTGCACTATTGTCGCAAACAGTGGACGGAGGGAACATCTAGATGCCATTGTAGCACGCAGCAAGGGCATAACCACGACTTCTGGGCTTCTCTTTTCTCGTGTTGCCGACCTCATCAAGATGGCGTTTACGGCTTCAACTGCATATGTTACTGAGATCCGTTTAGAAGGGCTTGTTGTTCTGAGGGACGTGATTCAGGCGAGGGATTTCCTTGGATGGTTACAAAGTATTGGAATACTGACCTTCTTCATTCCAGATATTTGCGTCATCGCCTGATCCCGCGTATGATGATGCTCTTCTACTCGAGCAACATCAAGCTCCCATAACTGCCGCTTTGACACCGGCCTTCTCGTCTGATTCTACTCCCGAGATTCTGTCATCTGCAGTGCATGCCTGTGCAGTCTTTGTGGGCTGCGGTGTTGTCAAGGATGTCAGTAGGATGGGTCGTATCCTGAAGTTATTGACGACAGCCCTTGAGCAATCCAAAGGTGTGCTTATCTCCCTTGAACAACTTGATAGCGTATACTTACTCGATCTCCTAGACGCAGGAATGCTCTCTCTTGGCGAGACTGGTGAACTGAGTCCCAATGCGTCAGCCATGTTGAGAATTTCGACTCTGTCTGCTTGGGCACAACTTCAAGTTTCGAGTATGCACCAAACTTACCTCCAAAAGGTGGTGCAGCCGTATCGATCAACGTTGGCGTCTTTATGGGTGGCAGCTCTCAGAGACTACGCCAGCATCAGAATTGATTCAGAGTTTCTGCACGATACTTCATCAGTAGCTTTGGACTCATCGTACTCGAGTCTTGGGAAAGAAGTTTTGCTCCCGGTAAGTCGACGTATTGTTCAACCATAAGGGGTCACTAAATTTATTCCAGTATTATACCAAAACGTGGCCCACCATCCTCCAAGCTGTGGCTACAGCAATGCAAGCAGGAGACCCTCACGTTCTCGCAGCGATGGATGGTAGAGAGCTAACCAAAGTCGAAACCGCGATAACCCCCTCCCCGGATCGCCAAGAACCTGCGATGTTTTTCTTCGTGATTTTTGGTTTGGTATACGAAGCACTCGCTACCTCGTCTCCAGACTCGTCTTCAAGCACGTCGGCCCGACAAACCAATGTTATTTCTGGTCTTCAAGCTCTTAAATGTCTGGTGCGACCAGAGTACTCGGGCAAAGCGATTATGGAACCTGCCATCTTTGAAGAGTTCATCAGTCTGTGCTATCGTATGGCGATGACGGAATCTGCCAATATTCAAGTCCATTTGGTTGAGGTGATTGCTATATTTGCTGCATCTCATAGTGCGGGGGATATGTACGTCTTTTGTTCTTTACCAGAGATCTGGCGTTGAAATTCAGATCATTTTAGGTCAGCAGATGCGCTTTCTGCAACCTCTCCTCGGGCCCATTGCTTGAGAATATGTTCACATATACTAAAGCACTCTACCTCTACTGCACGTGGGGGGATTATTCGTGAGTGCCTTTTGCTTACCTCCGGTTTTGGGCTCATGTCTTGTTCACCTCGATGTTAGAGGGACAAGTTGTAGATCGTATTTCATTGATTGTATCCGCACTGTCCGCGTTTACAGCCATCGGGGCTTCGATCAATACATCTCAACGTGAAGATGTCAGAGGCGTTGCCATCCTTCTGTACTGCGGTACGTTCTACCCGCCATGCTATTCACAAACCGCTCATTCATTTTTCGGCCAGACCTACTCAAGGACGAATCATCCGAAATTGACTTGGTTGGGCCTAGTCTTCCAGCATTAAAGTCGTTGCTAGACTTGCCGACTGCTCCTGGGTCGAATGTGAATGAAGGGTATGATCGATTAGCTCATGCTCTTCTATCGGCTTGCTTGCTTCACATTGATGAGATGCGGTACGTCTTCTCGAGTGCCAAAACTAACATATATACCAATGATGCGCATACAGTGGTCGAAGTGGTGCAATTTCTGCGAAAAAGATCAAGAACAACCTCTTGGCGGCAGTCCTCGTATTGACTGTCATCCCCAGCACAGTGAAACTCGGTAGATCTGCAGTCGAGCACTGTTGCTTTTTGATATCTCAAAAGTTGCTGGATGTGGATGATGTGAGCTTCATTCATCCACCACGCCTTTTTGTTTACCATGATCTTCCAGACATCATTAACTGCAGCCCACTGCGCGAAAACCCTCGTCGCGTCAGCGTCAACGGGTAACCCGACCCTTCGGCAGTGTGTGCGGCTTTTGATACCCGCCCTGGTCGAGTTCATCGCCAAGATGGCACCTCTAGTGCATGAAGGGTCGATAACGGAGCCTCAAGCAGCTGCGATTGGGGAGATCTGGAAGGCCTTTTCCATCTTCTTCAACACTGTTTCCGAAGATTTACGTGAGTGTTTTCTCTCCCTCTCCTTCTTCCTCTGTTCTCAAACTCGTACATACAACGGCAGGTGCACGTGTCCTCGGTGTCTTAGTACCCACCATTTCCCTCCTCCTCGTCAACAATGGCACGGGCACACAAGCGTCGATATCCACACAGGCTACGGCCCAGCTGCTTACGTATGCTACGGCGTCTCCTGCAGGGTTCAAAGAGGCTGCTGGGAAGCTGGATCCTGCGACGAGGGAGTTGTTGGAGACGTCGATTCGGAGAGCTGTGGGCGGTGTGCAGGGAGCGCAGGCTCAGCAGGCTGTGAAGCCGCAGATATCGCTTCGGTCGTTCTAGTCCTCATTTTTGATATTTTATGTTCGTCATTCGTCATGGGTAAGATACATAGATGTGCAATTGATTGAAACAGAATGGCAAGTTACCCGACCTGCAATCTTGATATACCCTCCTCAACAATTTTCTCGTCCTTCTGACTGGCAGGGGGCGTCTCGTACCCACCCTTCACCACTCCTTGCCTCACCCTCTCCGAGTCAACAACTTTAACAGGCCCACAGCCCTCCCACCCAGACAAAGCCTGCCTCTTCGCATTTTCCACTCTTAAGAAAAACTCGGGTTTCAGGAAGCCTTTATCGTCGCCTGCTGTGAGTACGACGCCGTTATCGGAGAAGAAGAATTGGATGCCGGAGGAGAGGGCGGCTTGGATGTTTATGTAGATGAATATTTGGGAGGAGGATCTCATTCCTTTTTTTAATAAGTGGGATCGTGGGATTAGTTGGTTGTGAAGGGAGGAAAGGAAGAGAGGGAGAGGGGAGGGAGAGGCAGGAGAGCGTACCGCTTATTACGCCGTTATGCCCTGGCAAACCTTGTGCGAGGTGGATGTGGTTTCGTTTCATTTTTGAGAGACCTTGTTTGGCTTTTTCGAAGTTAGCTTCTTTGCTCTTTTTCTTTTTTTTATGGGAGATCGGGACGTACAGATAGATTCCCAAGCGGCCAACGTCGTCCCGTGTACGGCTACACCCGTAGATATATCAGTGGCTGATAAGATTGGTTTGAGGTCTAACTCGACTGTCTATTATTATGATTTTCCTTCTGCATTAGTTTGGTTGGTGCTTTGAGAAAAGGTGGAACGAACCTTGAGAGAATGTCCTTGACGAGCTCGTATCCACCATACGTTGGGATCCGTTGAATCCGCTGGTGGTTCCGTAGAGGCGCCTGCATTCGAAGCAGCAGCAACATTGGTGGTGGTGGTGGTATCAGGTTCACATATCAGATCATATCGCTGCTTTGAATCCTTCCCCACAATATCACGTATCTTGTCTAAATCCAAGCCTTGAGTTTTCAATTTCGGGTTTTGCAGCTAATCCAATATGTTCACCCATCATCATCGCACTCTCTGATAAAAAGGCTTTTAAACGACGTACCAGATCCGCGACCTTTACATACCCATCCTTCCGCATCGGCAGTCCTTCGCCCTGTGCGCCATGGCGGAGGAGGTACGATAGTGTCTTTGATACCCGGACTTCTGGAGAATCTTTCTCGAGCCCACGGAGTTTGCTTGATGTTTGGTGGTGGTGGGGTTGCTTGGGTTTGGGGTTTTGGTTATTTGTGCGTTTTGTGCGTACGCGGGGAGGTTTGTTGTCGGAGGAGGAGGCCATTGGGCGGGATATGATGAGGGTTTGGTGAAGGTTAACTTGAAGGTTATGAGTATGAGGGTGTGATAACTTGAGAATTGTTCGTATTATAGTTCGACGGTTTGCGGAGATTGCAAATAACGATGATGACATGGGGAGTGTAAGACCGAGTCATTATGACCCTATGGTACCATCAAGGAGAGGTGCTAGAGTTCCAACGCGGAGGAGAGCTTGTGTTCAACCAAATAAATATTTCGTTCCGAACGGTTCACCGACGTTGATATGGAGTTGACAGCCTTTAGGCTAGTAGCCTCCACCAAGGGACGACACTCAGTTCATGTCAAGGTCGCTGGGGATTTGTATCAAACGTCCTCAGCCTTCCCAGGTCTACCCAATCTACCAGCTGTGGTGCAAGATCCACGAACGAACCCTCCCAAGGTGAGCCTTTTTCGAGTCCTGGTCTTGAAAACTTGACATACAAAAATTTTAGAGGGTAACCAGCGTCACCAGCCTCTACTAGTTACTACTCAGAGGACAAGACGACGGTCCTCTGCACTGGCGGGACAATTAGTATCAGATAAGACTGCCACTTCGCTTGTTCACCCGGACAGGCCGTCAGCATGACTTCACAACACGCTTGCCCTTCCTTCGGATATCTTTCCTGGCGTGCACTCAAATGAGATGAGTACAGGCACACATTGTACTATCGATCGTGCCGGGATTGTACGCAATTTCGGATTTCATTGTGGTGCTGGTGAGTGATCTGATTTCTGCCACACTCGTGACTCTCAGAAGTACTAAAATTAGGAAAAGGAGAGGGAAGGTGTATATAAGCCTAGTTCAAGTTGATTGGCGAGTGCATAACAAGCTTGAGAACCCCCACCATCATGAGTTTCTGCAAGAACTGCATGAAAGGCGCGTCCTCAGCTTCCCCTTGTCTCCCATCCCTAAGCATCGTATATACCAGGCGTCACCCACGAAGGAACTCCACAGGGTACGCCTCTCTCTCCCAGTATCATATATCTCCTCATTCCAATTTTCATCCCTATTCAGGTAAATGGGAACTCATAGGCGGCGTAAACTCCTACGTCGCAACACCCACCATCGACTATCCCAAAGACAAAGTCGTTCTCTTCCTCACGGACGTGTTTGGTCCGCAACTTGTCAATGCCCAGTTGCTCGCTGATGATTTTGCGATTAACGGGTTTAAGGTTCGTCTCTCCCCGTGCTCTTTCAGCTGTGCGTACTAACTTAACTCTTCCTCTATAACGATTGCGTTACGTGAAGACTGTTGTGCCAGACTATTTGAACGGCGACCCTATCCCCGCTGACGTTATGACTTCCGGGGTGTGTCCCCTTTCCCTCTTTTTATAAAAACCCTTGTACTGACGAGAAAGAAAACAGATATCATTCGATTTCGAGAAATGGCGCTCGAACCACACACAAGCGCATACCCGGCCTACCCTCGACAAAGTCATCGACGCACTCAAGAAGGAAGGTGTCACTACCTTCGGGGCGACTGGGTATTGCTTTGGCGGTACGTCTTCCTTGCGATCCGGAAGAATGATGATGATGATGGGTGTTAGGACGATATGTCTTCGACCTCGCGTTTGAGAATATCATCAGCGCCTCTGTCGTATCGCACCCCTCCTTACTCGAAATACCCGCCGATCTCGAGGTGCGCTTTTTTTTTCAATTCCACTTACAGTATCCTAATCGACTATTTCTAAAATCCCCCCCCCCCAGAAATACTTCAACACATCCACCTCCCCGCTCCTCATCAACTCCTGCACCAACGACGTGCGCTTCCCATTGTCCGCATCCGCTAAAGCCGACGAGATTTTCGGAGAGGGAAAGTTTGCGCCGGGGTATAAGAGGGAGTACTTTGAAGGCGCGGAGCATGGGTTTGCTGTTAGAGGGGATATGACGAATCCGGTTGTGAAGAAGGCGAAGGAGGGAGCGTTTGAGAGTGCTGTTGCTTGGTTTATTGAGGAGCTTTGAGGACTCACTAGCTAGGGAGAAGTGGATTGAGCGGGGTTTGTTGGAGGATGATCTGTTGTGAGCTTTGTGATAAAGAATTTAAACTGAATGATGTTAATGGCTAAATTTGATTACTGCGACTCGCGTTAAGGGCGATGCTATACGCGACATGAAAGCTCCTGAACCACGTATGTGAGAGGAATAATTCACCCCAGGCGCCCGACATCGACGAACGTAAAATGAACACGACGCAGTAGACCTAGGCGTCGCTTAGCACTTGTCTACTCAAGGTTGTTAGAAGGAAATTGGGGAGGTTGTCTTTCCAAAATTGAATTACTTATGTTTGACCATTCATTTGGTGAGTTCTGGGAGTGTTTTTCCACCATTGATGTGGGACCATTGAGCGTTTTCTCCTTTAGATTCAATTCAGATCGTAGCGAATTGTGGCCCATATTGACTGGAGATTTCCTGAGAAAGATGGGCTTGAGATGGGCAGATTTTAAGCGCTTTCGTGGGCCGTGTGTGCCTATTTGGCTCCTCTCCATTATTTCCTTATAATGACCATAAGTAATGCCACATCCCACAGGCAACGTTGAAGTGTTTCCTTCGGCTTCCTCACGTTGGCAAAGCTTGGAGACCAGAAGATATGCACCAAAAAATCTCAAAACTTGAGGAACATGCAAGACTACGTTGAGCTGACTTCAGGCTCCTCTAAATTTTCTAAGTTGTAACGTTGAAGCTATAACAACCACAAGGTCAAAAATCCGCAAATCCTGTTTAGAACGTTCTGGGACTCTTGATAGGTGATAACGACCCTGCTTGTGGAAAGGCTGTACGAGGAGATAAAGTATGAGAGTGATGAAAGAAATAGCTTGAGGAAGCAACTTTCTTCCCTGAATGCATCACCTGCTGCGCTTCACAGGTAATTTACAGCGCAGGGTCTGTGTAACATGAGTAAGCTTCAGAATGTTGAGTGCCCCAGAATTTAGAAATCCCGTAGGTGATCAAAAAGTGTCACCTGTGCATAGCATTTCCAGTTCCGGGCTGGACAAGCTAAAAGGAACAAATCGAGCCAAGCTTGTGCGTCCTGTCGGCGCCATAAAAGAGTCAACTCGATGCGAGCTCTTGGGCGATATCATATCTCCTCGAGCCAACATCAAATGCCACAGATGTCACGTTCTTGGTATTGAATGCTCCTTCGAAACTTCAGACAGCATACTTATATATCATTCCTCAGACGCCTCTACAGTAGGCGGGAGCGCCGCGGTTCAATTTCGATTTCATAAGCTTTAGGTCTGGGCCCAGACCTAACCCTAGGTAAACAGTGATCGATTGATCGATAGTGATCAACGACGTCTTGGACCGCACGCCCATCTACCCCGCCTCATTGACTGACCAACTTTCCATAGAACCACTTCATACATCTTTTATACATTATATCTTCCTTTATCCTACACATATTTGATGGCTGACATGTAATATCCACCTTTTGCAGCCTGTTTAATGGCTATCAAGGCCAGGGAATACTAATACAAAGAATTTGTTTCTATAACGTCAGACATCTTACTGAAAACCCTCCAGGCAGTAAGAAGCGATAACTCTGGGCGGCCAACAGATAGGTATACCTCCTCGGCAACAGGCACAAAATCTTCAGGATAAAACCGCCGGAATTCCTCTCTGGGCCCTGCTTCATCAGCCAGATATTGTCGAAGGTCAGAAATGACATCCTTTGGTAAGCGGATGAGGCAGTCAATTCCACCATAAAACTGAGGATGAGCAGCGGCGTCATCAGGGACGTGTCCAGATGGCATGTCTTTGCCAGACTGCCACCGGACAGTGCGCTGATTCCAATAGACACGGAACTCGTCAAGGGCACTTTGAACGAGCGGAACAAAAATCCAGTAAAACAAATGCCTAAAACAATGTCAGCGATCAAATGATTGAAGCTGAAGTTCAAGAACGCTCAAACGATTAAACATACCGGTGATAATTGACCTCAGGATTGATCAGACGGTCAGTTTTGCCTTGTAGAATGACTTCTCGCAAATTGTAACCCGCTTTCTCACGAAGCCACCGCCACAATGCCTCGATGATAATGTTGTGAACACTTTTCAGAAGCGCTACGCTGCGATACACGTCAGGATCGATTTGAGGGGCAAAGGCCTCGCTGAAGACAAACAATCCATCACTTGACTTCTTGCTTCGGAACCAATATCACAACGCACCGAAGAGCAACTTGAAACGCAACCTGCCAGCCGATTTCGGACCCCTTATCAAGGTCCAATTGCATTGGCATTCCTGAAGATGTCGAGTCTGAACTCTTTTCTTTCCAATCGAAAAAATCGAACTAACCTCCCAGTTTCTCTAGCAAATCGAGATAGAGGTGGCCTACGGCTCCAGGAGAACGACTGTCAGGAACAACATCTATTTGTGGTAGTTGCCCTGTCCATTTGTCTCGGTATGCATATATCGGAAAGCCTAAACCTCCCATCTGCAATGCCAGGGCACCAATTTTCTCATGACCGTCTCCTGATATTTCGTGATATGGACCAAGGGCGGAGAGTGGCTGTCGGTTTACTTTAAACTTCTTTTTTCCTGGAAATCGTTTCTCTGCACCATCTGGAAAATGTTCCCGCATAATCTTCCTAACGGTGTCTCTTCCAGGGGGCATACAACTTTAAATGACCTGAAAAGAATCTATTCAAGGGGTACTCACCGAGGGACTTTGATGTCTTTGTCTTTGAGCTTCGCCTTGAAGTAATTCGGGCCATTATTCTGTGTCACGTCCTTTTCAACCTCATCAACAACAAGCTGAACGACTTCTTCTGCTCCTAGTCGATTCCTGCGAACGGATGGAATGTTGAATCGGCGTTCAAGTTCGTTCAACTTGGTCTTTCTATATAGCAATGCCTGTCAACAACAATGCCCCTCGATCCACTGCTAGTGGACTTACCCAATGCTAAGGTGGTGATCTACTTGTAGACGTGCCAACTTTTGGTCCTGCGAGAGAGTGTGTCTGGAGTATGTCAACAGCGCGTTTTTGAAGACATCATCTGGTGGGTCTTCAAATTTGAAGCTCAGTATGTTGAACTTGGTGAAATTGAAGACTTTGGCTCACAGATCTTTTTACCGGCACCATTGACACCAGTTTTATTAACCATTATAGTTGCGTATAATCCGGAGAGGCAATGAATTTGAGGGAAGAAACGTATGACACGAACATTAATTTGTGATTTGATCGATGCTTACATTTCTCTTCCCTGAAGTGCAGAACTCGTTTGAGTTTCACCCTCCAATTTTGCCTCGTCACACCCTTTTCTTTTTTTGCCTTCCATCGTTCCACGTTCACACCACTATGTCTACGGAGTGCCAACCACTAGAAGATATAGCGCCACTCCCTTGTGATGGATGTGGACTTACCTTTCCTCTTCGTCAAGCTGAAGGTGATTGTTCGAAGTGCATGAAACTGGCGCTGCACGAACTAGGTTCTCCAGATTACAATGAGCTTCGGGTAAGACCAGCAAAACACTCTTTCATCCTTTCAATGAGTATTAACCCACAAATTTGACCAGAAATGGCAGCAATGCCTCCAGTGTGGCATCACAAGGCGCAACATGTCTTTCGCGCAGCCTGGACAAGCTCAAACCTGTGGGTCTGCTGCCTGCGTGGAGAAAGGGTCTTCTCAGCAAGGTATTACCCTTTGGATTGTCTTCGAATGGTGACAATACTCACATGTCATTGACAGAATCTCAGGTTTCCGGTCCCTTGGGGCCGTCATCTGTTGTAAACCAGCCAGCATCCAGCCAACGTCGTCCTGGTCAGCCTGTATCCCTCAACGAACAGGCCCAAATGCGTGTCGCAGCGCTGCGCGGGAGAATCCAGGGTAGGCAGAATCGAACTGGGGTAGAGTTCGGTACAGGCAATACAACGGGATCACTTCTCCACCACGAACACGGAGGGGGTGAACCGGGGGAGGCAAAGCTCATTGTCGGATGGCAGGTCAGAATCATTGTTTCCTTTTAGCGTTCTCATTCAATAGTAATTACTACTCCAGGCCCGAAGCAACCACAATGGCAAAATTGATGGTGACCTTGGTGGTCAAGTTAAGAAATACGCCATGTCGCGCTTCATGCCAGGTATTGCTTCGGAACTTTTTGCCCTTATCTAAAATCTCCTCACGCCATAATAATTACAGACATTAAGGCTGAGATTGTCGAAACGATTAATATTGAATGGGTAAAATCTAGAAAGCATCCCTTACTGCCGTACGTAAACTTCAATCTGGTTGAGTAGAGACTCAAATCTACTCACTATCTATTCCAGGGAAGAGGTATCCTTTCGATGGAGTGGTAATCGCACTCTTGACCCCCACACAGCAGCGTTGACTGCTCAAGAATTTTATAATCATTACAACACACCATCGGAATCAAATGCCGCTCTCAAGGTCGATCAAATACCCACCTTTTTCAAGAGTAACGTGAAGAAACAGAAGGGACCAATGATTTTCTTTGACATGTATATTGACTGGAAGGCTGTAAGTTGCAATGCCTCCGAAATGCCTCTTTTTTTCGAGAGGTAAGCTGACCTAATTCAATCAGTGGAATACTCGCGTCAACCCAGATGCGGCTAAGAAGAAGAGAGGGCGCAACGATTCAGTAGCGTCAATTCCTTCATCAAAGGCTTCAAAGCAACCCAGGATGTCATCCGGGATGGAATGTAAGTTAATCGTGCTTTTTTCTATCAAATGAATTATCTCACGTTATTATTTAGCAATGGCGTCCTTGTTCAGTCCCAATGCTCGTGCCTCGGCTTCCCGGCAAAGCGCACAAAATGCTGACTATGTTACACTTCGCAAATTTGTATGCTTTGCAGATGTTGTAGCTGGATCCTCCGAAATTCTCGATGTTCATAAGACTGTTTCTGGCCTGTTGAAAAGCACGCCTTTTGCGCGAGGAGCAATGAAGTTAGCTTTTGATGTAAGCTTGTTTTTTTTCACCCCCAGTTTCTTCTAACTTGATTATCTGCTAGCTTCATCTCGAAGATGGTTCACAGCTGGTGGCCAAACGCTTCTTCCGTGTAACGTCATCAGACATGGATGATGACCAGCTTGGAGCGGTTGATCCTGATGTGCAGAAAGAGGCAATTGAGAATGAGGCCCACAGGCTAGCCGAAGGCCAATGGTTTTTAAAGGAGTTTTACACTCTCTGTTCCACTCAAGCAAAAGTTAGTGTCGATAAAGGTGCATATTTTTTTTGTCCTGCACGCTCTAAGTATTCTGGGTTTGACTTATAGATTAGCTATTCAATTCTCCTCTGCCTTCGTTGGCGAAGAAACAGATTCATCGGAAAGTTCCTTCGCTTCTGGCTTGCGTGAGGGACCTTCTTCCCTCAATAAGGTCTACTGGTTGGTCGAACCCAAGAGACCATCAACAGTCACTAAATTTAGCGGTACACTGAGCCATCAGATGAACCGTAAGGACCTCCAAAGTCTCACAATTGCTGCGTTCGCACATTTTGTCTATCTGAAGAGCAAGGCGACCAGGGTCTTTGCTGATATTCAAGGTATTAATGTTCCTCTCACATCGTTGTATTTCTGTACCAGTTCTAATGCACGTTTCGTGAAGGAACTACGACCAACGTGAAAGGGAAGGACACAATGGTCCTATTCGATGTTATGACCCACAGTCCAGCAGGGTAAGCCTTTATTCATTCTTCAATGAGACATTGCGATTACTGATTATTACTCAAATCGTGATTCATCAGTGATACCGGTATTGGCGATTTCGGTCCTGATGGAATTGCTTCCTTCCTGGATGACCACCGATGCGGCTCAATTTGTCAGGGCTTGGGACTGCACAGGCAAGTTCCTCAAGCAGCCGGTGACTCTGGCTCAGAGTGTTCATCTTCCTTGTCGGGTGAGGAAGAAGAGGAACTAGAAGATAACGGAAATAAGAGAGCTGGTCCAGTGGACGATGAGGCACAGCCTTTCTAGTCCCTTGCCCTTGTGTTGTGTGTCGACGTCTACTCCCCCATGTTCCCGGGCCTAGTTTTCTTCCCCTTTCTCTCTCTCTTTCCCTTTGCCGTTCTTTCCGTAAAATTTATATCTCCTTTTAAATCATATCCGATAATTTTTTGCCTTTCGCCTAGTACTCACTCTCTACTTTAGCCAACACAAATACTTTTGTCGCACATCTATCTCTTGACAGTTACCTTTGTTGCTTCTCAGACATTACCACTCTCATTAATCGTGAACATCCCCCATACTTTGTTGATCTTGCATGCCCAAATAGTCAAATCTTTTGGGATAGACTTGAACTCGATGGGTGTACTTGTGCAGGCGTGGTGTCTCTAAGTGCATTATCCAAAAGATAAATGGATTATGGTTGTGTTGCGTGGCCTCGATGAGACTGACCTAGGGTTAGGTCTACGGCATGAAATCGAAATTGAACCGCGGCGCTCCCGCCTACCGTACGCCTCAAGCTTCATCGACAACGCTTTCCAGTGAGGATGATTTTTCAGCCTCTATCGCTGGTCCCTCACGCTCCCATTACTTCGTCGACGTTTAGGAGGCCCCTCGATTTTTAACGCTGGGGTGACTAACTTCGATACCTCTTCTAACGTCCGAGTCTTGTAGGTTGAAGACCTGATCCCATCTCCAAATTCGGTCTGGCGCATTCAACCGAACATGCCCTCAGAATTTGATTGGGTTGCAACGCCAATCCTAGCTACTGTAGCATCTGAGGTTGGCCCGACGTAGTACAACTCATCCACCAAAAAATACCAAAACTTCAGGGAGCATGCAAAGCAGACTTTTAAAAAATTTCTATGTAGGCTGGAAATTGTAACGTTGAACCTTCAACAAACAAAAGGTCAAATATTACATTTAGCCTTTCGGATGATCTGTGAGAAGGGCCAACTCTAGCCAAACAAAATCCTCTCCGAAGGCGCTAGATAAGTAGTGCCCTGAAAGTCATGAATGAGGTGATAAAAGGGTCGTTAAAAAGGAGGCTACTCCAAAACTCTCCAAAGCTTGATTCCCCCATCCTATTACGAGTAAATGTTTTCGACCCTTCAAGAGTATCACCAAGCAATCATCTCAGCAGCGTGGATGATCATTCTATCCCTCATCCCGCAAGACCTAGTGCGGGCTGGAGCCGTCCTCCTCGGTGTTCTTATATGTCTGCACGCTATGCGCCCACGAACCCTCATGAAAACAATTCAACTTCGACTGTCATCCTTGGAGGAAAAGTTACAGGACGCCGTCGATAGTGGAATCATGCGTCAATCGGATACAACTTTTACTAATCAATTTACCAGGGACATAAGAAGGTAAGTTGTTGACATCGTTTCATGAAATAAATTGCTTACTCTATCCACAATACACGCTCTTTAGAATCCGCTACATGACTTTTGAGCTCTATGAGAGGACGCTCATGACGTCTGGCGGAATTTTTCAGGAGATGAAGGCCGTTTGGGAGGGTCTCTCACTCGAGATTAACGAGTGCATTCGCGATGTTGATGCCCTAGAAAGGGACCTCGAAGTATGTTCTTCCGAGCCGTTGCCCTCCCCGGTTTGACATGATACACAGATAAACCGTGCAAAAATCCTAAAGAACCGCTATTACTCGTGGAAGTGACGGACTGAACTAAATACATACCATACCTTTCATGATCTATCACTGTCCTGCTCGACCCCTTCCCATCGCTATGTTGTCTGCACTTTCCGCCTGCTTCCGGTCTTCTGGTGCTTGCTAGATTGTAATCATATGTATTCCCACTTGGAGATTGTTCTAATTTGTGCATTTTTCGCATAGACAGAACGCTCTGTCGCCAACGACATCGCAAACCAGATGGTCGGAAGAGCGGTATGTACGCCCTGTCGGCGGCAGAAAGCGCCTGCCTCTCATTCGTGGAGAATCCCGGTGGCACGATTCCTTTAATTTTACACAGGTGTGTGAGATCGTCTTCCCACGTTGTAAATGCCTTAGCTGCGGCGTCGATAGCCTCTTTTGTTTCAGATAGCCCATATCGGGAATCGTTCCAAGTTCCTTATTGGTAGCGGGGTCTGACAGCGAGAGTGGGAGGGTCATCTGAATCTTCCCCTTGACAGCCATGGACCGACCTTCGCGATGGTCTTTCCACGTTGTAAATGCCTTGGCTGCGGCGTCGATAGCCTCTTTTGTTTCAGATAGGCCCATATCGGGAATTGTTCCAAGTTCCTCATTGGTAGCAGGGTCTGACAGCGAGAGTAGGAGGGTCGTCTGAATCTTCCCCTTGACAGCCATGGACCGACCTTCGCGGTGGTCTTTCCACGTTGTAAATGCCTTAGCTGCGGCGTCGATAGCCTCTTTTGTTTCAGATAGGCCCATATCGGGGATCCTTTCAAGTTCCTCATTGGTAGCGGGGTCTGACAGCGAGAGTGGGAGGGTCGTCTGAATCTTCCTGCACGAGGTGATGATGCGAGAAACGCGTACTCGTAACGACAATCTTGTCGCCGGACTTTGCATCCAACCATTTCCCATCGGTAAACGCCTGAAATTTGATCAAACTTGGTTCTTTCGGACCGAACTGGGAAGATGGGAGTGAGGTGAATAGATTGCACAACCGGTGTGTGCAAATGTCAAGAATCGCACCAACATCACCACGTTTGACTGCGTATTTGAGTTGCCGGAAAAGAAGTGCATCGCGGTTGAAGAGGCATATGTTCTCGAGTGGCACGTCGCGCTTTTTTGGTGGGAGTCGGCGCAAGCGCTGAACGCGACGTGCCGAGCAAAGTTCTACTAATACTTTTCGCGCAATGTCGCGAACCTCTACAGTACTCCGAACTTTTGAGACCCACTCTTCAAGTGTTGCATACCCACAGTAGATCCGGAAACCATCTAGGATGTTGGAGGGCAACGCCATCTTGATTATAAGTTCCCAAGAGGGCTGAAAAAGGGGGAGGGTTTTTGCTGTCCAGCCTCCAACCATAGCCCTACGTCCAAGCAGCGTATTCACCTTCCAAAGCGACCAAGGTGATTTGCTATTTGGTTTTCCCCAGTGTTCATTGGTAACCATACGGTCACCCGCCATCTTCATGTGAAACACTCCATCTTGACCTTTTGTGTATCAACTCACGTTCTCGAGGAGGTCTAAGTCATCTCGGCGTGCCGCAGCTACCGGACCACAAGAAAGTTTAGTTTCATTCACCACGCATCAGTGAAAGATTTACCTTGTCAACGAGGAGCTTAGAGAGCTGATCTCCGGCACAAATGAGTATGCCGTGCTTCTGGAGGTCTTCCGCAGTGAACTTCAAGTGGCGCGTAACGATGGTGTCGAGAACCTCTAGCGTTCCATCCAAACTTGACTCGTCAATGTGCATCGCAGGCAAGGGATACTGCTTCGTCTTGTGCAGCGGAATCTGATAGACTGAGGGTGCCGCTTCGGTCCCATGCCGAAAACGGTCACGAAGATCGGGGAAGGCATCGTAGAGGATGTCTTGAATATGCCAAAGCTGGCCATCCTCGACACGCCGCACTTCCTCCAAAGATGGAAGAAGATCTGCTGGTCAAAAGGACAACAGCGGCAGGCGGTTGTTGCGACGAGGCAACAGGTCAAGTGGTAGTCCACCGAACTCAACCCCGAAAAGGGGGATGAGGGTGGCTGTCGTCCCGTTGTCAAAATGTGCCTTCGAATCATGATGTTGTTCCGTCACATTGAAGGCAATGTTCAGATTATCCCAGATAATCATCACAGCCTGGGTTCGTGAAACGGCGTGCATTTCCTCAAGACGCTCTGCCCCGAGCTGCTTGAGTTTAGCAACAGCCTGCGTATAGGAAAGGGTGAGACCGGCGTGGTTGAGAACATCGAAAAGTGACCGTGACGCGCCGCATGCGAGAAAATACATGCACGTCGTCGTTTGGAACTCGGGGGCATGGTCATTGCGTGACTTGACGAGCATGCAGATTGTGGTGGCCACTGTCTACACTTATAAGTTAATAAAGGTTCATATAAATCGATCCTTTAAAGAGAACTCACCAGGTTGCGGTCCTTATGGATTGAAGTGGACTCGTGTGATCCACTGACCCGCTGTAGAAGGTCATATAGTGTCGGGGCAAGCAGCTGCGTCTGTGCAAGAACCCGCTGCAGTGAGAACCTCGCGAGAATGTCCGTAATCGGAACACCCTGGCCAGGTTGGAACTCCCTAACGAGGACCTTCCACTCGGCTTCGATACGTTCAGCGGTAGTACTCAGAGCCCAATCGATGGCCATATCTGGATGGCACGCGTGAATAGAGTCGAGGAGTTCGGATCCGTGATACGAGAGCATCCATGAGACTTGAACGGAAAGGACGGGGTCTCTGGTATGGAAGAGGGTGTGTAGGTAGTCATGCAAGGATTTGAAACCTGCACCTCAGATACTCTGCCAAACCACTCTCAGCTGCTCAACATCAAGCTCCTCCTTCTTCCTAGCCACCAACTCTTCCTTCTCCCTCGCTTGCGTTAGCCGTTGGGCTTCGCGATCTCGTTGAATGTTTTGTATTTCTTGAGAGGTAAACGGGCGGGCGTTCTTTGCAGAAAGACGCGGTTTTTTGGGTGCAAAGCCATCGACAAACGTAAAAGATTGGTTCTGTGGAGTAACTGGTATGTTCTCGTCGTGAGCGCGCTTGCTTCCGCTCATAGCAATTGGAGAGGTGGTTAAATGGACGCACCTCGATCATAAACGCACGTGTCGTAAATTTCCTCTTTGAGGTGATGTCGGATTCAAAAAGTTCTGTCACGTACTGACGTTATGGTACCGGTATGGTACCGGTATATAATTACACCCCAATAGTGTACATATCCATAACGGCTGGTATCGAGACTACCTTGCGGCTGTAAAGGGCCGACTTTCATCTCACCACCCCGTTGTCTATTCTTGCGTCACACCACCTCAACGTCAACGAACACACAGAGGCAACAATAGACAGAGAATTCTGCCTGGGATTACAGATGCCCTTCAATCTTTGCATAATAAGTCTCGAATGGATAGATATCATGTCCACTCTTCAGGGCTTCAACAAATTTACGAGGTAAGCTATTTTCTTCATCTGCAGTGCCGCGGCGCAGATACTTACGGTAGTACTGGGACTCAGACAAACCGGTTGCTTGGTGCGGCGCCAATCTTGATCCCGAAACACATACCCCATCCATCACCAGCCCTCACCAGGCGCCAACGCCTACGGCAAGCGTGAAATCAACGACTACTCCAAAACTTTCTCCCCACACCTTACTGAATCGATGTTTTCAACCCTTCAAGAGTATCACCAAGCAATCATCTCAGCAGCATGGATGATCATTCTGTCCCTTATCCCGCAAGACCTAGTGCGGGTTGGAGCCATCTTCCTCGGTTTTCTTATATGCGTGCATGCCGTGCGCCCACGAACCCTCATGAAAACGCTTCAACTTCGGCTCTCATCCTTGGAGGAAAAATTGCAGGACGCCGTCGATAGTGGAATCATGCGTCAATCGGATGCAAGTTTCACTAATCAATTCACGAAGGACATAGGAAGGTGAGTTGTTGACATTGTTTCATGGAATAACGTCCTTACTATGGCCACAACGTACTACGCCCTTTAGAATCCGCTACATGACCTATGAGCTCTACGAAAGGACGCTTATTAAGTCCGGCGGAATTCTTCAGGAGGTAAAGGCCGTTTGGGAGGGTCTCTCATTCAAAATTAATGAGTGCATTCGGGATGTTGACGCCCTAGAAAGGGACCTGGAGGTATGTTCTTCCTAGCCGTTGCTCTCCGCGGTTTTACATGATGAACAGATAAACCGCGCAAAAATTCTGAAGAACCACTATCGTTCGTGGAAGTGACGGCCCGAACTGAATAGATACCTGCTTTCCTCCTGCTTTCGATTTTCTGGTACATATGCATTCCCACTTGGAGGTTGTTCTGACTTCTGCACTTTTTGCGAAGTCAGGGTGTTCTACCGCTTTTTTTGAGTAGCTTAGACGAGTTAAATGTTATAGTTGTATGAATATTGTGGAATCGGTGTCTTTCCAATATCCCACGATGCGTGGTCCCATCCATGTCCTTCGAGGTCCGAGTGTGCTTTGATGTCTCGATAGATACCCCGGTTTCGATCCTTCCTCGCAAAATTTACCCTCCCCTTTGCTTTATCCAAAAATCGAGCACGTCATAGGATGGGAAGTTTGTGTGTTTGTCAGGGGGAGGGTAGAGATGTCAAGACGCCTCGGGCATTTATGTGCGGGGGGAAGGGAAATTGACGGGTATGAAAGGATATGGCAAAATGTCAATTTGTGGAGGGCGTTGGGAGTGGGCAGGGGACGAACCACGAAGACCAAAATGAAACAATTGTGCCTGAGGTGAGGTGGCACACCGTGAATTTCTCTTATTGGGGACCGGAGGTGGGTCAAGGTATGGAAGGTATGGAGTGCAGCTAGGATTACAAGCGGGATTGATCTGGCAGCTGCCTGTGCTATGATAAGAACGTGGGTTGGAGAGGAGGATCCAAAGCCTGATAAGTACGCCTGATCCTTGCGTGAATTTTGAAGGACCTTAACTTAGGGGCAAGGTAGGCTTCATGGAGGCATGTGGGACATTACGGAAGGCATTAGGATTTCCTCGAGACGCGGAGGTAAATTGCTCATTTGGAAATGAAGCCGAAAAGAGTCCGAGCCGAAGAGCAATCGGAGGCGTTGGTCGATCTGTCGTCGAATTGTTGTCGTGCTAATGGAGGCAAAGCTGTTTTCGTGGAACTAGAACCGTTGTCATGACGGTGACCCGCGAGTAGACCTCAAGCGCTGACTTGACGGCAGTGTGCGTAGAAAGGCGTATGTTCGTTCATGTCTGTTCATGTTGCAAATCAAAATCTATATCTGGCGTCCTGGCGAGGATAACGTTGGTGTAACCACTATGGCCCGATTTCCACAATCGGCCCGGCTACTACAGGGAATGCATATCGATGATTCTTTGTCACTTCTAACAAGAAGACCGGTTGCTTCTAGGGTTGCGAATGTACCTGCTAATTGATGTAGAAGATGAATGAGTAACTTAGAAGATGAATTCAACAGACCTGACTCGTGCGCCATGGCCACCCCCTAACCTGCGCATCGCAGTCCTGACCACCGGAACCCCGCAAAGGCGCCCATCTTGACGTGATACCTAATCCCTATGAGGGCCACCTCGGGCCCGTACGCAATGTGCCCCGTAGGTTGTATCCTCGTACTCGGGGTCGATCTTCATCCAGCCTTTCGAAGGGACTCAAAAAGTTCGTGAGAAAGAGATGGGCCAGTCCGAACGTCCTCTTGTCGACAGTCAGCACTTGGTCTCTCTCTAGCCCTTGCGCAAACAGGTGTCCTAAACACCAGGTCGGTTCCAACAAAATGGCGCTGAAATGGTGATAGATGCCGGGCAGCTGAACCCAATTAGACTTTAGAGTCCTCCGAGCAAGAGGAGAGATAGGAAGCAACGGAGAAGCTGGAGTCAAACGAAGAAGGGGTGGCATACGCGACAGAGAAGGCCTTAAAATAAACAAAGAGGTCGGAAGAAAAGAGGACAATCTTCGCTACGCTAGTAGTGGGCCTTCAATTGGTCTTCAATCTTGTGCCAGTGGATGTGGGGGACGAAACACGTGCTGGAGTCGCGTCGCGTCACGCAAAACTGACCTGTGACGCATCGTAAAAATTATTCTTCAATAAATCATTCCAGGCGCCCGCGCAGCGGTAAACTTTCAGTGTAGAAAAGAAGTTTCCGGTAAGCAAAACTTTAACGATCAGTCTGGCATGGTGATATAACTGTTCCAAAAGGATCAATATAGCGTTCTGAAGCTCTATAGACCCAAAACAGAAGCCAACGACCGACTGATATAGTGGGCTCAAGAAGTTCTGGTCGTTTCGAAACTCCTTATCCAGGTATACCTTATGGGATGGAAAACTTGGAATCAGAGCTGGAAGCCAACGAAGAAACTTTGCAAACATCGACAGCCATACGATTACCCAAGCGGCATGGCCTTAATCTGACAGCGAAGGTCAATGGCAAGGCCTTCACGGACTTAGGGGGGAGCAATTTCGAGGTGAAGAGCAGCGGAGCATCTTCAGGAACAAGGAAGCCAATCACTACCTACATGTCGCGTTCCAAAGGACAACGGGGTGCCCTGCCCCTGGTGGTGGACTCGGGTTCATCCAGCCCCGACGAACTTGACTCCTTGTCCCAGTCAGACACTCACTCTCCTACAAAGAAACCGAGAAAGATGTTTGACGAAGATGTACAAGCCGAGTCGGTGGACAATGAGTACGTGAAGCGTTCGAATGCCCTTAAGAATCTGCGTTTCCGCAAGAACAAAAGTCAAGACAAAACGCAACCTGAAGCGTCGGGTTCCAAAGCACCGCCCTCAAAAGAGAACGAACCCCGCGTTGTAAAAGACGCAGGGATAGCCTCAAAACGGTCGCTTGCCTCTAAACCTGCGAAACCACGGTTGGACGATTGCGAGACCTCACGGCCACTAGGCGACAAGAGTCCGAACAGGCAGCTTAGTCCACCGCCATCTCACCCGCCTCCTCGGGAAAAACCCAAACCTCGTCCCATTAAGAAACCTCAAGCAACCACCGTTGATGCCGCGCCGAAGACAACGAAGAAGCCAAATATCCCGACTGTGAAGAAGCCTCATTTTCCGCTTCCAGTCAAACGAGCACCACTACCTTCTGAAACAGAAGAGTCTCGCGCTGCGCACTCAAATTTGGGCATCTCTTCCAAAACACGGCTTCCCGACCAATTTCCATTTCTTTCGCCAACCTCCCAACATACTCCGCGTGCTACCTCGTCAAAGACGGCAGAAAGGCTTCCCTTTTCTCCTCCAAAGTCGCGAGTTGACGATTTTCCTTTTCCATCACCACTTGCATCGGACAACCGAGGGAAAAAGATCACACCTAGCGCGTTTCCAATGCCGTCTCCTCAGTCTTTTGACGCTTCGTTGAAGGGCAAGGGCAAGGCGTTAACTGTCAGTGCCGAAGATGATGAAGAGGATGAGGATGGAAGTTATGGCCGCAAGAGCAAGGGTACTCGACTTGAGCCGTTCCCAATGAATACACAAATACTGCGGAGTGTTAGTTCTCCGAGTGTCCAGTCGTCTCAAGCAATGAAAAGGAACTCGGATGGAATTTGCAGCGATGGTGATCAGCATGTTAAGAAGCGGCGGAAGGACGACGAAGATGACATGTAAGTCCTCTGCCGTGCTTGACTTGATGTCAATTGATTCATGATTCAGGCTCCCTGGTCATCATGCGTTTGAGGACGACGACGATACATGTCAGTCGGCTCTCTTTTTACTTTACATCCTTCTGACCAATCTATTCAGTGTTCATGTCCCCATCTGTCGACCCCAAGACCCTCTGTCCCTATTGCGACACCCCCTTACCGACATCTCCAACACCCTTCCTTGAGAGTCTCCTCGCAAAAGTATGCAAGAAGTCCACCCGTGATCCACGGCCTGCCAATCCATTAGGCCGGAAAGCGCCCTTGGCAACTTTCATCGCCGTTTGCCAACGGCATCGATTTGAGAGCCAGATTCTCCCAGAAGCTGAACAGAAAGGGTGGCCGAAGACCATCGACTGGGCGAAAGTAGGCGGGCGGGTGGAGGCAATGCGTGATTCCCTGCAAGCCCTGATCAACGACCGTGATGCTAACGACGGCGTCGAATTCTTTTGGCCAACTGAAGGTCCTCGATCGAAATGTGTTTTTTGGAGAGATGTCGTGAGCGAGGTGAAACAGAAGGGTTCGAGAGCCGTTGCAGGGGTTCGGGGCCAGTTTGCCAACTTTGAGAAGACGCAGCCTGGCTAGTAAGCGTTGCTTCACCTACAGCGACATCTATGCTGACCCAACTTTATTCTGTAGCTATGGCGAGTTGGGTTCAGTCATCATTCATCAAACGTTGTACAACCTCTTTCCACCATCCGAGCTAGACCCAGACCTCATCTCACCACTCACATCAAACGAGTTTATTCAACGGATTCTGGTCCCGGAAGTCGCTGTGAGACTCATCAAGGAGGACCAAAACCTTGAAGGGGACGTGGGGACTACTGAAGCTTTGCAAATCCTACGTGAAAGCTCTGCGTATGGCGTCGCGATGTTCCCTGAGGACAGTGGAGAATCGGCTGGTGTAGGACCAAGTCGTGGTTTCCGTGGTCAGAGGCGAGAGGACGAGATGGACGCGGGTGATCTTATAGTCATGGAACGCGCTCGGAAGAGGCGGAAGGAGTTGGAAGAGGAAGACGAGCACGAGAAGGAGCAGGAGGAGCAGGAGCAGGAGGATCGGAAAAGAATAGAATGTCGTGGAAGGAGGACCCGGAAAGGGAAAGCCAAGGAAACGATACAGGAGGAGGATAGTGGTTCGGACGTTGTGTTTGTGCCTCAAAAGCCCAAACCGAGACCGAGGCCCATCAATAAATCCTCAAGCAGTGGTGCATTGGCTAATGCTGACGTGGAAGATGAAGTGGTCGTATCAGTGAGGGAAGCAAAGGCCTCTCGGAAGATGAGCAATGCCACTCTGACTGACATTGGGGACGTTAAGTCTCAGCGACCCAAGCGACCGACGGCCAAAAAGTTTCCATTCGACCTTGACTCTGCCGTTGATTCAACGGATGATGACTCCTCTTCACTGCTTGACCCTTCACCCCGACATCGTTCTCTCTCTGCCAACGAAACGGGAAATCAGAGTGTACGTGTTTCACCTACGAACTCACCCCCACTTGCTGTCAAGAAGAGGCCTCAAACGAGGGCGAAAACTCGAAGAGGATCTTCGTCTGAAGTGAATCTCTACTCAACCAGCGAATCTGAAGGCGACCGTTCTGACGCCAGCAGGACAAGAAGGGGCCGTAAAATTCAAAAGGTTGAGTCCTTCATGGACACTGCGGTTCACAGCCTCGAAATCGAGGATGACGACGACCTTCACGGGGATCATTACACCAAGACACCCATCGCCAAACGCGACAGACAGAGTACTGTCGAGATCACTGACGATGACACACCCAAACCTGTGCGATCACCTCCTTCACGAGTATCATCTGCCGTCTCGGCGGCATCCGAGTCCTCTACGACGAAGCCTTTGGAATGGGCTCGACGGCGAAGGCAGGAAAAGCAAGCCAAGGATCGGTAAGTGATCTTCCTAATCACCTTGCTCCGCACTTCCTGAGCATGGAAGGGCCCAACGAGGACATGGATAACACCGTCTTACTTTGTCTGTAGGCCTCTTCGTAAAACAAATTTAGAGTCTCCTTGGGTTCGTAGTATGCTTGATGCCCCCCGGGACTCGGACGAAAGCTGCACAAGCACTGGGCCCTCAACGCCTCTTGATCAGCGGGGGTTCAATTGGTTGTTAAACGATAGCTCGCAGTCATCATTAGGCAGTCGGTGAATTACGACCAGGGACAGTAGGAAGCAGATAATGTAAATATGAACTTCGCATAAGAGTAAGAATCAGTCCTCCGCGAGGTCATACAGGCCATTTTGCGTGGGCTTGAGCCATTCAAGAAGAAAGGTTACAATTTTTGCGAGTTGAGGTTGAAAGAAGCATGACCGTAGTCCAGCGTCTGGATTGCCAATCGGTAATACTCATACCTCCCAAATTTCTTTTTGAGGATCAAGAAGAGAAATTGGGTCCCATTGGAGAGGCAAAAGCGGACGGCATCCAGACTGTTGGTGCAGACCAGCGGACATCAGTCAGAGCACACTTTGAGAATACAGATACTGACTTTGCATTTGCTGAAACTGTCATCGCTTGCGTGACAGCCTCTGGAATGGACTCCACCAGCCTGACAACTACCTCGCGCTTGGCTTCGACGAGAATGAAGTGTTCTCTTGCAAAGCGGAGAATGGACTCAGGAGTCGCGCTGGCACCAATGAGAAATTCTAGGAACGGAAGGAATGAGCAGAACGAAGGGGAATTAGCAACGACACAAATTACCAAAATTATCGTTGTTTGCATCTTTCGTATATTCAATGATGCCGTAGTCTATACTTCCACCGAATATAACCTGATGGGTTTGATGCGTGAACAATGCATCGGGTTGTTTCATTTCCGGGATGATGGCCAGAGCTTTATTTGGAGTGTTCTTCTGGGTGATTTTCCCCAGTGAAAGGAGAATTGCGTCAAGCACCATCCGAGCGCTAGCCTCGTACTTTCCAGCAGCAAATAAGCATAGTTCAGAAAAGGTTGACAGATAGCCACTTACCGTCATGTTGACGTGCGAGTAAATTTCTTGCACTCGAGAGCGAAGGTCTTTGAGCTCCTCATCAAACTTCTTTGCTCGCCGTTGTGCAAACCGTTCAACCTTGCCGCTGTCGAAGGAAAGTCGCCCACTTCACCCCTAAATTTTGGAGGTCGCCCGCCGAGGCGTTTGAGAACGAAACCTTCTATAAAATATTGTGAAAGAATCATGGTCAGATAGGGATGAGACGTACAATTTTTTTAAATTTTTTCATCATGCTATACATTTTTTCCATATGTTCCATCATCTTCGCCAAGTCGACCTCGGTTTCATCGATGTCTGCGTACTCTTCCTGTAGAGCGTTGACGAAGCCCACTATTTGCCTTATCTTCGAGACATCTACAGAATCCTCTCGAAGGCTGCGCCTACGCTTGCGGGCCTGGATTTCAGACATGATGGCGAAAAGGAAAGGAAGCAGCAATGGCATCCCCAATCAATACCCATACTGATCTAATTATAAACAAAGCAATTATTGACGTTTTCGAGTTAGTTGGCACGCAATCTTTTTTTGCCAGTTTGTGTCCACGAGCTCAACGAGAGGTCGATGACCGCCCACGTAAATAAGAGCCGGACTCGGAACGGCTGATGATACGTCCTATCTCAGATCTATTTCAGATATCTTGGAAATGGAGAAGAGAACACGGATGTACTTACGTTTCAATAACTTCAAGGAGAAGGCTACAGTTTCCTGGAAGTCTTCCACCGCCGCTCAGACGAATGGTCTCCCTATTCACACAAGGCAGTCAGAATCCACCGAACCGTCCTTGCGAACTCCACAGGTCGTCCAAAGCGCCTGGGATATACGATATCCTCATTCTCAAGGCTACTGTGCGTCTTTGCCGGGAAGTTGTGGATGTCGAACACTCCAGGTGTAATGGTAACGACACGAACGGCGTATCGAGCGAGGTCGCGTACCATCAGGAGAGTCTTGGACCGAAGAGCACCTTTCGATGCCGGTTGACCTGGCTGACCCTCGAACTTCAGATGAAAGGTCAACATCAAGCCATCAGTGAGAGGAGATTTTACACTCACGGCAGCAGCTTCGACTACTGTATGCGCATCATTCGTGAATATGTTTAAAAAATTGGCACTTGAGAAGGCGTACCGCATCTCATCAATGTGAAGCAAGCAAGCCGATAGAAGGGCACGAACTAATCGATCATGCCCTTCAGTCACGTTCGACCTGGAAGCAGTCGGCAAGTCTAGCAACGACTTCAATGCTGGTAGAGTAGCCCCATGAGGTCAATTTCGGATGATTCGCCCTTTAGTAAGTCTGGCCGAAAAAACGGATGAGCGATTGTGAATGGCATGAGGGGTAGATAGAACGTACCGCAGTACAGGAGGATGGCAACGCCTCTGACCTCTTCAAGTTGAGATGTATTGATCGAAACCCCAATAATGGCTGTAAACGCGGAGAGTGCGGATACAATCAGTGATATGCTCTAACATGGAAACCTGAGCCCAAAATCGGAGGTGAGCCAAAGGCACTCACGAATAATCCCACCACGTGCAGTAGAAATAGAGTGCTCCAGTATATGTGAACATATTCTCAAACAATGCGCCCCGACACCGATGATGGTGATTTCGATGGGAACTACATAGTATACTCACTTATGTAGATCCAAATTTCAAATTTACCATCCCCATGTTGTCGCTGAGTCAAAGTGCAAGGTGTCATGAGACCGCGACCGCCTTGTTAGATGTATGCCGTCCATTTCCGAATGAGCGTTTTTTGAGGACCTCTCCCATCGTTAGACGCTGGCGCGAAAAGCCCTCACACGTCTTGCTCATGCCACACCCCATCTGACTCCTCCTCGTACTCTAAATATTGAGGACCTCCAGGAGCCAGGATTCCATTCTGATGGGGTGAAAGTCTTCGATCCATGATCACCTTCCGGGCCAGAGCGGAGGGATTGCCGAGACTGGAAGGACCAAGGTGGTGGGGAAAATGAAGTGGCAGAAGGGCTGTGAATGCGAGGAGTTGAACGGGTGAGTAAATGTAATTGGGTTAGGGGATCAGGTAACGCGACAAAGCATGGGTGCAATCGGGCAGGTTCTCTTGGGAGCAAAGAGGCTCTATATGAAGTTACAAGGTGTGTATGTCTTGTCCTGCTTGGAATGCGCGCTTCCCTGTAGGGCTAGATCCGAATGGGCAAGTGTCGAAGTCGCGGGATCCAAGCCATACGTAGAATGGGCCAGACGTCGCGTCATCGATCATCGTTCGTCATCAATTCATTGGTGGTCTCAACCACCTCCATCACCACCACCACCACCATGCCTGAAACCCAGACACACAAGCGTAAACGCAGTCATCAGGGCATTCCTACTGATATGCGCGAGAGAATGATGAGCTCCCTCGATGTTCTACGCGAAAAATACTCCGGAATAGAGAAAACGGAGGAGGAAATGGCAGAAGTGGAGAAAAATGTGGACGAATGTCATCGCTTTTTGGAAGAAAGAGTTGGTACCCTTTGAATTTACTTGGCAATATTTCCCCAATATTTTCCAGAAAGTGACGTTCTCAGATGCCTCAAAGGTTGAACTTGAAAACTTGAATGTCAAGACGGGGCGACTCCTCTTCAACCCCCGCAAGATTGATCAGTTGGCACAAGCTCGAGCGCAGCATGTCGTTGGGGAACAGCTGAAAGACCTTGGCTCTCGATTGCAAAAGATCTATCGGCGCGTGAATATGATGGTAGGCAGCTGCCTGTCGACCACCCTCCTAACTATGCTTAGTCGTCGTTGAAAAGTAGCAGATTGGGGCTAGGATGATTTTCGAAACCATTCTCATGTCATTGGGAGAAATTACTGCAACGTTGTTTCCCAGCCGAGACCTTGTTATCATTCCGGAAATGAAACCAAAGGATGCCTTGTTCACGAATCGAGGATATCAGGTGAAATTCACTGGGACTATTGACTATGTTGTCATCCAGTGCGAGAAAGGCAAAAACGGCGACTACCAGGGTAATTTGCTTCATTGTTGAATCCCCCATGGTTCCACTCATTTTTTCTGCTCTCAGAATATCTTGTTAGTCAAACCCCGACTGAACTTGAAGGCCTTTTCCGGTCTGCGGCTGGACACTTCTTCCTCATAGAAGCCGAATTGAGATCACCTGAGTGGGATGAACTCATCCTGGAAGCCGTCGCGCAGGCAATGACGATTTCGTCGAACGCGAAGTGAGTGTTCATATTCCAAAACTGTGCACCGATTGATCATCGCTGGTCTGTACAACAGCTTGAATACTGTTCGCTTCTGCGTTTCAGATGGCACCTATTTCGCCTTTTATGTGTTGAAAAAGAAAAGGGGGGTCTTCACATACTATGGATCAATCTTTCGGAAAGTTCATCCAGACGATGATAATTTCGATGACGAGCTTCAAGTGATTATAAACCTTCTTCTTGAATGGGTATGTTTACTTTGCAGTACTTGCATGCCCTTACACGTTCTAATCATGTCATTAGCTCCAGCCCACACGAACTGATTTGTATCAATTGAAAGAGAACCCTAGGTTTGTCAGGCATCTCGCCCGTGCTGAACAGGGCATGTGAGGTTTTTTTGCTTTTCTGAGCCTTAGATCTCTGTAGCAGTCGAGGTCTCTGCCGCTAGGATCTCCCCGGATGTCCTTCACGTTACTCCTTCATCGATTGTTCAATACATTCATGCCGATGTTCGCTCTCATTTTTGTTAACATGTCTTTCAGCATGGCGCCAAATTCTAGCGGAAAAACTGTGGTCCTTATGGCTTATACAACATGAAGGACAAATCACAGGCTAGATTTGCTCACATACTACTAGCGGTCCACCTTGAGAGTAAACTTTGTTTATTAATGAGTTTAGGTGGTGCTGGATGCCAACAAAACTTAATGTAAGACCGTTGATATGTCGTGAAAATGGAGATGAGAACACCGACGTACTTACGTTTATTTAACTCCAGGGAGAAAACTACAGCTTTCCTGGAAGTCTTCCACCGCCGCTCAACCGAATGGTCTCCCCATTCACGTAAGGGCAGTCGAGAATCCATCTAACCGTTCTTGCAAACTCCACAGGTTGTCCAAAACGCCGGGGATATACAATGCCCTCATTCTCAAGGCTACGGCGCGTCTTTGCGGGGAAGTTGGCAGTCATGCTGGAGTCGAACACTCCAGGTGCAATGGTAACGACACGAACGGCGTGTCGAGCGAGGTCGCGCGCCATCGGGAGAGTCATGGACCGAAGAGCACCTTTCGTGGCAGAGTATGCCGTTTGACCTGGCTGACCCTCGAACTTGAGACGGCATGTCAACGTCAGGTCATTATCAAGGAAATCTAACACTCACGGCAGCAGCACTTGCAACGAATATCACGACACCTCTTTCCCCGTCGCTTCCTTCTTCAGGAGCAACCTTGACTAGGTGTTTCAAAGCAAGGCGTGAGAGGTTGAACGACCCAGTGAGATTCACATCTATGGCGAAATTCCAAAGATCGAGAGAATGCGGTTCTCCGTGTGCATCAATAATTTTCGCTGCTGTTCCCACTCCTGCGCAATTGATTACACCACCCAAAACGGCTCCCGTATCTTTTGTCCATGCGACTGTTCCCTCGACAGCGCCATTGATTTGGGCAACATCTGTGATGTCTGTTTTGAAGTACTTGACCCTGGAAGAAATTACATCCGTTGGAGGTGCAGAGCGATCGAGAATGGCAATATACGCCTTGTGAGTGAGAAGATCGTGCACCGTTGCAAGACCCAAACCGGATGACCTGTATGATTCATAACATAGATAAGTATTGGCTGTAGCGCCCCCCTTGAACGTACCCGCCTGACACAATAAAGGTGCGATTCTCGATTTTCATCGTGGTTTTCTAATGAACGTCCCTCAACTCATTGCTAGATATCGTCCGGGCCCGTCGGCAAAGCAGGTGGACGCAAAATATCACAAGCCAACAAACACGTGACGTTACTGTGTGAACTGCTGAAACTTAAAGGAATCGCCGGAAGGTATCGATAATCGGACTCGTAACCATTCCCTCTCGATAGGAAGCCTCGAAGATTTGCTAACTGGCTTCCATAGAATCGAGGAAAGGGCCCGCAACCCCCATGATCTCCACTGCCGCTAGTACCTCGCGCTTTCGCCAAGAAACATCACTAGGGGATTGTCGGTACCTATTGCTCTTTACTCGTCCCGTCTGCTGAGGATGAGACGGTCCAGGGCAAGAACACCATCCAAAAAGCGCTGATCTTGCATGGACTCGTGTGGAGGTTGAAAGACAACCCCAAAGCCGGAACCTGGAGCGCTATATTCGCGTGGCACTTTCAAAGCCGCGCAGATTCTTATGGGAGTGTGGTAGTATTGAAGGGTTCAAACAAGCCTTCCTCGATTGTGTTGAAAGTACGCAACTTTACCTGTTTGCGGCCTTTGGAGGATTGACGAGCCATGAAGATCACCATCATGTATGGAAGGAAGGCCGCACGTTACGTCGCAATCTCAGCGATCTTGATTTAATGGTCAATTTCGTGAACAGTCCTAAGGATCCCTCGAGGCGAGTTCAAGGAATTATTGCGGACTGGGACATAGCCTCAAAACTTGGCGACGATGGGAATATTATCCCTAGTGCTGCCCTCCACCAAATCACAACTCCTTTCCTGTCGTGTGACCTTTTGAACGAAAGATTGGCTTGGTCTCACTGTTATCGACATGAACTAGAGTCGCTCTTTTACATCCTACTTTGGGCTGCAGTTCATTATGACCTGGAAAATCAACTGCATTACAGGACCGCTGTCAACAAGGGACGGGTTCTCCCAGCCCTCACACAATGGACAGATAAATATATGCGACTGCATAAACTTGTGCTCATTTTGAACGGCACTGAAAGGCACAAAATCTTCTCGCACATCGGCCCGGAATTTAAAACAATTGAAACAGATTGGCTTGAACCCCTCTCAGAGCTCTTCCGCCAGGCATATCGTGAACAACTTGGGTGGAATCCGAAGCTCAACCCGAATTATAACCATGCTACGTGTAACGGGATGGTGACTTTTGAAACCTTCTTGGCTGCGATGGGAGCAACTCCTTGCGGGTTTCCCGGAATGGCTGAGTCGATTGCTCTGTGAGATATATAAATTTCTCTGATATGGATTTCGTTACGAGGTACGTCATCGTCATTATGTGGAATGCGCCAATAAATCCAGCGCGCTATTGTAACAGTTTACACTGCAAAAAAATTAGTAGACAAAATGGCGCGTGACAACATTTGTGCGAGGCACGCGCATGTCACATCAACAACTGTATACCTGACTCTGGATCATCGGATTTATCTCCCCCAGCCACCTTCATCACACCTTGACTCCGAAATCTTTTCCTCTGTGATAAGGCTGTATACTTTTTGCGATTATGTATGGGCCCATAAACCTCAAACGCTGTGGGTCGTTTGAATCGAGCTCCCACTCAGACAACATGTCCGGCTCTCGCTCAGACGACTACTGGTCGAGCCACTCAGACTACTCAGAGTCATGTAGGTTCTCACAATCGATTTCGCAGTTGATTTTTCCTCATTGAATTACAGCATCATATACCTCGTCAATATCAAAGTTTGGCGCAAATGGCTTACCAGGCCATAGACGTAGACTTATGGACAGAGAACTACAGTCGGATCTCTCAGGATATCGCTACGAGGATGTCACTATCCAAAATTTTATTGAGCAGGTTTGGGGGCTGGAGCCCGATCTCGCCACTCGCATTCTTGCGGAGCGATGGACGCTCGATCCATTGGCCCTTGAGGATTACCAGAACATTGTTGCCCACTCGCCGGATCCTCAGCTGCATCTTCCTTTCCGTAAAATGTTCCAGCAACTACTCAACGACGCGAACTCTCTCTTGGGGATATCCCCGACCGAAATTTGTGACGACTTTTGGGACAAGCAGGGCAGCTCCTACATCATGTCACAGTATGCAGGTCGCGAACCTGACATGCTTCGCATGTGGAATCCAATCCAGAAGAAGGCCGAATGGCCTCTGGTCAAGTCTGTCGTCGAGTTTAAGAAGCGAAAGAAAGGGAAGAGCGTGGGGCCCATTTTGGAGGACACCGAAGTTGTGGACTCGACGACTACATCATTTTCTGCAGTAGGCACCGGAACTGACGAGATGGTGGCGGGTCAGGTCGTTGCTAATAAGCCAGGCGCTGGTACAACTGCCGCAGTCCAATCAGATTCTAGCAGGGTTCAGTTTGACAGCTTACAGGTTGCTGGAGCCAGCCTTCCACCCCTTCTCAAATCATCTCACTCATCATCCTTATCCCAGCTTGACTCCCTGACAGGAGCAGCTTCCACACCGGCTATGCCGTCCCTGGAACCTCATACATTGAGAACCAAAATATGCTGTCCGCCGTCTCTTCCAGCTATGCGAGACCCCTTGCTAGACGGTTCTGTCACAACATCGGATACTTCGTCAGGGGGATTAGGCAAACGCAAACGTGACAGTGACGACGACGCAAGCTCAGTGGACCACAAACGCCAGAAGCTTGTCCTTACCCTCGGTGAAGTACAGCTTGCTTCATACGCTGTGGACTGCCTCTCCGTCGTCAATCGCCAATATGCGACTGGTATATTTATCGACTCTTATGCCACATCACTGTGGTATTATGACCGTCATGCGGTCTTCCGCACAGCAGCATTTGACTTTTCTGAGCAACCTCAGCTATTGGCGCTTGTCGCCTTTGGGCTCGCTCGTTGTGATTTGCGCCACGCTGGGTTCAATCCATATTTCTCGGCGACTCCCCCCTCGCCCCCTCCTGCTATGCTTGAGTCCGAGATGGAGAAGGTCGTTACACCTGAGGATGATCACGTTGAATCTTTAAACATTCCCCCAACTCCACTGGTCGACAGGCCTGTTTCGGCTCTCGAAAAGTGCTACGTCATACTTCCAAGCCCTGATGCAGGCAACGATAAGCCGCCACCAGTTTGTTTCACGATTAACGACGTACTATTGAATTATTATGGCATTACTGGTCGTGGTACTTCAGTGTTTCTAGTCCAGGAGGTGATCGGCAGGAAGGTGGCTGCTGATGAGCTGGTCTTGAAGATGAGCTGGCAGTATACCTTTCGATTTGCAGAAGGTGTTATCATTGATGCACTTCGAAAGTCTATTCCTGCCTGGAAGGACCATCTTCCTGACTTGAGGTTTCACGCTTCATACTCCCCGAAGGACTTGGGCCTACCATGGACTCGCATGAATGTCGTCATTCCAGAGGGAAGCAAAATCGAGCCACGATGTTTGAACGCAACGGTAGAGAAGAATTATGTCCCTCTGTGGGAAGCTGGAGGCATCCAAGAATTCAAGTAGGCCTTCCTTGATTGCGTCGAATGTACGCAATCATCTATCTTTTGGCTCAGTGTATGCATATTCAGCTGACGCAATATTTTTACAGGTCACTATCACGCTTGGAAAGAGGGGAAAGTATTACATCGGGACCTCAGTGACAAAAAGTTGATGGTCGACATCATCGAGCCTGGTGACCGATTGAAGACGCACTCGAAAGGTGTCAACGGCATTGTCAATGATTGGGATATGGCGTCTGTGCTGACAAGTGAAGGCGAGGCGCCAACAAGTTTGGCGAAACTTCGTATTGGAACTGCCCCTTTCATGGCATTTGAAGTTTCGGGTGTGTACGGTACTTGTCTTCACCAATATCGTCATGACCTTGAGTCTTTTTTCTACATCCTCATCTGGGCCGCTGTGCATTACGACCTGGAAAACAAGAAGCAGGTTAGACAGTTACCAGGCGGTGTGAAAGTGCATCCGGCTGTCGCGTTCTGGAATGGGGGAGGACTCTTACACATTGGGGTTGCGAAGGGAGCTTTCCTGGGTTGCCCCGCCATCAGAGATAACGTTTTCGACGCAATCGGAGAAGAATTTAAAGATCTCGAAAATGAGTGGATTAGACCATTATGGGAGATGTTTCGGGCAGTTGGAAATGTTCCACGTCCGTCGTCCGAGGAAGGCAAGACGTACGACTATGCTACATGCTATGGAAAGGTAACATTTGAGAAGTTCATGGCAGCTATCAAAGTGACACCACGAGGCAAGGATATTTGTGACACTGTAGCTTGATCCATTTTTGTTGTGATACTCGATTACAATGTCAGTCGATATGTAACCATGACATGATTCAAAGATAAGACTAATCTCATTCACAACTTGAATGCTCACAAAGCAGGAAAACATCAGGATGACGAGAAAGACGTTACCAACCACTCAATTTCTGTCCATCCACAACCCAATTTTTACATCGAGCTCCTCATCATACCCTGGCCATATCGCGCGACACGTCTCCCTCCACTCCTGGTAATTCCAATGCACATACACAGCTTTTCCGAGCTCCCAGTATGCAGGGTACCACCCTGCACAAGTCCAATCGATGATCCAAGTAATCTCGTGACCGTTCTCGCATAGGATATTCCTCAAGTGTGAGGTCCCCGTGTGTGTATACAATCCGTTGTGGTTTTGAGTGTACGTGGAGCATCTTTTCGCGCTCTTCGGTGGATTCCTTGGGCTGGCCATGGCCCGGCAGAAACTCATGAAAGGATGCTAGATCAGGAAAGGGTCCAAAAGCATCTTCTTCTACTTGGTTGATGTCGCAGCATGGCATCGTTGGCAAAGGACCGCAAATGACGCCGTTTGCACCGGGATGTTGCGGAATACTTTGTAGTTGTTGCATCATCCAAGTCCTCTGAAGTGACTTTCGCTCATGTTCAACCTGTCGCTCGTCCATACGATAGAACGCGGGACCAAGGGTGTCATACGGCAATCCAGTCATTAGGATATACTCATTGTCGAGGAGGTCGATGACTTTGGGGATGGGAATGGTGGTGTGGGCTGCGACGATACGCATTGCAATTGCTTCGACTTCCTGAATTGCTGCTATACTGCGCTCAAGGAAGAGATTTCCAGGGAGGCGTTGGACTGAAAAGTCTGTGGGGCCGTACATTTTTACACCGATGCGGTCGAAGAAGAGGTATATGCGGCGCCTTAGAGATGTTGGGAGGACCCATCGCAAGCAGGTAAAGAGAATGCATAGGATCATTGCCGCGAGAAACCCTGTTGGACAATGTAATTTTTTGGGATTATTCGAACAAAGGTACTCGAGCTTTGGTGTTCGGAATTGCAAACTGACGACTTTTCTGTTTGCAGGCTTTAAGTAGTAGCTGTTCGAGCTGTACCCGACGCTCGGATTCGCGGAGTCACCTCCTTCATCTCCTAAAAAACGATGCCTTTTCTGAACAATGGTGAGTACAGCATTTCCCAGACTAGTTCTTCAGCCGCCGACATTACTCGTAACAATTGTGTCCGTTTGACAGATTTTCGGGTTCTTACCAACGTCAGCTTTTTGTGTTCCAGACAATTTCTCGACTTTATATTCGTTTAAATATGTAGTCGGGAATGACTGTTGTGCGCCAGTTACACTTCTGAACAATGAGTTTCTGATTCTCTTCAACCTTGAGTGAAACAACTATAAAGAGTTGTCGGCAGCGGAAGGGGAAGATGATTAGCCTGGAGGTCAGGCCTTCGGGCCCATTTGAGTAGAGGTTCAGTTGAGAAAAATTTTCTCTCCTACTAGTTTGTTGTTCGCAACCTCTTCTTTTGAGCGAGCGGGAGAGCTTGTGGTGAGATGCTCCACTTCATCGTCCAGATTAATAAAGCCAAGGTGATGGAATTTAACGCAAAGATATTACCAAAAATAAGAGCGATGTATTGAATAATCAAGGAAGGAGGAATGTGAAGGACATTCGGGGACCTCGACTGTTACAGAGATTTAAATCTCAGAAAAGCAAAAAAAAAAACCTCATATGCCCTGTTCAGCACGGGCGAGATGCCTGACAAACCTACGGTTCTCTTTCAATTGGTACAAATCAGTTCGTGTGGGCTGGAGCTGATGACATGATTAGACCATGTAAGGGCATGCAAGTACTGCAAAGTAAACATACCCATTCAAGAAGAAGGTTTATAATCACTTGAAGCTCGTCGTCAAAATTATCATCGTCTGGATGAACTTTCCGAAAGATTGATCCATAGTATGTGAAGACCCCCCTTTTCTTTTTCAACACATAAAAGGCGAAATAGGTGCCATCTGAAACGCAGAAGCGAACAGTATTCAAGCTGTTGTACAGACCAGCGATGATCAATCGGTGCACAGTTTTGGAATATGAACACTCACTTCGCGTTCGACGAAATCGTCATTGCCTGCGCGACGGCTTCCGGGATGAGTTCATCCCACTCAGGTGATCTCAATTCGGCTTCTATGAGGAAGAAGTGTCCAGCCGCACGCCGGAAAACGCCTTCAAGTTCAGTCCGGGTTTCACCAACAAGAAATTCTGAGAGCAGAAGAAATGAGCGGAACCATGGGGGAATCAACCATGAAGCAAATTACCCTGGTAGTCGCCGTTTTTGCCTTTCTCGCACTGGATGACAACGTAGTCAATAGTCCCAGTGAATTTCACCTGATATCCTCGATTCGTGAACAAGGCATCCTTTGGTTTCATTTCCGGAATGATAACAAAACCTCGATTGGGAGACAGTGTTGTAATAATGTCTCCCAATGACATGAGAATGGCTTCGAAAATCATCCTAGCCCCAATCTGCTACTTTTCCAGCGACGACTAAGCATAGTTTGAAGGGCGGTCGACAGGCAGCCAATGCCTACCATCATATTTACGCGCCGATAGATCTTTTGCAATCGAGAGCCAAGGTCTTTTAACTGTTCCCCAACAACGACATGCTGCGCTCGAGCTTGTGCCAACTGATCGATCTTGCGAGGGTTGAAAATGAGTTGCCCCGTCTTGACATTCAAGTTTTCAAGTTCAACCTTTGAGGCATCTGAGAACGTCACTTTCTGGAAAATATTGAGGAATCAAAGCCAAAGTAAATTCAAAAGGGACCAACTATTCTTTCTTCCAAAAAGCGATGACATTCGTCAATATTTTTCTCCACTTCTGCCATTTCCTCCTCCGTTTTGTCTATTCCGGAATATTTGTCGCGTAGAACATTGAGGGAGCTCATCATTCTCTCGCGTATATCAGCAGGGATGCCCTGATGACGCTTGTGTGTCTGGGTTTCAGGCATGGTGGTGGTGGTGGTGGTGGTGGTGAGACCTCCGTGCACCACCAATGAATTGATGACGTCTTAGGCGTAAAACACCGCTAACTCTCGAACATGCGCATGACGTTGCCTCGAATCCCGCGACTTCGACACTTGCTCATTCACGTCAAGGCGTACAGACAGCAACCTCTGATGCGGTTCAGCTGCACAGACTCCCAAATCAACGAAGCGAGTGTCCCAAGTAGGACAGGGCCGCCCACACCTTTTGTACCCATATAGAAACCTACCCGATTGCACCTAATTTCACCAATGCTTTGTCGCCTCACCCGATCCCCTCACCCAGCTTTCCTTTCATCAAATCCTTCAGGTCTCCGCAATTGTGATTCGCTCCACTCTGGCCTGGAAGACCGTGGATCGACGACTTTTACCAAATAATGACATCCTGGGTGCTGACAATGCAGGTCCTGAAAGTTCAGAGTATGAGGAGATGTCAGATGGGGTGTGGCATAAGACGTACGGTGAATCGGAGAATGAAAGCACCACCTGCCAACCCTGCACATTTTATCTTTGACGCAGAGCTCGGGTTGGGCGCGCCAGCGGCTGCAAGCGGATAACGATGGGAGGAGTCCTCAAAATCGCTCATTCGGAATGGACCACATACACCTAACAAGGCGGTCGCCCCTTCCACCCCTCCTTCTCCCCCAAGGCTAACCGTCGTTTGTGTGAGGGAAGCCTCGCGCCTTCAAGTCATTTCAAGAAACGCATCAAAGTCGAACGCAAGGTCGAACGAAGTATTTTGTTCTGATCCCTTCGGAAAATTTCTTACCTTAAAATAGCGACGAGTGCGATCCTGTAATTTGATTGTGGTCCTTGCATGGATCTACATCTAGAAAACCACATTTCATGGCTTTATTATCTGATCTTTCGTTTCCTAATTGAAGGTGAATCAATTCTTGTCCCTTGGGTAAACCGGAGCTTTCAATTTGACCGTCAGAACTTGGCACTGGCTACATGGAACGATTGCTAGTTGTTTTTCTTAGAAAGGGATATGATACTCGCCCCCTTCCTGAATTCCCTTTTTACATAGGTCACACAAATTGGCATAAGAAAATTATATGGGGCCACAATGGGCCAGTCCGACTGAGCGGCAACATGAGGAGTCATTGAGGACGGTAAATTTGAAGAATGGATAAACATAACGAGGTATACATTGGATGCCAAGAACCCCCGTTTGATTACCATCTCTATCGATCAACACTGGGTTCGGACATGATTATCGATTTTCTTGAAGTTTAGTATCCCCGAGCTACAAGCAAGCTGCACTCAATTTGCCAACCAGGGGCCGTCACTCTGACGCTAACATATATGTACATAGGAGATACTGAATTTTCTACTTAAGTCTATGTACATAAACAGCAAAATTTTCAACGAGATTTATCAGATATTTATCGTCTATTGGATAGCCGCACTTCTGATGCGCTTTGAACATGAGCTCAAGTACTGTTGTTGATTCACGAATTTGCAATTTCGTCTCCTCCGGCCATCCGTGAGACAAACTCGCAAAAAATACTTATGGGGGCAACATGAGGATGGTGAATTTGAAATTTGGGAAGTACATTGAAATCTTAAGAACCCGCCCTCGTCTGCCCTCGTTTGATGACTATCCTTATCGATCAACATGAGGGACAACAATGGGTTTGGACAAGATTATCGATTGTTTTGAAGCGTAGTTTACCCGAGCCGCCTCCAAGGTGTTGCATCGAAGCAATGTAGGAGACCTTGAGGAGACCTTGCCCAATAAAGCCATCTGTTGCCACCACGTGTTGTTGATGGGATCACTACTTGATCACTTTGAAATTCCGTCAATGAGCATTGTCCTCCTTCCAAATTCCTGACTCGCTTTGTGGTTTAAAAGCCCTGAGTCTTCTGTGGCATCATGGCCAGCTCTTACTCTTCGTTTGACTCTAGCTCCTCCGTCTACTCGTATTTTTCCTCTCAGGAAGGCTCTGACCGGTCGTGTGAGTCTTCAAGAATGCTCTTGCTGTGTTAGTCTCAATAATGACTATATCTACAGCGATCACGTCCTCTATGTCCACGCCACGCAAAACACATACGAATGGCTTGCATAAACATACCCGGAGTGTTATGGATTCAGTCCTCAAAGATGAACTTGTCGGAAATCGCTACGAGGACATTACCGTCCAGAATTTTGTTCAACAGGTTTTTGGGCTTTCACCTGAACAGATCGCTATAATATTAGCGATGGAATTGGAGCTCGATCCAGAAGCCGTCTTTACTTACGACACGGTTGCCCAAACAGACGATGAACCCAAACTACACGCACCCTTCAAGGAGATCGTTGATCAGTTATTGGATCACCTTTATGCCCATTTCGAGCTGGGCGAGCGCCGCGATGGATTTTGGGATAGAGGAGGCGGTCACACCATCAAATCAAAATACGCAAATCGTAAACCCGACGTATTGCGCATGTGGAAGCCCATCCCCACCGCTATTGACTGCTGGGATATTGTGAAGTGCATAATCGAATTTAAGAACGTCGCCGACAAGGCGAAGGAAAAGATGTCATCGATACCAGAAGACAGCCACCATACTGCATTGCCATCGTCAGACTCTCTGCCGGGTTATATAACCCGGGAACAGGGTACGGGGCGACGAGGCTCCCGCGCTGCATCTGGCTCCCGCGCTGCATCTGGCTCACGCGCTGCATCTGGCTCACGCGCTGCATCCGGCTCCCGTGCTGCATCTGCATCTGGCTCCGGCAGGGACAGCGTCGCAGGAAGAGCGAAAGCCCCGAAGCCACGGACGCAACGGACACGTTCGACCGTATCCGAACCATCCCCCTTCCCTTCCGCATCGACACTACCAAACCCCTTCCTTTCCTCATCGACATCTCAACATGCATCAACGGAATCGTTACCGAACCCATCCCAGCTTCCTAGCAGTACTGACCTGCCGTTGACCGAGGGACTTGGCAAACGCAAACGTTCCGCAGACGATACAGCCTCGCGTAGCGCAAAGAGCAGCCTCAACCCCACTGCAAAAGAAGTCCAGCTGGCTTCCTATGGTTTGGAGTGCCTTTGCGTTGGCAACCGTCATTATGTCACTGGCATTTACATTGATCGATGGATGATGTCACTGTGGTACTATGACCGTCATGCGATTTTGCGCTCAGAGCCCTTCAGCTTTCGAGAGGAGCCCAATCTTTTGGCCCTTGTTATGTTTGCGCTCAGCCAAGCCGACAAGTGCCAAGCGGGGTTCAGTCCCTTTTTTTACAGGTCTATTCCCTCTCTTCCAGTTCAGCCGGCGACGGATAACGACGATGAAGCTCCTGGACCAGGGGAGCTACATTTGGAAGGAACCCTCCCGAATACAGATGCTCGGACATTGGAGATCACAGCGCCAGCGACCGAGGAGTCAGCTGTAACACAGCCTGAGGTGGAAGAACCGGAGGTGGAGACGGCTCCCGGAGGGTCACCCGCCGAGACACCTGCTAAAAAGGCTGTTGACAAATGCTTCATCATGTTGCCTCCCACCGGTAGCGAAAAGAAAAGGGTACCTCGCTTCCGCTTCAAGGAAACCCTATCGAATTACTATGGAATCGTTGGTCGCGGCACTTCGGTTTTTTCGGTCCAGGAGGTAAACGATAACGATATCGTTGAAGACCCGCTTTTAGCTTTGAAAATGAGCTGGCAGTGGCTATTTCGTACTCCTGAAGGCGAGACGATTTCGGCTCTTCGAGAAGCGATCCCTGATTGGGCGGACCACTTGCCGGACATCAAGTATCATACCACTTATCAGCCAAAAGACCTTGACCTACCGTGGACTCGCCTAGGCCTTAAGATGCCACCCCGTCACAGTATCAAGCCGCGCTATCTCCATGCAATGGCAGGAAAACAGTACGAATGCTTGTGGGAAGCTGGTGACCTTAACAAATTCAAGCAAGCATTCCTTGATTGTGTTGAATGTATGTCGTTACAAGTCTTTAACTATTCAGTTGGGTTAACAATCCCACAGGTCATTATCACGCATGGAAAGACGGTCGCGTTTTACATCGCGATCTCAGCGAGGACAACTTGATGCTCTACTCAGTGGACAATGGTAAGAAGGTCAAAGGAGTCGTCAATGACTGGGACATGTCATCAAAGGTTGACGAAGATGGTATTCCCATTCGTAGTGCTGCCACTCACCGTACTGGAACCACGCCTTTCATGGCATGTGATCTTCTAGATGCAGGGGTTGCGTGGCCCCACTACTATCGGCACGACCTAGAGTCGCTCTTTTACATTCTCATATGGGCCGCGATCCACTACGACTTGAAGAAAGGACAACAATATATAAATCGTGGAAAGCCGCACCCACGATTCGAAGCATGGATAGCCGACGGTCTGGACAAGAAATTTGCATTCCTATCCAACGTGCTAGGAAGGAATGCTGTCTTTTCAAATATCGGACCAGATTTCGAATCACTCAAAAAGGAGTGGCTGGTACCCCTTTGGACCCTCTTCCACGACGTGCATGTCAATAAGCGACCTTGGGACCCGCCGGCCGATGCTACTTATGATCATGCTACATGCGACGGGAGGCTGACATTTGAAACTTTCATGGCTGCGATGGGGGCGACTCCTCGCGGAAATTCTGTAGTTGTTTAGTCAATTCTCTTATGCATGGATATCTTCGATTCGCTATCTTACACGCAGTTGTTGCTACATGCCCCTCGCCTGGAATAGAAACAGTGCTTTACTACCAGCCTTAAGTCCACTATCCCCTGATTAGTTCACTCTGTGATTGTCAACTTGTTCTAAAGTTCTCAAACAAGTGTACATCTCCCAATAACTTTGAAGACGACGTTTATATTTACGCAGCGGATGAAGCAATCGCTAACGGCCCAAAGTGGCCAGTGGACATTCCAAGACACACAACATCGTTGTGGATAAAGCTCATCGTCAAGTAATAGAGGTAAACACGACTCTCTCCATCTTGATAGCCCCAAACACGCGGAACGTGCAGATGGCACTGCCCATCTCACCGCTCGAATCCGAATCCTGCGAGTCCGACACCTGCCCATTCGCATCGAGATGTATAGTAGGGTGGAACCTCTGATGTATTGAGCTATATAACCTCCCAAATCAACAAAACGCGAAATTTCAAGTAGGACAGACAAGGCATACGGACCTTTCGTATTCATACAGAGCCTCCTGCACCAATTCATCATTCACGTCTTCTTCGGTAGCCGTTTCGATGGCGTGTTCTACCAGCTTATGTTTGCACGATAACAAAGTTCTGATATGTCTTGTCGTGTGCATCTCGAGTTCTTCTGCCTCCATGGGGAGGAAGGTTGACGGCTGGAGGAGGAGACCTGTCGTTGGCTTGCTCTCCGTCTCGCTTGCAGCAGCACCTTCGTCTCGGTCTTCCTCAGTGGGTGTGGGATCACGGTGAGCGAGGGAGAGATGCATGACTTGCACCAGCTCCCCGTATCCAAATATATCTTTCATCAATTGCGAGATGAACGTCTCGGGATGGAGGGAGATGCCGTATGTCTTGGAAAGCAGATCTTCGAAGAGGTATTCGAAGTTGAGAAGAGGGGTGATGGGGGGTTGGGGTGGGAAGATGATGGTATCTTCGATCAACTCCAGTCGTCCACCTGGGGCGAGTACGCGATAGGTTTCTTCGAATACGTGTGCCCATGAGTCTGTGGGTATGCAGAGTGTGAGGCATGACATTCTTATTAGGTCGAAGGTGTGGGAGTCGAAGGGGAGTTGTTGTGTTAGGCTGGATGGCACATGTGAATGAAGATGAGGATGAGCAAGAAAGTGTAGGGGAACACGTACAAATTCCCTCGAATAAACTCGATTTGACCTTTTACCCTATGTTGGACAGCGAGTGGCGATAAGATATTCACTTTGTCGTACCCGGTCACTTTGGTCCCGTATCCACTCCATTTCATGGCAGCTTCAACGACCCAGTGTCTGTCGTCTATGAGGTAAGTGGCAGTTAAGAAGATGAAGAGAGACACTAACCCTTGTCCGCATCCAAGGTCAAGTACCTGTCGAGGAGGCGAGGTCCCATAGTCATAGAACGTCGGCGAGTCGGTCGTGTTCAAACGACGTAACAGCTCCCCCGTCCGTCTGTCACTGATCCAAACAAAAGTTCAGAAAAATCAAGTAGCAACAAACCAGAGTGAAAACGTACTGGTCAAGAAGAACAGCATCAAACGGATCCAAAGGATAATTCCTAACCCTCGGCTTGCCTCCCGTTGCCACTCCAGCACTCATCCTAGTACTATTACTAGCCCTCCGAATATCAAACACCACCTCATCCCCTCCTCCAACCCCCACTCCCAAATCAACCGTCGACCCAACACCCGAGAAATTCGAAGTCGACCCTGACATCGACATCGACATCATCTGCATCTCACTCCCATCTTCCACCTGCTTATCCCGTTCTCTCTGCTTCCCTTTATCCGGTTTCTTGGATTTGTCTTTCAGGAGACGAAGTCCCTTGAACCGAGTTGGCGAAGGGTCGGCCCGGGTGGTGTTGGGTTTGGGTTTCGCTTTGGGGTTGGCTCGAGAACGACCGGAGGGGAAGATGAATGGTGCTGGTGCTGTAGTTGGAGACGTGGAATCTTTGTCTTTGTCTTGGGGGCCAGAAGAAGACGTAGATGCGGGAACCGAAAGAGGTAACGAGGAAGAGGAAGGCTGCATCGAATCGTGCTGGTGAACTTGACGATGTTGGGGCACCACGGGCAGCGGTGTCCTATGATTCGCTTGTATTTGTGCTTGTGCAGGGGGCACCAACGGGACAGGCATCGACAAATCCGACAACGGCGACATACTCGTCGTACTTGTACTCGCACTAACCGCCTGCGGAACACGCACTGTAAGGGCTTCGCTCCCCTTAGGACGAGCCACGGACCGACCGGCAGGGTATACTTTTGTTACTTTCGACTTTCGCTGCTCGTGCTCGTCTATACCCCCAGACCGACCCGGGACGGTGGTTGGCGAAGGCGGGAACACGTAGTCGGATGCGTTGATTGGCATGGAGGGGTCGAATTCGAGGCGGATGGGTGTAGGTGGCAGGTAAGTTGCATGTGAGTATGATGAAGATGGTGAGATGGCTTGTGGGGCGTTGAGGGGTGTGGTGTAATGCGTATCGGCCGAGCTGGGTCTAGGTGGGTATACATGTTGGTGCTGCTCTTCTTCGTTTATTCTTTGGAAGTGCGGTCTAGGTGGGTATACATGCTGGTGCTGGTCTTCTTCATGTGGCCTTTGGAAGTATGGATGGGTGGTATTGTAAGTGTAAGCAGGCAAGGAGGGCGTGCGTGGTGGCCCGGGATATAGAGTTGCAGAGGGGGAAGCGGGTGAGTTACTAGAGGAGAGTTCGGAGATATCATCGTCGAAGCTTGGCTCTGCTTCGTATTTTGGTAAAGGGGGGTAACTTGGATGACGTGGTGGCATGGGACTGGTATCTGACAGCCGTGAATTGTATCCTTTCTTTCTAACCGGAGACGGTTGGCTTAGATTTGAGTGGGTTTCATTCATGAAAGGGGATGATGGCGGACTTGGGTTCAAGTTTGCCGACTGTCGTTGGGGAGGGGCAGGTAATGGACGTGATCCTTGCGTTCGCGGTGGGGGCGGGGGCTGGTAGGTCGCCTCCACAAAATCACGTAGGTGGCTGGGGTATTGTGCCGAGTCCATACTTATAGGGATTTGTTGGGCATACACTCGTGTCCTTGTTTCTTGCTGGTCGCGGTAGTACGGTCCTGGTCCTGATCCAGTCGTTTGTCCTGATATAATTGCGGGGGCGTGGTAATGTGGGTTTCGGTTTTGGAACGACACTTCGGAAGTTGCGCTTGTCCGTTTAGATCTATTAAAGAAGCTTTCGAATTTACCAGGCGCTTTAGCTGTTGATATTGGCGGTGCTTGAGGGGGATGAGACCCTCTTTGTTCTGCCACAGCCTTGGAGAACAGGGGCATTGCGGAAGGGAGTCGAGACCTGTCGGAATGGTTGGAATTCAAAAAGTGGGGCAACAATGATTCGTGCATGCCTTCAGTTTATACTAAACGTCAAGTATCATCAGTGCTTTACGAGAAGTGGTGATTGAACGGAACCAGGCGCTTACTGATAACAAAGAATGCCTGAGGTAAGTAAATTCATCTCGGAACGTTCACCCCGACCATGTCAATGTGTAGCCTTTATTGGAGCTCTCCTCGTTACCTAGCCTCTAGGAACGTGGGAGATAAGTGTTTCTGGAACATTCATTGTATTGAAGCTGCTGCGCCAGCGCTAACCTACGGATGTCTTGTATTTGGGATGAGCACACCCCAGCCTGAGGTGTACCTACGCCTTCGAAGCGTCGGAAAAAAAGCGTCTGATCCCCGTGGATATGGATAAGAACTAAGAAGACAATCTCATGCGCATTGGAATCCAATTGAATGAGAGAATGACGCGTTTCTGGTTGATCATGAGCGGGCGTCCATACATCCAGGTACGGATTTTGACATGGAAGTTATGTTTGTGCGGTGTTATTTTTGGTGGCCTATCTATTCTTGTCCTCCGCCTTTCTTCACTCAGAGCTTGTTCTATGTATTATTGGATAACTGGGTGACTTCCCGTAACATAAATCTATATAAACGAATAAATCTGACCCTTATCGGAGTTTGAAATGGGTACCCTGGCTTGCGATTTAATCAAGCAAATAAACCGTAACGCCAACTGATTAGATTTATTCGCCTGACATGAATAAACTTACTTCCCTCTCACCTGAGCTGTTTTGAGGACACACAGGCCCATGGATGGGTGTATTATAGTTAATGCTCAATCATATCAGCCAGAAAGTAGGACACACAATGAATGAAGCCGAGAAAATGTCAACTTGAGCTGAACATGCTCTGATTCTGTGAGTTATGTGCTGAGAAGATTGTTTGTGGAAGGAAAAACAGCTTCGGAGAGGAAATTTTGGAACCAGAGGACGTTGGCACTACTAATAAACTCTGTAATGGCTTCAAATTATAACGAGAGAGCAGACTGCCCTCAGCCATAGGAGAGTAGAGAGGATGAGGTAGAGCTGACTAAGCTAGGTGGGAAGAAAACGTACCCAGGAAGGAAAGGTGTCATGATGGCAGGGTTGATTCCAGTGTTTGAAATCTATTCGAGGGGTCTGTACCCTCTGAATAGATTAAGGTTTATAACTGGGTGCCAACCAGGGCCTCCATCAAAGTCGAACCCTTACAAGACTCGGCATCCCGGCAAAAGACCCTAGATCTCGTCGATTTATTTAAATCTAGCAAATTTATGTTATGGGAAGTCACCCACTTCCCATAAGGTTTAGAAACCTAGATTATTTTTCTAAACTGACGTGCCGCCATGCCGGCTGCCAAATGGGTCGCAATCTGTCAACATTCAACTCCGCTTGTCATCGAGCACCCTCTTCTAGATGAAAATCTAGACGAGGCCTCCCCCCCCCTCTTCTAGTTCTAAATCGTTTGAATAAACCCTTCTTTCATTGTCCGACGATCAATCCCTGAGCATCGTGTCCATATCAGGTAGCACATCGAGATGCACCAACTTATGTAGTAGGTCTTCCATGACTATACAGTAGGTCTCTCTTGTTTTTCTTGTCTAACGAGTTAATGGTGAATAATAAGCAAGTTTTTCTCTCCGGAAATTCATTGTGAACTAGGTCTTATATGCTTATTTGTTGCAGCGCGTCGACGTGACCAAGTCGACACACGCAACCCACCTTCAAACCACGCATTTGGACTGCCCAATTGCACGCAACCACATTGTCTCTGCATTCTGGGAGACTGTGTTAGTTCTCCTAATGTGATTTTGGGCCAACTGAAACTGGAGGCGCAGTGGAAGAGGAATGAGCTCAAATGGAGAGATCCTGTACGAGATCTGCGTTCACCAAAGAAGAATTAACTGTACTCGTATAGAACTGTGTTGCTTGGTTTATGGTTTAGAAAGACGGCTGAATATATTTTTAAACCCCGCCCATCAAACATTTAGAAGATAATCTAGGTTTCTAGACCTTATGGGAAGTCATCCATTGCGGTGCCATGATGAGGCTGCTGTTCAAAATTGCCCGCAGCCCTTTCGGACGTGGACGTCAAGAGATAAGGTGACACGCACTCGCCTCAGCGGCGTCATACAACGCAAACACACCGTCTTGGAAAACCGTTCAGTCGGTCTACTTGGGTACTTGATTGACTGTGGAATGCACTAACAGTCGCTGTGTTTGAGTCTATTCAAAGTCACTTCCCCGCACCCAAATCCACACCTTCCAAAACATAGGCATACGGATCCGGCCTGTCCGGATTGACCACCTCCTCCGAAATCACCTTCACAAACTCAACCACCTCCAAATCAAAATAACTCCTCGCGAACTCAGCAGCAAGGTCAATCCCCGCCGTAACCCCCGCAGCACTCCACACCCTCCCATCCCTCACCCATCTCGCATCTCCCACCCAATGCACGGCCTTGTTCAGCTTCCCGGCGTCTACCATCAGCTTAAGCGCCCATTTGTTGGATGCGACGTTGTGCCCGTCCAGGACACCCGTTTGTGCAATGACTAGAGAGCCAGTGCACACTGTCAAGAGGATAACCTTCGGATCCTTTTTCAAGAACTCTGTGCATCCCTCCGAAAGGGGGAGAAAAGGGTCGATCCCGGGTACGAGGATACAATCCACGGGCGGGCACGTCGCGTACGTGTGCGTTGGGAGCTGTTTAGGGCCCGAGGTGGCTGTTATGGGGTCTAAGGTGTCGGAGACGAAGTACCACGTCAAGATGGGCGCCTTGGGGACAAGGTGCTGGACGGTGGGGAAGTTTGCGAGATAGGCTTGGCTGTGGCTGTTGAGGTAGTCCATGGTACCCACGGCATCGAGGTTCTGATGGTCGGGGAAGAGGAGGACTGCGATGCTCAGGCTTGGTGGGGTGGCCATGCTGTACTAGAGTCAGGTTTGTTGAGTTTGTCTTCCAACTGATCCATCGATTTTATACATTTGCAGGTGTCTTCGCAACGCCGTCTGGATTTCTAAGCGGCCGACGTTCTGGACAGAAGCGTCTCCAGATGTTGTCGATGCTAATCACGCGCAGCGATTCTGACAATGATCTTTTGATAGGCGGGATCATCTGTCCGGCAGCCTTGATTGCGTGGACTAAACGTGCATCGAACATCAGAGTGGGGCAGATACGTATCATATAGGTCGGAATACAAATTTCTAACCCTTCTTCCAGGAGGAATGGCTGATTTTGATTTCAAAGCATGCTGGTGCAATGCCAACTACCAATCTTCCGCCTTACATAGGTCCACATTGAGGTTACCGCAATGTAACTTTCCACACAAGCCAAGATACAGATTTTGATACGCTGCAGAATTCTTTCCGTTTGATACGGAAGTCGGGACTTTTCACAACGTTATACTGTGCATCACTATCACTATGCTGAGTCCTGCTCGTTTCACGAACTCGAGGGCTTCCGGTGGCCGTATTTCCAGCGGCCGCCCTTGGTCGTTGAGGACTGATCCCTGTCTTCTCTGGATGGATCGAAATGAACCCCAATCTAGGGTGGAGGATGTAAGACCAAATTGCTCTGTATTCTTCAGTGGTTAATGGCTACACTCATTATCAGGACCGGCTTGCCCCAAAAATATCCATTCAAAACGACTTTATTCATCGTTCACGTTCGTTGACCGGATTGCGCAGGCTACTGGATTCACTTCGTCTACACCCATTGTAACGCGCTCGAAATTTACGCAGGCTTCGGTACCGAAACACCCCTCAATCTCTTCTCCTCCCCAATCCACGTCTGTGCGGAGGTGCTATGTCACGTGAGGCTACGCGCTTTGTGAGGACAACAGGTAGAACATACCGCTCTTTCCCGTTCTTCAACTCACTGGCGCCATAGCGGCTCTAATTCCGCGACAACGTTTTTGGCTATACAGTACGGGGGGATAAACTCCAGCTTCGCCCTTTCACAACAGTCTCTATCCATGACCACTTGGTTTACGATGTTGTTGGCGAAGGCGCTGACGTTTTTATGCGCGTTGTTGGGATTCTTCAGCTCGATGTGAAGAATTTAACTGCGGTCTCGATTTCCGTATGCCCCAATTCCGCTTTTTGAATTTCATAATACTCATACATATATAGCATTTACCTTGTCGATGCTAAACGAAGAAGAGGGTAGAGTGTCCTGCCTAGGCGAAAAATGCCAAAGTTATAACAATGGAGAATACATATCTAGCGAGCACCAAAGCAGAGGAAAGCGCAGACAACATAGCGATGGGAAGGGGTCAAGCAGGAGAGTGATGGATCGTGAAATGTATGGTATATATTCAGTTCGGTCTTTCACTTCCACGAATGATATTGGTTCTTCATAATTTTTGCGCGGTTTATCTGTGCATCATGTCATATTGGGGAGAACAACAGCTCGACAGAACATACTTCGAGGTCCCTTTCTAAGGCATCAACATCCCAAATGCACTCATTAATCTCGAGTGAGAGACCCCTACAAATGGCCTTTATCTCCTGCAAAATTCCGCCAGACGCTATGAGCGTCCTCTCGTAGAGCTCAAAGACCATATAGCGGATCCTAAAGAGCGTATATTATGGACACAGCAAGCGCGTTATTTAATGAAACGATGTCAACAACTCACCTTCCTATGTCCCTCGTGAATTGATTAGTGAAAGTTGTTTCCGATTGACGCATGATTCCACTATCGACGGCGTCCTGTAACCTTTCTTCCAAGGATGAGAGTCCCAGTTGAAGTTTTTCCATGAGGGTTCGTGGGCGCATGGCGTGGACGCATATAAGGAAACCGAGGAGGACGGCTCCAGCCCGCACTAGGTCTTGCGGGATGAGGGATAGAATGACCACCCATGCTGCTGAGATGATTGCTCGGTGATACTCTTGAAGGGACATTTGGTAGGACGGGGGAGAAAGTTTTGCGTAATTTCCCTTTCCACGAGTTTTTAATCCATCCCATAATCCATTCCCCAATACGCGCCACTACTATGTTTTTGTTGAATCGCAACAATTGCGTCCCGCGCTAATAACACGATTGACGTTCAGTGAAGGTGATCGACGTAGGAATGAATAGAAAACACATACCTGAGAGATCTGATTAACGGCAATCATTGAGGTACTGTGCCATTTCGATCAATTCGGCAGCCCATGTTACACGTTACAGGGCTGCCGAAAATAGCGCCTAGGCTGTGCGTGATGCAGAGGCGATGAGTGACTGTGATGAGAAAAAATAGCCAAAGTCAGGAGATCAGGCACGGCGTGCGCCTGATTCCGACGTATTTCCACTCGAGGTATGTTGGAGGTATGGCTATATTCCTATATAAGAAAAAAAAGGAAAAAAGATGATGAGATCATGTAGTGATCGATGTGAGGAGCGAGGGGAAAGGTAGGAGAAAGTACATGTGTGTATGATATGGGAAAGGAAAGATGACGTCCATGTCGTTAGTCTCTCCTAGACAGACTTCGATATATGTGTAGTCGTACCTTGGTTCACGATATATGAACCATGTCGTGGGGGATCACAGTGGTGTGAAAAGTCTGTAGATATAAGAAAAAAGTCTGTGAGTAAATAAAAAGTTTGTAAGAAGTAATAGAAAAGTTTGATGGAAGTTAGGAATCCAAGGCATGGATGTATGAGGATACAGAGCATGCAGTTTGGCCAAATAGTAAGACATGGATAAGAACAGGGTTTTTGCAGATGTAGATTTTGAAGGTGTCTGAGGCCCATCTCCTGATAGCTTGAATAATTGCAGGTGGTATGCCATTTTCAGCAAGGGAAGTTGCTCCTCCCACTCTGAGAGATTGGCCAGCAGTGTCGGAATCAAAAAAGCGCCAGAGGTGTCTGATGAAGAAGGCTTGGGTGGGTATGACACCATTGCTGGTCAACCACAGAGGGGAGCTGTAGGGGAATTTCTGGTCATGGGCATGTAAGTACACAAGAAAACATCTGTGAAGGTTGAAGACACATGCATTCTTCCAAATGATGATGGTGTTTCCTTCAAAGAATCTGTCGGCCTTATGGCCAGGCAGAAAGAATTGAAAAGAGACATTGGAGAAATGTACAGAAGTTCGTTTGGTGACTTTTCTGGGGTCACAAAGTTGTGGGTTGTCTGGGTATGTCATTTCACCCAGTTGGAAGAGGGCAAAGAAGCCAGTGAGAAATTGTGCAAGGAAAAGCATGTTGTCATAGTCAGATGAGTTTCCTAGCACATTGATGACTTTCTCAAGGTCGTCTAGAGTGACGGCACATTTGTGAGAAGTTGGGGTTCCACATAAACACCTGCAGCCCTGCAATGTATGATGTACAAGGGCAGAGTTGCGGGCTGTGCACACATTGGGGAAATAAGGTTTGAGTAGTTGGCAGATACCAGAAGGTAAGTAGTGACAGAGCCGGGTTTGATGTGGTGGCACATGTAGACTGTGAAAAGGCTGAGAGTGTCGGGGGTTGGCTCAAGGGGGAAATTGTGTAGTTTGATAAAGTTGAGGTAGGAGTTCAGGGTGGAACCGTAGTTCTTCCATGTAGAGTTGTCAATTGCTTGACCAAGGGCGATGGTGTGTTCTCTGAGCAGCCTCTCCTGAGACCAGGGTTCCCTGTGGGGTTGCCTGGCATGCATGGTGGTAGGGATCATTTTTTCGTAGCCCCCAGTGGCAATTGAGGGGGTAGAAAAGGTGAGATGGTGAGATCTGGGATGTACTGGCATGCAACATTGAAATTGTTTCTGGAGATGGCATCAGCGACAGAGTTAAGTTCTCCAGCAATGTGGAGGACTCTGAGCTGTATGTCATGGTTAATACATGTGTCAACGGCATCAGTGAGGATTGAGTTGTAATGAGGGAGGCATCTCAAGGTGTTGAAGATGGTGATGGTGTTGTTGTTGTTGGTGTAGATGAGGACCTTGGTAGTGGGTGGAACATGGAGGACATCAGTGACATGATGTATGGCCGATAGAACACACAGTGCTTCAGAGAAGAAGATGTGCTCCTCATTAGTTCCGCTGGGGGTAGGTGAGTAGAAACCGACACGGCTGTCAGGTATCCAAAAACCCATGCCCTCTAAGCAGGAATCACAAAAGATCATGAAGTCAGCAGTGTGCCCATCCCAATAAATTTGCTAAATGAGTCTGACACTGGTATCATGCTCCAAATGATTGGCAGCCCAGGTGAGGTTGGCACAGACAGTGTTATTGATCCTGATGAATTGGTTTGGAGTGGATTTGCCACCTATCTTCGCATAGAAGTGGTTGAGTGTGGGTCTAAGTAAAGGAAAAACATTAAAGCTCCAGTTGATCCATCCTGCCAGCCTCTGCCATTCATGCAGAGTGAATTTGTGTTTTGAGGAGATGAAAATTGAAATTGTGGATGGCAACTATGTACCCAGGAGTTCAATTCCCCTTCTCTTCTTCGCTATCTATGAGACAAGTGACATGAATGTGATCCAATTACATCCTGAACTGCACCCGCCAAAGGCCGTGTTTCTGTCGATGTGCAAAGACCCACCAATGCCGTTGACTTGCTTGATTTGCCAGTAGGGATGAACTGGGAGAAGTCGATAAGCCTCGGCAACATCTGATTTGAATAATACTTGAGCTGAGTCAGGGAAGCACTTGTTCATGGAGATGAGGAATTTCCCTAGATGCTGTAAGTTGTCTAGCAGGTAGCCTATGATTCATTCGCACGGAATCATGCTGTTGAGGGAAAATTTGCCTGCGCTCTGATCAGTGACCATCCTCAAGTTGGTGGAGTGAGGTTTCGGGACAGCAAAAACAGGCATGCAATACATGCTGTGTAGTAGCTTGTCTCCAAATGATTCAGAGAAGCAACCCTTGAAGAGTTCATGGTCTCGTTGATTCCTCAGGAAATGTGCTTCTTCAACGTTGTCTGGTTCAGGCAGTGAGAGGTCGAGTGTGTCAGGATATTCCCCAAAGTGAGGAGGTCTTATCAGTGCCCCCCTAATTCCTGCAGGATTCCGGTCATTCCTGCGGATTCCGGTGGATTCCGGAGGAGTGAAATTTAGCAGGGAGGCCTGCTATTTTCTTCATTCCGGTGCTTTACCATTCCAGCGGAATTTCGGCATTCCGGAATTGTGACCGGAATGGTCCCCGGATTGGCAAAAACGGAATGCAACCGGAATCCGGTTTGTTTGGCGCAAGCCCATTGCCAAACAATTGTTTGTTTGGCAACGGCTTTCACGCTCATCCAAACACAACCCTCTCTCCTCCCACCACCACCGTCGTCGCTCCACGTAACCGCCCCCCTCACGTTGTGAGTGCCCGCCATGGGCTAAGCGACGTGAGGGGGCTCACATCGACCACCACGCCGCTCACCCGACATCCAACAACGCTGCCAACACCACAACGCTGTGCCACGTCACCACGGCACACGAACCAGGTAAGCACCCACAACCCCCTCTCCCCTCGTTTCTCAACACGAAAACCAGGTGCCACGTCGCTGACTGCGACGTGGCACCAAAACGACGGCAACAGGTCTCACACCCCACGACGGCACCACCCCAGCACTCCCGAAACAACGTTCAGCGCCCACACGAAACACGACAGCACCACCTCGCCCATGAAAACACCCCACCCAGCACCCACGATGGCCGCCCAGCACCCACGACAGTGCACAACGGCACACCGCGTCCACAAAACAACACGCCGCCCACGAAACGAAGCCCAGCGCCCACGAAACGAAGCCCAGCGCCCACGTACACCTCCAACGGACGCGAAACAACACCCCGCGGACACGATACAGCACCCAGCGCCCACGTACACCGCCAGCGCCCACGAAACGACGCCCAGCGCCCATGCCAACGCCTAACGCCCAC